AGGATCACAGATTTATTGTTATGACCCTTCTGCTGCACAGTGAATTATAAGAAAGAGACCCCCAGAGAACTTTTGAAGTATCTTATTTCAAAGGTCAGGCTCCAAATGTTCTTTCATCATATCCTGCTTATCAATGTCAAATTTTTTAAAATATTGAAATGTAAATATTTTCTTAAGATCATCAGACACTACTTGTATAAAGGTGAATATCACAAGATTGAGTATTCAATACTTTGAACTGCATAGTTAAGCTACTTCTGACATGGTTTGATGTGTATTTTGGCAATAACCTATGCATCTATTCTAAAACATTACCCTGAAACCTGATAAAAAGATATCATGGATCAAGAAAACTTCCGCAATGAAGGAAAAAAGTGTAAGTTGTCGGCCTGTACCATATAATGTGTATTTTTTGTGAAGAAGTGTTTGTGAGGGCAAAATTCGCCAAGGAAGAAAATGAAAAGTTTTGTGGAAATTTATTATCGTAATAGATTGATTACATTGCAGATTCCTGTTTATCAGATTTATTACATACAATACCTAGCTTTTTGTTGAAATTGATGGAATAATGAATACATAACTCATGGTTTTTATACCATCAACTTGATAAAGATGCCTATTTCATGTAGCGATTAAGATTATAGACGTGACTTTTCGATATAATCCTAGTTATGGGAAAATATATGAGTATTGTTTGTCGAACACCTGAAGTGAATCCAAACTACACGTCAGAACGTTAACATATGAGAAAAATAATGTACCCACAAAATGTCTACTTTAATCTTGAAAATGTACTTTTTTTCAAAATTAAAAAGCTATTTACAAATACATTTCACTTACATAATGTGATTTTTTTGTAATTATTTCTGAAGGTAAATAGATGGTAAGGACGAAGGTAAGGACTAATTAAACAGTCTTTTTGAAAGTCTATTTGATGTAATTTGTGGTTAACTAGACAATCTTTACAGAACTTTATTGGAGTAATATATATTATATAATTGTTGGAAATATATATATTATAGTAATAAATCCCAGATATAATTTTATCAAGGTTTACAATGAGTGGCTATATTATTATCTTGTATGGGCAACAAAGAGTCGGAGCTTTATTCTGCTTATCTTTTCTCATATTGATTTTTGTTGTTTTGTTTATCTGATGCTAAAAGGAAACAAAACATGTCTCAATGTTCGAAAACTAATTTGTACTATTGTAACATCTGTTCAATCTGTCTAGAATCTGCAGATAAACTTGAAATTTTAACATTAGAATTATTATTTTTGTAACAATTTTAATAATACAAATGAACATGCTTGTATATTATGACAGAATTTTTACATGTTTTTGGCCTTTTTGTTGTAAAGATAACAATTCTTGTGGCATGGCCAGCTGGGTATCTTGTCAACCAGTCTAAAGGGTCACTTATCTGCATGGGTTTAAAACTCATCCGGGGCAAGCTATTGTTTCCTTGAACAAGAAGCTGTATACTTACTGCTGAACACTGTTAGTTCCAGGAATAGATGGGAGAGTGTGTTTTAAACTCGTAGCTTCCATTTTACACAATCGAACTAAAAAAAAGTTTGAGCCCTATAAAATGATCAAACGTGAAGTATTTAAATTCTAATAAGAGTGTTACATTATAATTTAAATTTCTATGTGATTTGTTCATTATAATATTATACTTTAGTCTTAATCTGTCTGTAATTTGCACCTGGCAACGAAACCTGAGGAAATAATGTAATATTATAAAACAAATTTACAAAATGCCATCCTATTTCTTTGGCAATTAAAACAGTTAATGGAATTGTTGCTTTTGATTTTACCTATGCGAAGGTAACTGCTGCCTTTATGTATCAATGTGTCATATAAGAACAGAACCTACAAATTCAGCAAGAAAAAAGGTGATATATAAGATAATTCCATGACTCAACATGAAGGAGGCAGAATAAGAATTACTTTGAAAGTAGTAATTTTGTGTATTGAAAGAGTTTTAGCTGAAATATTTGTGTTTGATACACAAAAAAGTAATGTTCCTAAATTACATGGCATTTGAATATTTCTCTTCCAGCAAATCATGTTGTATGAGCAAGCTTTGTGTATTCTAGCATGGAAGTCCCCATGGAAATGTTTGAATTTTCTGAAAAGACAGCTTTTAAATTGATAATTTGTTTGAATTAAAGAGTTGTATTATTGATTAGAGAAAATAGAAAAGTCATAAAATTATTTTAATGCTTATTGATGAAACTGTAAAGTCTTTGTTGTTTGACTATTCAACAGGTGCTATTTTATTGTACATCTAAAAGCGGGTAAATCTGCTGTTGGCTAAAACATTTTATCAACAGAGAAATAATGGACAATAAAAATGGCATAAAAAAGTCCTGGTTGTCCAGTACAATGAAAAAAAGGCCGCTTGAATTTGAACAGAGAGATTTTATTACCCCTTTTTGCGGAATGGTCATCAAAGGTAATTAATGTAATAATGACATAAAAAGGACAGGATTGTGCCCGAGGGTAGGGGTGATCAATGACAAGGAACAGCCCCCTCAAGACCTCTCCTGTCAGTAAGATACAATAATTGGCAACTTATCTTGCTTAAACATTACATCTTTTAGTCTCCATTGCCTGCCACAGAATAAAATCAACAACCATCTTGTAGACATCAGTCCTGAGTTGAAGTGAAACAAAAATTAGATTTACAGCTTTGAAAATTAATTATCTGCCTTATCAATGTCAAGGAGAAAGGTCATTTTGAATAGGGGTGTTGACAGTTATCAACTTCTGATAAAATTATGACACATCAGTGTGCAGTTAAAGTCAATGATTTGTTATTATTCTTACTTATTATTATAAATATCATGATAAGAATCTGTTAAAAATTTAAACTTTAGAAATATTTTATCATGATAAAGGGAGATTGTTTGATTCTAAAGCTCATGTTTTGATTGTTTTTAGTGTTTTGAAAGATGTTGACACTTTATTGATATTTGTTATGACTATTTCTTAAGATATTTTGCAAGTTATAGATCTCAGGAAGTTGGCAGCTGTTTTTGTCACTTTATCTTGAGCAATATACTTTTGTGTTTAACACAGTACATAATTTTGTCAGTTTCATATCCATTTTTTCAGGACTGTTTCTGTCAGGTCTATAATACTGCAGGAAATTGTCAATAATCCATTTGTCATACTTTAAATGTGTTACACAAAATTATGGTGTATAAAATGAAATAATCAATTTCTAAATCTGTACATGTAAGTTTTATTGATAGGAAGGTATTGAAATATTGACATGGGCTAGATTAAGGTGTGAACAACCCCAAAAATTATTACAAGTCTACAATTTCTGGTGTTATAATAGGTGAAAATTACAGGAAAATCTCTGTCTGGCATCTGTATAAGAATTACTGCAAGTGTCAACTACATATGTTACTTCCTTTATATTTCTTATTATAACTTTGATAATTTGGTGAAAGTATGCCTCCATCTAACAAAGACTTGTTATAATTGAATAAAATTATCATATTTATTTATTTATTTATTTATTTATTTATTTATTTATTTATTTTTATTTATTTATTTATTTATTTATTTATTTATTTATTTATTTATTTATTTATTTATTTATTTATTTATTTATTTTGTTTGTTTGTTTGTTTGTTTGTTTGTTGGTTGTGCTTTTTTAAAAATTCAATGTTAAAGCTCAATGAAGTTGATTTAAAATATCATCCTAGAATTGCATAACAATAGACCTTTATTTACATCGTTCATTAACGAATGTTCTGATATAACTGTGAATATACTAATGAAAAATGATTGACAGGCTAGAATTAGAGATGATTGATCATTAATTGGTGCTGATATTTACATCACAGTGCTAATGAATTCCCCAGAGTGAGCATCAAAGCTTGCTATGTGTACATCTACTGCAAAAACTATATCATTATTGTTGTTTCTATAAATTATTGCAGCTAGTGGTTATCAGCCCAGGATGTGGTCTCTGAAGAACTTCCCTCCTGATAAAACTACCATACGCTTTCTTTACTACAATACTCCACCCCCACCATTTCTTGCAAAAAATGCACCTCCACCAAAGCCCCTCAGTTGGTTGATGGCAAAGTGATCCCTAAGTGAAAATTACAACATGACCAAAAGCCCTTGATGAGTGAACAAAAATCTTTTAAGCCAATGAAGGCAGTGACTGGAAGCCTTTCCCCTTCCCTGACAGTATGATACATCTGAATTTTTCAACATCCTGCATTCCCCAATCACACAGTAATCACAGTATCTTGAAATGTTGGTGAAATGATGTATATACAGTACATCTATTAAAAATAAGAAAAATATTGAAATACATATAGTACAATTTAAGTTCCTTAACCTAGAATTTTGATTTTCAAATACACTTCTTCTTAATGTTGACCATAAATAAAATACATGTATGTTGTTATTATGATCATTTAATATGTTAAACATGGTAGATGCCTAAGGTTGCCCTCCCCTGCTGGGCAATGTTGGCTCTTGTGTATATTATTTACATATCATAACTAAACAAACCACCAAATCATTTTAGTTCACCTTTACAATTCTAGCTGTATGGATGGACAAGCTCTGATGTTACTTTGCTTTATGTGGATTTTTTTAATGGCAAAATAAAAAAGCTTCAGTTTCCTTTAAGTGGATCTTATTTCCAATTGTGATATTTGAGCAAGGACTTTACAAGTATTTTTTTAACTGTTTAATGAAAATTTTGTCTAAAAACAACCCTTAAAAACAGGACATAATTTATTGATATTTCTAAGTGGCTATTATCCTTGTTTTAAATTTGAGAAAAAAAAATATTTAAACCAATTTTAGAGGAATTTACATAAGTATCAATTAAACTATTCAGTGAAATATGACCAAGGGCAAATCTTTACTTCTCTAAACAGAAGGTTTACAGTTTTACAATCGCGTAGTGTACAGTCAGTTAGTTCAGTGAAGCATTGAAAGTTAGACAGTCAGTTCACAGTAAAGAGTTGTGTGGTAGAAGTGTGTAGAAGGGTATCGTAGAGGACTGCCCTACAGTTTCTCTCTCAGTATTGGATAGTTCTCAGTTAGCTATCAGTTCGCGCAGTGGATTAATTCAGTCAAATATATTGTTTGGATATTTCTAGCTGTTTAAATACAGCTTTTCTGAGTATTCTATTTATTGAGAAGTATTTAATTAACTAATTTACAAACCAATTATTCAAATGTTTTTGAATTGTGTTCGGTCGTATTGTACAAAGGATTGAAATGTAAACTAAAGGATAAATATAACGACGTTGGACTAATAGTTGAAATGACTATTGTATGGTATATAATAATAATGTTAGAGGATTTATTTTAGGAGATTAAAGTTGGAGTTAAGTGGATTACAGAATCAGTATCTTGCATCAAATCTCTACTCCGGATAGATGTCCAGTTAGATATGGTTGACAGGATTATTTGATCAAAATGTTCAGATTTAGATAACATAGACAAAATCCTCCAGTTTTAGCAGAAAATCTTGGCTATATTGAAACGATATTTTCTTAATGTTGTTGTTATACTGAGTTTAACATTGGGCAGTGATGGATTGATGTCAATGATAAAATGTTCATTTGAGCTGTTCAAAAAATAGTACCTTTGTTTTCATTAAGGTTAACAATTTAGAGATATTTTGTATAGGTACATTGTTTTGATTTTCTCATTGTTAATGGTGGATTGGTAGATTGTTTATGGGAACAGGAATGACAAATGCTGAGTTTTTGTGATATAAAAGATAAACGGGGAAGATAGAAAAAATATGTAAAACGGGAGTACGGTCTCGGGAGACGAGTTGCTTGGGATAAATTTATGCAATGTGTGCACAAAGGAAAGTATGCGTAAAGAAAGAACAAACAATGAGAACAATGAAGGAAATATACAGAATTCAGCTGTTAACATTAACTTTTTTTGTGTTTTGTGCAATTTTTGGAGTAACACAGGGTGTATCTACAGAAATCACAGAAGAAAAAGAAGGTATAAAATATCAGAAAATTAATATAAATTTTTGAATTCAATTTCAAGTAAATAATATTTTATTCAAACCTATAGTTAATCATATTAATTCATAGATCTGCCAGTAATTAAGATATCAAAAAAAAAAAATATGGGTATTGGTGTGTGCACTTGGTGCTTTCCTTCAGATTTAGTAGTAAATTTGCGTAAGTTAAAAATGTACGTATTATAAAAAGAAATTTGGAATAGGGAATATGTAAAAGACATAAAGGTAAAAAAAAATATAAAATGAAAATCTTTTTTTCGCTTTTCAAAATTGTTTAAAATAAAAGTTTTACTTTAAGTGAATGATTGCGCATTCTGCTTATTTCTTTTTCTATTTATTTTCAAGGAATAATTTACGACATTACAATCAAATAAACAATGTTAATGATATATTGTCTATAAAACGAGTAAGTATCTGGTTTCAAACCGAAGCTGGAACATGGCTGTAATTGCCTGTTTTTGTCACCGGTAGCTCTAGCTAAACACCAATTGTTGTAACCAAATCGTGCCATAATTTTCTCTTATCAGCAAAACCAATTTTCCTATCTCGCCTAGTGGCGTTAAAATTGAGAAATAAATCTACATTTTGATGTGCAGTTTAATAGAAAGTCAGTTTCCGTTGGGATTTGATGTCCCGAAGTTTGCAGTGTACATTACAATTGAAATTTTCAATGCCTTTAACAAGTTCGGTATCATTAAACTATTTGTTTTAAATAAGAATTGTTTAAACTATTATTTTCTTCAAAGGGGCCAGTATAATAATTATCCTCTGGTAACTAATAAAATAACAACCATGGCACTCTTTTAAGATTAATTTGAAAATTTGGCCCTCACATTTTGCCTTGATGTTTGAAATTTATGATGTTTTGATAATTTTAAGTTGCATGTCCTTTATAATAAAGTTGCATTTGCACTATGCAGTTGGCTGACTCAACATAATAATGTAGAAAAAACTGTGAACAATTGCAGCAGAAAGCACAAAGCCCAATGGAATATCATGACTAATGGAGTAAAAAAGGAAGTTTCCAGCTGAGGGTTCTAGATCAGGTTTATTGGAATTGATCATCAATTTATTGATGAGCTTCAGTCACTTCACTCTCTCGCAATTTAATTTCCTCCCACCATTTTAATTTCGCTTTATGATCCCTCTATCACAACAATAAAAGTCTTACATTCCATCACAGTCACTTGGAAAAATTGTAGAAAGTATATTTTTGTTTCAAACCAGATATACATATGTATTGATTGGATAATTAAGTTTCATTGGGTGTACTTTGTGTTTGCCATTTACAGGGCATATGTTTTCATACTCCATTAAAATGTTCCCAGGCAATGTAAAAACTATTACCTATGTGAAAAAAAAGTAAATCTTACCTCTTGGATTCTCATCTACAGATTACCCTGATCAATGCTAAAATCAGCTTTTTATTATGTCACTGCCATTAATGTTTTTACTTGCCAAAAATTACATTGCCTATTGGTTTATTCCGTTAGTTAATTATCATTATTTGTGCAAAGGGAGCATTGAAAATTTTATTTTTTTTTATGTCAACTGTATTAGACTTTTTTATTGATATTTTTATAGAAAACTTAAAGATAATGTTCATTACACACATTGTCTTTGAGGCAAATAAGATGAACAAATATCTGTAGTTACGAAAACATTCTATGTCATTAATTGACTGAATTGTCCAATTTCCATCTTTTCAAATCCCTGCACTAAAGTCATGAAATTTTGATGAAATCTGGGGGTACTTTTACAATTGATAGATTACTGCAATTACATGTAATTAAAAATTAAAGAGTTCCTTTTTTCCCATGGTTCCCTTAAATTGGATTAAACAAAGGGATGTAGGAGTTGGCATCACAGCCACAAGATGCTACAGAAAAAGGAATGTGCAAATTGGTAGTTTGCAATTTTATCTTGTGAGAAGTGCTGGTAAATAATCAGATTTCCTCCACGATTTATGAGCTTAGAAATAGTTTTATTGTGCAGAGAAAGAGTTTTACTGTAAGGTCATTAGATTTGTCTCCCTTACTTTTTCATGACCATTTTGAGACTTGTTATATTCTCTTTAAGTTTTCCTTAATTTTACAGTTTATTACTGTTCATTGTTTTAATGGAATGTTTTTTTGTGTGTAATTTCAGGTGATTTTGGCTTTGATGGAAGAGCAGGGCTTCTTGGTGGACCAGAATTTCTACAGGAACCAGATGAAAATTATTATGTCACTAAAAATAAACCAGCAACTATAACATGTATAGCTTCAGGAGCTAAAGTAATATCATTTCAATGTGCCACTGTTTGGATTAAAGAGCACCAACAAACAACATTCATGTCAACTGACCCTCTGACACTAAAAGACATAGTACAGACAAGTATAACAGTGACCAAAGATGATGTTGAGGATTATTTCGGATCTGAGGGGTATTGGTGTGAATGCTACGCATCTGATCAAGAAACGGAAAATTCTGGTGCCATCACTAAGAAGAGCAAAAAACGTGGACATGTTGAAGTTGCATGTAAGTATCAATTAAATGTTGTTTATTTACTTGTTCTTAATCGAAAATGTACTTATAAGGATTAAGAATTCATATCTTGCATATCTAGAGATGAAAGTCAATTTGCAATTTTTTTTTATATCAGTAAGATAGAAAACAAATATGCTCTGTTTTCTTTTCTGCAGCATTAATAATCCCCCCAGATAGCTTGTATGAGCTGCATCTGATAAGATATGTTCTTTGCTTGAAAACTGTATCTGTTAACCAATGAACTTGGTAAGGTAACCTTATCAAATAGATGACAGCTAATTTGAATATATATCTTGGCAAACTGATGGCAACAGATCTGGCTTTCAGCAGAGATGTTCCGCAACTTCTGTACATCTGTATGCAACTTGTATTTCTGACAGAATGATATAGATTATGTCAAAATATGGCCAGAACATTTATACTGCTGAGTATTGTATCATATCCTTTGATGGATTAGTTATCTTTGACCTTACCTGATTGATTAGTGGAATCTGACCTAAGTGAATTAATGATGTAGTCTGACCTTGTAGGTCTTAACCCACTAAAAAGCAGATAGTTTTAGTATTGATACCAGAAAAAAAAAATAGTCATTTGTTTTTTGTTTTTCCCAAAATTTGAACACATTTCAATTTGGCTCATGGAAAAAATTGGTACCAGTATTTCTTTTAATTGATACTTAATTGCTTTGTTTCACTATTATTGATTAGAATCTATCAAGCCATCTTTTTCTCCAAGAACAATTTCAAATTAAATAGATGTCTCTTGCAAGCAGGTTTTGTGACTTCACTTGAGAGGTTTTTTGCATCCTACTGTCGGGGAAATTGATTGAGACATGTAACAATTGGACGATTCTCTTGTAAATTGAATAACAAAAGTATTGATTGTAAATAGAAAAGAGAACCATAAAATAACAGTAACTAAGGTTTATTGCTATACAATTTAATGGATGAGAACATACAAAATCATTGTTATTTCATCAACTTTTCATTAAAGTTGCATGAAAATTTAACTTTCGTGCAATAGATGGTTTCTTGCATGAAAACATATTATCCTTGTATATTTTTTCTATTCACATATATACACTCCAGACAATTAAGAATTTGTAAAATTCAAATCCTTTGACAGTTTTGAAATGAATCATCTTTTCTTTCTTCTTCTTTTCTCTCGATAAAAATCATTGAATTAAATCAAGTTATTAAATAAAATAGCACAATAAAAGTTTTCAATCAGAAATAATTTTTGCTTATCGATCCATGCATTAAAAATTGATAGTAGTCAAACAGTGTTTGTTGAGACCACACACAGGCGTTTAGAGAAAGAAAATGGAGATTAACAGATGTTGATAAATTTTAACAAAAAAAAAATCTACAATCTATAGGCAGAACCACTTCTATAGGATTCAATGCTTAGACAAGAGATGAAGTTTAGATATTGAACTTTCATCTACTACTTTCCAGTGAAAGACATTATACAACAGCAGTAAAGAAATATTTCGAAAGTCTGTCAGAAATGCCTGAAAAAATAGCTATATAAAATGCTATTTCAGGACATACACATATAAAATATTATTAAATTGAATAAATCTATGTAATTTGTCAGTTTTTGTTTTGTAACCTTTTCATCAAAATGTCAGAATGTCTGTATATATGAGATGTTTGGGGCCTGCCCAAGTAGTTTTGGTAGCCGACAAGTCTTTAGTCAGGACATATATCTGTCAGTCCTTGATGGATAATTAGTTGGTAATTTATTGACATCTATATTTTCTCCCATGATTAAACTCACCACTGGCTTTTGTCATTCATGTCACTAAACATATTATTTCATTTACTGCATTTACTGTTTTGCAAGGTCTGTTTCCTGTCACATGATTGTTTGTAAAAATAAAAACAAGAACCACTACCAGCATACTACTGTATTAAAGAATCTTGTAACTCCTTCAGTTGACCATTACATTGAGATTTGAGATTTTTGAAAGTTTTCCTAGTAGTTTAAACATTTTAACCTCTTATTTTGTATTTCAAACTGATTTGTGCTTTGAATTGGGATAGGATAAATTTACTCAAGCGGCAAGCACTTGATTAGAATAACTTTAACTCAATAATTTGTATTACAATTTTACATTTTGTCAAAATAAGGCTGCAAGAATCACCATTTGAATTTACTGTTTAAATATTTCAGACTTGCGGAAAACATTTGCTGATCCACCACATGGAGCCCGTGTAGAATTGAAGGGTCAAACTTTACTAAGATGCCTACCACCAGATGGAAAACCATTACCAGAGGTAATATTAGTACAATGATGAGTTCAAGGAAAGATATTAAAAATATATAAATATGTGTGTGTTTTAGAGGATTTTGTAAAAGATTCAGACCTTTCATAAGTATGTTTAGGGTAATAAGTATGTGAATGGTTCAAATGCATGGATATCATGTCTTGAAAAACTTTAATGAAGAACAAGTTCAGAAAGAACATGTGACATCCTTAATGTAATTATAAACAGTCTGTTTACATGACGCTGTATATATATCTGTCGCTAAAATGCATGTTCATTTTTCCATCTATTTATTTTGTTATGCTTTGTAAAGCCAGTAACGACTTCAGTTCATGTATTTAGAACAAAAACATTAGAATGAGAAGTTGGTGAAAATGACAAAAAAGTTACTCACACAAAAAAAGTAATTTAACCACACAAGCCCACCTGGCTGATTGATAAGGTCTGTCTCTATATATTACACTTTCCTGCTAGTTTTCCTTCATACATTACACCATTCACAGCTCATTTCATCCAAAAATGATCATTCAAAACAACATTTCAACATTTTTTGGCCTAGCGACAAACTAGTTTAAGCTGTGTGATTTGATGGGAATATATATATTTTATGATCCATGTTAAAGTAATTATGACAATCTGAATTTCAAATCTTGATTCATTGGTTGTACCTTGTTTCGCTTTGATGTTTCGCTAAAACAAAGCCTGGGTAGCTCCAACTTTGTAACAAACCGTGACAGGAACGTATGTCTGCAGGCAAGGAAACTCATAAACAAGAATCTGCAAAGCTTACCAAGGTTTTAGGAAATTTTTAAAAAATGTGTTTACTATATACATGCGTTTCATACCAGCCCCGTACAACAACAAAAAATGTCTAGGCTTTTTTTGCAATTAAATATGTCATTGACCTGTTTGTTTATTATTTCAAGCTCCTAAATTTTCTATAATGCCCCTTGTTCTCTGACCATCAAAGAGGAAAAATCTTATAAGACAGCTTTTTTAGCTTTTTTCCAGATTGTTTAAAGACATAAACCCAGCGCTGGAATTTAAACACATACCAGGGGGGTAGAAAAAATGTTTTTACAATTTGGAAATTCTATAAGTGAGCGAAATAGGGGAATAGGTTTCAAATAGGGGAATAGGTTTCGTCACGAAATCTCTTTGTTTAATATCAGAGTATTACTAACTTTAGAAGCTGGCTACATGTAATATAAAGAGTAAGGATTAAAGATGGATTTTACTTTGACATTAAAAGTTTCTTGAAAGACATTTCACTGCTTGTCTTCATCATCTTAATGAAACAAAAAGATTTAAGTTTGGCAAGGGTAGTGATATGTAAGATTATTTGAAAAGCTTTGGATGATAAAAAAAAATTATGCCGAGAATCTTTTCAAGATATTTGAACCATTAAAAATTGGGATATTTTGCAGCTAGCAAAATTTCTCTATCTGATAGACCTCCCTTTATTGTCAAATTGAAATTGCCTGCATGCGTTTATTTTTACAAAATTTCTAAAATTAGTTTCGTTGCTCTGTTTGTCAGTGTGAAATGTATGGCTAGTAATTTGTATGGAACCATCAATTAAAATATAATTAGTCTTGCCAGTCCATCTGTCATTCTCCTTGCATTGAGTGCAGAAAAAAAGGATAATTTTATGTTTAGATAGATGTTCGGAGATAACCTTAACCATTTATAATGTTTTCCATTATGGCAAAAGAAATCAAACATGAATATGGTATGGTTCAAAAAGAAAATATTGAAAGTCGCTGAAAGGCGATAAATTTTAGTAAATCGCAAAGCTTGAAATTGAATCAGTTATCAGCTAAGATCTGAATGGATGGAAGAATTCATAATTGTATGTTAAACTTAACATATTGGTTTATAACGCAGAACTAAGTGGGTATTAATATTGGTAAAAAAAGTCAAAATTGTATGCAAGCGGAACTACTTTATGTCTATGATCATTATAGCATTGATAGAAATAGTTTGCAATTTACAGATTATCCTTCGTTTCACTTATTTTGACAAAGTTTTAATTTCTTTAATAAGGGAAGATTATCTTTTCAAGATTACAATCTTAGTTTCTTACAAAGACCATGCAGGAGAAATTGTAGACTGAATCTCGATGTACGGATCATTTTTCAAATTTCGGTGATGATTAGTTGAAATGATTAGGCTTCCATCATTATCTTTTGCCTTTTCAAGGTTCTTTTGGTTGATTACATTTACTTTTATGAATGAACCTACAATCTTAACTGGCCTCATTTTTTTCTCATTTATTTTTGCCTTCTCTTAAAGTTTAATTGTTGTTCATATATTATAAAATAAAGAAAACTTTGATGAAAAATTTAGTGATGTGAAATGTGATCAGCCTTGCAAAGGTTACCGATTAAAAAATGCATTTGTGCTGATTTTAATGTCTACGCCAAATAATCTTAAAGGAAATCTAGAAAATTAAATAATCATATCTATGAAAGAAAAGGAACTTAAATGGTGTCTCGTTTCGTTCCTATGGCTAACATTCACATTTTTCACTCCCTCCGATACAATGAATTTGAGTATGACATGCCATATTAAATAAGTATTTTGATATCAGATGCAGGCAGTTGTTCGTATGTGCATACGAGACGATTTGTCAAATTTCACGGAACAATAGACTGAGCTACAGCTGCAAGCTTACATCACTGAAAAAAAATGTCATAATCTGTGAAGATAGGCTTCATCATTTTACCAATTAAATAGTATAACTAATGATGGTAGGATGATTTAGTGGGGATTTGAGCGTAAAATGAGCTTTTACTGCAGGACTATTGAGAGTTATATTGGCAGGTTGCCTTTTCATAATGTAATTTATCATAACAGTCAATCGGAATGAATTGTAAATTATGATGAATTACATAATGTATAAAAAAATGTTATATGGCAGTGTCTGTTACATGCTAATTTTTCATCTGGGAAAAGCTGGGAAAACTGAAACTTGCTGTGAAATAATGTATTTGCAGCTTATGCTGGCTCTTTGATGTCTGATAATGTTAGGAGATTGCAATGTTGATTTTAAGAGTTATTGCCCTTGATATGTTTACACCATTTGCTTAATAAGTTGAGAATTTGCTTGTTGACAATAAAAATTGTACCAAAAAAATGAAATTGTTGTTATCATAAGATGAGTACAAAGTATTTTCCAGACCTTTATTTCTGGACATTGTATGCATAAAACAATTTTAATTTTGTTTTATAAGGTGAAAACCATTTTCAAAATTATGACGATATTTGAAGAAATTGTGCTAAGTTATTATGGTAATATTTGCAGGTGTATTGGTTAAAGAATGGACAAGAGATTGATGTACAGAGTGACTTCAACTTCATTATTGCCAGTGAGGGTAACTTGATCATCAACCAAGCCCGACTGAGTGATGCTGGCAACTACACATGTGGTGCTCGGAACATGGTTAAATTTGTCCATAGCAGAACAGTACCCCTTGTTGTCTTTGGTAAATACTCTAATTCCAATGTCCTTTTATATATGCATGATTAAGTAATTGATATTTAATTGACAAAATATTTAAAACTCACAGAGAAGGTAGAAGACAATCCTGTACAAACATATTCGAGCTGTATAGTATCTTTCTTTTTTGCCTGATACCAAGTACAAACTTGAGGTATCTTACATGTGTGTGAAAAGGAGCAGTGATGATTTGATATGCAGGGATGTAATGAATAGTTTATGTCAAGATGTACCACAGCCGTGGCATATAATGTATATACTAACAAATGTTTTCTGTCAGCCAGCATTAAGCCTTAACTTGAATATATGGGAAAACGCATGTTACATAAGTAACCTATGCCCGAAATGTTTCTACTGGATAATTGTATGTAATTATTCTGTAAATATATAGGGTATGATGGCCTCCAATGTACAAAAAAAAATCTAATACCTTTTGTTTTTTTACCAAATTTCAATAATTGAAGTAGACCATTTGATTTTTGTCTGCATTTATTCATTGAATATGACTGTGTGTCATAATGTAATAAAATTAAGAAAATACTGGGAAATTTTAACATTATATAAAGGGCTAAATATACCATTTTCCATCAAAATTTAACATGAATTGTGGAGGAAATTGAAATTAAAAAGTAATTACCAGAAAGCAATTATGAAATTTAAAAAAACACACTAATTGTTTCCAAATGATTTATTTTTATTGCTAATGTTTAATACAGCCGGATTAGGGAGGAGGATTCTCTTTTTGGCGGTGTTCATGAATTCCTCATTATTTCTGTTTATAACTTCTTTATCATAAATTTTTCACATAATATACCATATGGTGCGTACTCTTTGGTCTTTAAGAAAACACTCTGTATGTTACAAAACCCAACAGCTGATTACATAGCAAATGAAATGTAATAGTTCTAGCCTTAGGCACGTTATTATACTAAGTGTTAATTAAGATTAGCAAAAATACCTCTTAACATTAACAGAAGTGCAGCATTTAGTTTCCTACCTGGGAGTGATAGCAGCAATAATTTCTGAAAGCCACAAACTTTAGTTCAATCTTTAAGATCACTTTTAATGTCCTCCCTGTAATTGTTAACTTTTCAATTTATCAAAGCTTTAGCTTATTTTCATCAAAATCATAAATTAAAAGAATTGTATTAATTACATACACCGCCTGAAGTTATTAAGATATTACTCTAATAAAATATATTTCCATGTAAAAAGCTGCTTTATTTTTTGATAAAACAAATTGCATCTCTTTCACCATATGAATATTGGTTTTCAAGAATAGCATTAGATCGTAAAAAGAAATTCATTACAGAAAAGAAAGGCACTATTTCTTCATTGGAGTCAGGGGAGAATAATTTACTTTAGTAGTTATAGTTAAGTTTTTGCTAGTTTATATGAATAAATAATGAGGTATAAGACAATATGGTAATAATTCTGGCAAATATATTCAAGATCAATGTTTATTGTCATACACTATTAGATTACTCCATCTTATTATCAGATTATTTATGTAGGTATTATATACTGCTATATTATCTTGATACACTAAAATCTCCTTATTGAGAGACTAGCATGTAAATTACAATGTATTTGCCGGCAAAGCAAATAACGCGGCCATTATTTTCTAGAGATTTTATTGTAAAACTGTTTGTCATTTTACACCTTAAAGACATTGATTTACCCTCTGAATCATGAATGAAAATTGCTTAATCCATAAACTTTCTACAATTTATTGAAATAGTGATTATAACCATTAACATGCTGGTGTCTAGTCTTACAGTCTAAAGTTAACATGGGAAAATTAGCCCTCAGTCTATTCAGGTTTTAGCTAAATGCTTTCATGTCGCCAACATTGCATGTATGTAGATATGATTATGCTGTCAGATATTTTTTAATTGCTTTTGATGTATGTTATTTTTTGTTGTTAAAGAGATGAAATGGATTGGTGCAGTAATTAAAAATTTGTAGAATTAAGGTAAACTTTTAAGTGCAAGGAGAGAAAGCATGAAGAATGTACAATATCTTATTTATAAGGCCAGCCCATATGTTTATATATAGTCAGTAAAGGCGTTGTTTTGTGAGATACTGCATTTTATGTACATCATTATGGCTATTTTAGAAAACTGTAGAATATTACAAAGTCAATCAATAACACTTCTATAAATAAATAAGTCACAAATATATGTAAAAATATATATTTAAACAACAAACTCAATGTTAACTTGTATATATTACAGTAAATGGTGGATGGTCCACATGGTCACAATGGACGTCATGCTCGGCGTCATGTGGGCGTGGCATCATGAGGCGTCAGAGATCATGCAGTAATCCGACACCCAAAGGTAGCGGAGATGATTGTCCTGGGGAATCTGTCCAGAGAGAATCTTGTACTTCTATATGTCCAGGTAATTTTAATAATGTAAACATTTACATGCGATAAGAAATTGTCACTGAAATTTTTGCAGAAGTGGAGTTTTGAAAACCATTACAAAGAAAAAAATGTTTTAAGCAAATGAAATATTACTTCTTTTCCAGGTGACTTGGTGTATATGTAATATTTTGAATGGACAGAGAGTGGTCAGCTTTTATTAAGATAATATCAGCCTTATCTTATGACTAACCACAGCAAATCCTTCAAAATATCATACTTTAATAATAATAAAACATTTTCCATTCATATATTTCTTGCCAAATCATATCTGCCAGCCGTCTGCATATTTAGGTTTTATATAATTACATTAAAACCAAACTGCTCAAAGATTATTGATGTAACCATAAAATCCCACTGTTTCTTGATGGTTTTAAACTGTCAGACATCTTTGTAATACCAAACCAATTGAATTTGTTCTAAATCCATCTTGTAATTTCCCAGTTGGTTCAAGGGAAAGCTTGAGGATAATTTAATTGTTCTTCAAAAGATGTTTCTGTTTTGTCTGGGTTATGCTGCAATCAAATGAAATTGACCTAAACAGCCATTCTGGTACATTACGAACAAAATCCTGTTTCTTACAACAGTTTTGGCATTTTTGCACATGATTTGTGAATTATATATGGGTTTTAAACAAGGCTGTAAGTAGGCGACCATCCGTTGTTCATTAAAAACTGTAATGAAATAGAGCTTTTAGCTTTGTGGGTTTTTTGCTGCTGCTTTTGTACTTGGTGTGTGTTCTATATGTTTGAAGGCACGAAACAGCGAATTATATTTCTCTTTCTCGTGACATTGGCACAAATTATATATGATTTATTTAATTACACAAAGAATGACTCTATATGTACCAGTTTACTTTTCTCTTCCTTTCTAATCTAACTGGAGAAAATGCCTCTTTTATCACACCTACCAGTACCATGTTGGGTCTTATTTTGTACCAGATCAATTGATAAATTTTTATAGAAAGGAAATTTGAAAAGATATTCTTAAATAGTCAAATTTCAAACAGATATATCCAAACAAGGGTAACCCTAAAATATCTCTGATAGGACTTCATAGCCATTTTCATTGCTTGGTCTAAGTTTCAGTGGTACAATTTGAACTCTAGAAACATTGTAATTAATGATGATGTCACGAAAAGAAAAAGCCTGTGTATTGCATTACATAGTACTAGATCAAGATGACAATTCATTTGTCATGCTTTACAAATTGGAAATATTTATTGTGAAGAAAAATGAAGTATTTATTGTAGATATAGCTAGTATGGCCATGAAAGGAAGTGAGATTTTTCTCTGATACAAGAATATGAGTTGTTACGCAGCCGTTACTGCTCATTGCTCATTTTGACAGCGCCATCTATTCCCATTTGGGTATAATACATCAGAATGACAATGTTTCACACAATTCATCAAAAGAAATAAAGCCACCAGCATGGGATATATGAAAACTGCTTTTTACCATTCCACACAGTTTCTTATGTATATCATTTCAGTAATGGATTGTCCCTTTTCAATGGGAAAAAATAACTAGATCGCAGAAATTACTCTAAGGACTTTGTCCATATCATTGCAAATATAGAATAACTAATAAAAAGATATTCCTGATATTTCTGTACACACATTTGGCAACATTGATAAAAAAGACACTCTTCCTGATAGATAGCTATAAAGAAATATTCCCATATTTGTTTGCCTGTGGTATTTTCCTTTTAAGATTCTGTAAATTGTTTTGATTTAAATTAAATAAAAATGCCTAAATTACCATTATTTTGTACCCGTAAGGCCTTTTGAAACTTTTAAAAACTTTTTTTCATGAATTTTTAAAGTGCATTTTAGTAAATATTTGTTCATTGTCTGTGTTTTTTCATGTTTAAATGCAGTTCTCATAGCTGTATATCTAATTATACAAGGTTTAAATTGATTAGCAACAATGGTGTAATTAACTTGTGAATGTTGCAGCACCAAGGATGAATTATTTATGGTAGCAATTACTAATCAGTACATGAATATTGGAGTAATAAAAGCTGAGCTGTCTTTTATGAAGCTTTGATCATTTTTATTATCAAAACTATTTGAAACAACCCTAATTATCTGCCTTATTGAACTGCTGAGAGATTTTTTTACAGTGTTCACTATTATTAAATATTTCATTCTTCTCTTTCATTTCTTTGTTATTTCATGTTAAGACTTGTAAACATTTGAGCAATCTTAAGTAGTTTTATTTATTATTTTCTTCATTGAAACCATGAAACAATACCTGTCACTTTTATTAAAAGTAATACTTAACATTTAACTTGCATGCTTACATGTAGAACAAATATTATATCAATAGCTTACATAGAAAGATCATTAAGTTAGAAGATGTAAGTCATTAATGATTTATGATACATTATTGACAAGATACTTATAAAACTTGATAAAATAAGACTCACAATATTTTTTCTGTGTTTTCTGTCTGACAAACAATAAAAACATTAACAAACACTTCAGCGCAGACATTTTGTCGCGGATAATTGTGTTTTCTAGGTATTACAATTCAAACTCTTATAGGTGAAAGTATACCACGCAGTTTATATAACAAGAGTCTTGAAGCAGGTTTGGGTTATGTAAACTAAAAGTTTTGTTTTTTTTAATTTCTCTGGAGAAGAGTAACCAATCCTCTGGGTACTCTAAAAACACTTTTATCAGAATTTTAGCACACTATTTACTTAGACAATGCATTGTCTATAAGTGTGTTATCTTTTGTTTAGTGACTAGTGACAGATTTTTTCTCTTTGGGTTATTACTTATTCATGTGGGTAATATGGTCTCAGATCTCTCAAAACACCATTAAAATAGCCTATTAAATATAAATTTAGCTTCATTTATTTAACTACCAGTTTATTTAAAATGATAAATTTGATTTTGGATATGTACTACACTCGGCTTTTTACAATTAAAACACTGGAGAATTTCCTCAATAAATTCTCAAGTTAGTCATACAATGCCCATTAAAAATTAATGTTCACCTTGGTACTATTTTATATAAAAAAGAAAGTTAGATGAGATTACACTAATCAGACAAGAGATAATTATTTTTGTTGGCCTCGCTGAAAAACCTTCCTATAAGTTATCTTAACATTGTCAGAAATGATTAATGGCCCTCAAGATGGATGAAGGCTATAAATGTTAGTAGCAATCTATCCCCAATTTACCTTTCCTATTTTACTGGTTATCAACATCATCTGTTTTGCCCTTCAGTTCATTTTCAATTTTGATATGGTAACTCCCAATTTAATGTGCCTTTAAATGACCTTGTGTCATATCTCTGATTGTAATACACTCTTGTTTCAAATCACTTTGCAAGCTGTTGTAGTGAAAGTGTTATAAATGTGTTACAAACTAAGGATTCTGTACAAAGACACTATATCATTAATATTGATCATTATTATTGATTGTAATCGATTCAGTGCACATTTGTGCAAGGTTTAGATGCATGCAATTTGTTTGCACTTAAATGGTAACGTTGTAAGCATGTTGCGGAAATTAAAGCGGCACTGAAGATGAAAATAGAAATACTTGAGACAAGTGTTTTGGAGTTGGAAGCATTTATTGGTCCATTTAGAATAATACCTTGACATATGGTCTAGTTAAACTTGTCTGTGTTCTAGCACTCCTATGGAAGGCTTGTGTCCTATGTTAACAGATGTAGCCAAAATTATAATGGTAGAAAATTTCTTGTAATGGTCTCCAGTTTTAAAATATATATTTTTAATGAAAGAACGTAAATGTATTTGTACCCATCTAGATGCAGTATAGTTGATATTACAAAAAGAATAGACCCTGTTGTGTTGGTTTGCTGTTGAAACAAGGAAAACAAAACAAACATGCTTGTTAAGATGAACGAAATGTTCACTTTTATGATGGTTTATAAAATCAATTTTTTTGCCATGTATGATTGATTATAAAGATTATTTAATGATAGTGCATTTATCAATATTTATTTATTATTTCTTCAGTGGATGGTTTATGGAGTCACTGGTCTTCTTGGTCAACTTGTAACACAGACTGTATACATCATCGCCGTAGAGCCTGTGATAAACCGTCTCCGGCCAATGGTGGTACTTACTGTCATGGAAACGACCTTGACACACAGAATTGCACAAATGGAATGTGTAGAGGTAAGAAAAGAGTTTTGTTTCTCAGTTCTTCTTGATAGGGAGGTGATGGAAGAAAATGGTATGAAGAAAAAGATTGCTATAAAAGATTTTATAGTCGTTCATCATTGATCTTCTTTCTAATTCATCAAAGAAGCAACAGTCATGACACTTGTATATAAATTTATTTTAACAGACTGTTTTCCCTGCTATGATACAACAGTGAGTGAATTTGAAAATTTGGTGCTCCCATGGTATTTTCCTGGAAAATCAGTTTTTATTTACATAAAAGATGGCCCACAATCTGTGTATGATATGTAAACAATGCTTGAATAAGAGTTGATTGAAGACCTATGAAATAATGATGGAAGTAAAAACAATGCTTACCTGGTGAGCTGTTAGACCCACCTGTAATTTTGTTAAAAAGGTTATGACATCTAATGATGATATGGGGGAGTAAACATCCTTTAACCAGTCTGTAAACAATCTCAGCCATTACCTTCTCAGACTGTGCCTTATATTAGCCAGACTGTGCCTCAAATTAGCTGTAACCAGCACACTAATGGAGTTTACATTGCTGGAACCATTCTGGTTTTACTCTTTTATAATCCAGGTATCATGCTCAATTAGCCAAATCTCAGACTTTGTTAAAACATTCCTAGAACAGAACCTAAGTAACAGGAAAACAAAGAGCTATGGAATTTGTTTTTTGCTGTGTTTATTATTCTTCATTATACTCATTGCTTCTTAATAGGAGGACCTGGTAGACATGTTTTTTCACAGTTCCCAAAGATCTTAACTAATATCTATGCAAATTTATCCTCATTTTATCATCTGTCTTACTTGGGTTTTTTTCATTTTAATGATTTAAGTGCACATTATGGTTAAAATTGTATAATTGAAATCTATGGAGACAAAGATTTTATGTGTCCTGGTTCAAACCCTGAAAATTATGGGTGTTTTAAGTACAGTACATCTTTTTTATCCAAATTGGACAAACAAGATGTAATTGTTAGGAAGTGTGTTGCATTAATACTGGAATACCATTGGCTGATCCAGGGCTGATCCACATAAGACTCATCTGTCGTAAATGTTAATGGATTTTAAATGTAAGAATACAATAGCTTACATGCATACCATTTGCTAACGGTTTTATACATTTATTTTTGCATCAATATGTCATCTGTCCTGTCAGTGTCATAAGCCGGTGATTGAAACACTGGTAAAATTAATTTGAATTTAAATGTGGGAACTGGCGCACTATGTAAACTTGAAGCAACGCCTGTCAGGCACAGCCAACGTGAGCTAAAATGTTCAGATGTGCATAAATTTGCATACAGTATGGTAAACGGTTTCTTAATGTCTGTATCCTGGTTGCACTTGTCATGAATTTTCATTATTTTGATTAGCTATGAAACAAAACTTTATTCTGATTCTATATTTCATTCAATTTTAACCAGTGTAATTTGACATATATATCTGATATATATATTTGCGTATCTCATGAGAAACAATAAGATAAAAATGAAATATGTAATTTTAAGGTTTAAAGTATGATGGATGTTTGTTTATGATCCATTTTGAAGTGGATAAGCCTATGACATTTCAAATATTTGTTTTGTTTAAGGAGACAAATACTCTTATTCTGTTTTTATGACCAAAAGATATGTTATTGATTATTATTAGCATTATATTTAGCTGCCAAGCCATTAAACACTTAATTTGAACTACTACAGTCGAACTTTGTTCGCTCGAACTCGGAGGGCCTGTGCAAATTTGTTCGAGCGATCGGTAGTTCGAGCGAACCGAGGTTGAACAATAATTATATAGAACATAGGCTTAAGGTTTTCCATCTTATATCGGTCAAATGATAAATACGTCAATAAAACTGTTTTTTAGTACATCTGTTTGTCGAATACGTCATATAAAGAATTATTATCCCATTGAAAACACTATTAACAGTGCACGGTTCTAATCTATATTCATGCATATTGTAATTTGTTGAGTTCGATCGGGCGATCATTATCCAAACTGTGAAAAATGTTCAAGATTATTATGGGATGAATTTTATTTTAAACAATGAATCGATACAATATTAAAAAACAACATTTTACAGCAGCATCTATTTGTAGTCATTTACTAAAATAAACACACGTACAAGTATCATTCTATAAATAGATTACACTGTTACAATTCACGTTACATGAACCACGGTTGTAATTAAAGCCGTCCGGGTAAACGTCATTTACTTATTTATTTACTTTGGGCATTTCAGGAGTTACTTTCTTTTTATCGTTACTAAAGACTGCAAATAAACAATTGTATCATAACAAACAAATCGGTAAAACACCTTTTATTTTGTATCAATCAACCATAATTGCCTTTGTCACGATCACGAGGTGTTAAAAACATGCGTCGCCGACTGTCAATTATTTAGAACATGTCGACCCGCAACTTTTGTTGTCTGTTTGAGTTCGACCGAATAGGTGTGATTTACACTATATTCCTGCCGAAGGGACCGGAGATCAGGTTCGAGAGTTCGAGCGATGGGTGTTCGAGCGATCCGAGGTAGAACAGTAATATATTATATAGGAATTTTGCCGGGACTTGGCGATGAGTTCGAGCGAATGGAGGTATTCGAGCGATCCGAGTTCGAGCGAACGAAGTTTAACTGTATATAAACAGTATTTTATAATATAAGGACATAAAATTATAAAAACTCTATCATTTGAGTTGTTAATTCTTGATGGAAATGAGTCAATGGAATGTTTGCACTCTAAAACAGGTTTTATACTGTAACATGAGGTCAGCTATGACATATATTTCATTTAATCTAGTAAATATGGTTGTATACCAAGTTATAAACTGTTACAGATACACATGGGGCTATTAAACTCAATGAGAACAAGGATGTTCCCCCAGCAACAACAAAAGTTGCTGATACAATAGGTAAGGGTCAAGGTCAGGGGTCAAGTCCCTCCTGTGGCATTATCTGAACAGATATTTGGTGAAACATTTAACACTAACCAGTTACCAAAATTGTTATATGTTAACCAATCTGACATTGTTTTGTTCTGTGCTAAAACCAATAGCATGTATGTATACCAATAACCAAATGGCTACTGCTTTGTATGTTGTAGGATCCATAAGAAGATAAAATTGATAACATATCCATCTTACATGTGGTACATGTATTCCTATTTATTTTGTAAAAAAACTACAACCCAACTTTGCAACATATTTTTTTTTGCAGCATAATTCATTTTTGCAACATATATAACAAGCATTTGGTTATATTTAGACCATTTCCTGTTTTTGGGAAAGCTTTGACATTTGTTTTTATAAATATGACATTAAAATGGCTTATCATATTAGAGGATTGGAATAAAATGTTATGTCTCTAGGTAATAAATGTACCATTGAGGTAGAATGTTTTCTAAGTAACCATGGCATAATTAATGCCAAACCACACCCCTTTTTACTACATAGTTACTTAACAATATGTTTGAAAAAAAATGTCAAGATTTTTTCCTAAATATTTGTACAGTTCAAAGGAGAAATAATTGACCCCTGACTCAAACCCTACTGTAGATCACACTGCATAGAATTATTATTTTTAGTTACCAATGAATATGTTATGAATTATATTTATTTATTTTATAATTTATAATACTTTGTACCTTACACTATCCATAGGATAATAGGAAAATATAAATTAAAATTATATCTAAGTCTAGGCTTTTGTTTGCACATTTTAAATTAGATTTTATCAATTTTTTGGCCTGAAAACTTTTTGAATTATTTACTTTTATTTTGCCTAACTGCATGATTTGTTTTTCAGCATAACTAGTAGTTTTTGTTTATAGATATAACAATTAATTGCCTGAAAGTTAAAAAAAAGAGTAATATACCTCGCAAAAAAAATCATAATTGAATAAATTAAAAAAACAAAAACAAACAAAAAAACTTGCAGCTTGCACATAATAGCATGTCAGTGTATTGTTTTTTATCATTTTTGTAGAATGTGTAATGTTATTTATGTAAAATGTAGTGTAATAAAATGTAGATATCCTGCATTTGTTTGTGTAGTACATATCATACATATAGTGCCAAAGTCTTAAGAACATGTGACTTTATTGTGAATAGACACTTAGCAATGCATATTTTCCACCTCTTCAGTAATACTCATTTAATCAATTTTCATTTATTACTGGTGTCTCTTGTATCAAAGGAAAATAGATAAGTTATTTATGGGAGGTTTTGCATTAAAGATGATGATAATGATGGTTTTGATGCAAATTTCCAACATCAACTGTAGTTAATATTCTATTACTTACTCCATCTTGCTTTTATCATAAGATATTTTAGTACCTCTTGTACTCTAAAACAGCAATTTCATGGCAAATCAATTATTCTGTGCAGACACTCTTTTTTCAGGAATTCTACTCTTTTAGTATACATATTTGAATTAAAAAGCAAAAAAACATACTATATTAGATTTAAAGACTTGCTAATGATACAATGATATGTATATTAATAAATTATATTTTTTTGTTACTATAGTAACTGTAATTTTATGATTTCAGATACCACAGCAACAAAAGATAATTCCTATTCTAAAGTTTTATCAAGACCTGGTGGCGCAAGTGATACTGAACCATCAAGACAAGGTTTGTACACAATTTTATGAAAAAGATCACTAATAAAAAGCTCTTTTGTAAAGCCTCAATTTTTTACCTGTTTTCATTTAAAGCCTAATAAAATATTTCTGGGATGTGATTGATACATCGGCAATCATAATTTTTAATTGTCCAATCTGTTTTCTGGAGGGAATCTTTGCTAGTGATATCTGTATGTTTTCCTCTTTATTGTTTTTTTAACCTAAATGATATATGACAATGGTAGGAAAAAAATATTTAAAAAAAACTTCTTCTTTTTTTTTGATGAAGTGGTTTTGACCTTAATTATTGCTCTTGTCTTGTCAAGATGTCATTGTTTATATGCCATAAGTCCTGAGTACCAAACTAAAAAAAAGTGAAGTGAATAGTTCACCTGTGCAAGGACCACCTAACTTTACATAGTTTTTGCACAATTTCTGTCTTATTTTCACACACAGCTGAACTATTATTTTTTTTTGTTTGTTTAATAATTGTCAACTTAGAGTGATGACATTTCCCTAATATTGTACAGGTATGAGCATTTAAGTTTATTATGAAGCGCCAAAATGATACCCCTGGTTAAATGGCTTTTAAATAGGTTTTTGAATTAAAAAAAGAAAATGAAAAAAAAATGCAGGGTTGTTTACAAGAAGACTGAACTTTTAAGTGTTAGATTGATATAAAACATTTATCTTAATATTTGAATCAAGCATTGTTTTCTTGTCAAGATATGTACCAGTCTTAAGAATATGTATCTGACATAGAATGATGTGAAATATTTTTCAAGTTTTACATTGTTTTAATTGATATTCATGTCAAAGGCCGTATCAATTTACACCTACAATAAACTACATTAATGTTATAGGTAACATAATAAGTCTTTTAAAATGTATATAAGGTTGACATCTGTTGTTAAAGAGGGCATATTTTGTCCCATATGTTTCAGTGTATTACAATGTGATTTACCACAGCTTTTGTTTGAACCCTGAAATAAGTACCTATAATTGGAAATCTATTCTTTGATGTGCAAACAGCATCCAACAAGCTGTTCAATTAATAGAAGAAAAATTGACACGCTATTGTATTTACATATGCTTGAACAAAACTGATTTGATCCGATATAAAAATTCTCTTTCCTCTTAAAACAACCTAGGTTTAATTAGAGTGAATTGGTTATCGTAAACAGTTGCTTTAGGCGGAAATTAATTTACATTATTGTACTCACAATTTGGTTATCAATAATAAAAGAGAGAAGTTTCTCAATTTGCTGGAAAAGCTTTTTCCTTTTTCATGTCAGTTGAATTGATTCTCTAATATTCCCTCTAACAAGATGCAACTCTGTATTTGTAAAAAAGCAAGACTTTTTAGAAATGCTAGACTAGATTTCTTTTCACAGAAGTTTTGATGTGTTTATCTTCTATCAGTCTATTGTTTATGTGGGGGCTACAAAACTGACTCCATCGTAAATTCATTTCTTTAAAAAAAGCATTATATTAAGGTGACAAAAATTTTTATGTTGCTCTTGGTCTTTTTTGTTTGATTAGGATAAATTAGGATAAATAAACAGAAAGAGAGAGAGTGACTTTACTAACCTTTAGCAAGTAATGGGGCCTCAGTAAAGGAGTGGTCAAGGTTACTGACTTCAAATTGCTTTTTAGCTTACTTTGTATGTAGGGAATCCCCCGCCCCCATCGTACGGTGTTAGCAAGTGTTGGACATAAAATGTGTTTGTAGTTTTTATAGAAGCAACTTTAAGCAGAAGTAATTACAACAATATGGCCTTGAATGTAGCTATACTTGTTCACCATCAGTAACTGCATCATCATTATAGCAGGCGAAGGAATAACTCTTCAGGTTTAACATGAATGATATGGAACATCCTATTGTTATGATTACGCATCAATAGTTATTGAAAGCAATTGTTAGTTTGTTTTAACGGCAATAGCTTTAGACAAAATCCTGGAATGTATCAAATCTGAAACTAGAACCATTCTTTTTACATATCCCATTCAATAAAAAAAGACTATAATCTTGTACAAGTTCTATTGACAGAATTATTTGCCCCTATTATGGTAATATAAAAAGGAAAAAACATAATGAATAAATTTAAAAACAATTATTGCCTTAATTTAATAAAGTTTTGTTTTATAGGCAAGCACTAAAAAAGTCGAGCGCGCTGTCCTTCTGACAGCTCTTGTTCTTTACTTTGTATGTTCAAATCCCAGCCCAACCAATAAAGTAACTTGTTAAGCAAGTGCATTGACATAAGAAATGTGTTTGTGTATTTATAGAAGAAGCTTCTGAAGCGGAGAATAATGAAAACATCACAACATATATCGCCCTGTGTGTGGCTATAGCTGTGTTCATCATCGTCATCGTTGTCATCATCATTATAGTCAGGCGAAGGAATAATCATCATCAAAACATGAATGATAGAGAACATTTACCTAATGGAAGTAAGTATATTTACCCATCATTTCATATTCTTTTAAAACAATTGTATATCCTTGGAAAAAAAATTTAACAGGACAATTTAGCTTTCAAGAGAAAAAAATCCTGACATTCAGTTCAAATACAGTGAAGATAAAACCATTCATTATTTACACTTTATTCCTACATTAATAAAAAAAATATTTTAATTTGCTACAATTCATAATTGAATGAACTTATTTTCCCCTATTGAATGGTTTAATAAAATAAAAACAAGCGAAAAACACACACAAAAAAAATTTCAAAACAATGGTAACATTCGCATTTAAATAATTTCTTCTAACTCTTTCATTTTACTTTACTATAAATTATTACAGAGTATTAGAAGTAACTTTCAAAATCTGAATATTTGTCACTGTTTTGTCAAAATTTAGAAAAAAAATAAAAACTGGCTCTGTCCAACAGTTTAATTCCTTTCAAGATATTTTTATGGACACAAATAAAAATGTTTACCCTTAGTAATTAACATAAAATCTATAAATTTTCCTCTCTTAAATGCCTTGTAATGTCATTGTTTCATCTGTTAAAATGAAGTGTTATAATCAGAGGAACAAATAAATTAGTTTTTTTTTATATTTTCAAATAAATCTGTCAGCAAATAATATATGTCCCCCAACTGTACGTGTTTTGAGGGGGATATTGTGTGCAAGTCGGCAATAACAGACATATTTAAGTCCTTTACATGAAACATTGCATCAATTTTATGGGTGGTCTGAGGGACAAAACCTCAATTAGTCAGTTGCAGGGTATTTCTGTTTGCCTGAAAAGGTTTTATTAATTCCTCCATTTATAGATTGTTTGATGAAAAATGGGGAAAAGGTTTGGTATTGTATGAAACACCTGCAGTTTAGCACAAAAAGCGATTTGTTTTCAATGAGAAAAAAAAAGACCTTTCACTAAGTGGTATTACTGGTTCACTGATCTTTCATGTTAAAATAGTAAAAAAAAAATGAAAGCTAAAATACATATGTTTATAAATTAAGTTATAAATTTCAAAGAAGAAAGGGAACAAAGACAGAATTACATTTGCGAGTAAATAAATAAAACTGCCGGAAAGAAATTGCGTCAGTTTATATTGAAAATTATGATTGATGGCTGGGAATTGAAATAAGTAGGTTAGAAACTCATTCTTGCGTTGGTTCTTAAATTTATTTATAATGTTGTAAATATGTTTGTCACATTAAATTAGTATGTTCAGGCAATTCACAACTTAATAAGAAATTGAGAGCTAGAGGAAGGGATAATAAAATAAAGACATTTATTATTAAACAGTTATTTTGAAAATATGAATGAAAAAAAAGTTTATTGATCAAATCAAGCTATATTGTTTATTTCTTATTAAAATAAGGTATTATACTATTGACTTTGTATTTGTAGATATTCATGGACATTTGCATACCCATGATGAAAAGAAAATGAAAACTGGTAGGCCCTATTTCCTTACTGTATCCATGCTTTCAAGGCCTATAAATAATGGTCTTGGAAAAAGAAATTCATACAAAGCTGTCCTCACAAGTTATTCAAACGCAAGAACTGAAGATTCTGTTCATATTGTCACAATTTAAGTATGTTAAAGCATTGATATTTTCAATCAATCAATAAATTTATCAATGTTTCAGTTAATGATAAACTTGCTTAGAAAATGACCAGCGTAATAACTTTGACAATTTTTTTCCAGAGACATTGTTGTCGGCCTATCAACCTGATTTGACACAAGTTACAGTTCCACCTCCGTCTACGCCACTAGATCATCCAAACAATAATCACATGCAACGTGTCAACTCATATGATAAAATGCCACCTACATATGCAGAAATCAAAGAAAATAGACTCAGTGCACAGATGGGAAATGGACTTCCTAATGGTGTTAAAATCATAGAACCTACACCAAATAATATGTTGACACATAACTCCTCAATGGATCAGTTAGCAAGAAAAAATGATAAAAACAATATGGTGATTGTGAACCCGGTAAATACCGGTGATCCTCGCTGCAATGAAAGTGAAAATCTTAGAGACAGTCGTGGTTCACTGAATTCTGTCGAGTTGCCAAGTCATATAGACACTGACGCTGTGACGTGGAGTACATTTGATCATAGGGGTGGCAGGTTGATGTTGCCAGAGTCCGGAGTGACCCTGCTCATACCAGAAGGGGCCATTTGTAGGGGGAAAACTGAGGAGATTTATATGGCTGTCTGTAGAGATGACAAAGATAGACCAAAATTATCAGGTAGGTTTTGCGGCATAAAAGTAGTTTTTTCAAATCCCTACACAATACCAAATTATTTTTATTATGTTTGGAAACTAAAAAAAAAAAATGAAAATAACGAACATCTAGTCTTAAAATGAATGGATTTAAAACTCTACGCAGCAGTTATTTTATGTTTTATTAAACAAAAGCCCTCGGCTTTTCCTTTCTTTCATTAAAACAATGCCATTGTTACAGCTTTTTTACAGTTTAAAAACAAGTGTGGAAACAAGATTGTCAATTACAGTGTAGACGTTAATTGTGGCGTGACTTGTAACTATGTTGTTCTGGACCATTATCCATGTAAAACATAGCATTAAGGGGCAAAACATTAGGTGACATAATGAAATAACATCATTAATGTCTCATTTTTATGACTCCTGTTTTCCCTGCCTATTGTTTCTGAATCGCTAAATAATGTCTTTATAGTAAAAAAAAGCTCTGCGCTACATTTATGTCTTGTTAGAAATCTAATATGGAAGATTTTTATGTAACATTAAAAGCTATTTTACTTTGGTCATTTTGCTTAAATTAATGGGATTTTCGTGGTTCTAAAACATTGTTATGTTGTGTTTTAAGGTGGCTCAGATTTTCATTTATTTTTTATTTTTGGGGGAAAATTTTCAGTTAAAGGAATGTAGTTTTTAAACAAAGAACAACTGAAAACAGGCAAAATAGTGTTGAAAAACAATATGATATTTTTCTTCAAATGTAAAAAAAAACTTTCACAAAATTAATTTACAGAAGTAAACTTTTTTCCACAAGAGATTAGTATGTTTCATGCCGAAGCAGAAGATCGAAAGGCCAGTATATTGTAATAATATAAACATTAAGTTCTAAAAGAAAATATTACATAATTTTACAGAAAAGCAGACGATACAGTTTTTTTTTCCTAAAGAAAATATTTCCTAAATTTTACAGAAAAACAGACGATACTAAGTCCAATAGTTTTATGCGGTCCAACGGGGATGATGTTGCAGAAGCCTGTTGTGTTATCAGTACAACATTGTGCTAGTATGAGGCAGGGAGGCTGGAAACTCTCCATCTGCTCCAGTAGTACACCGCTGGAGGAACCACCACAGTGGCAGGTACAACATGATTATGTGAGTTTAAATCCCCGCAGAACAAAAAAATGCTTAATGTTGTGATATGCTTCAGTTTTGTGAGAAAAAAAGAAAGAAAAAAAGTACAACAGCAGTTAAAAATTGCATGATATATATTATTATATTATACCTCTAAACAGAGGTTCAATATAGTTTACCACTTTACATGTTGATCATTTTATTCCGGAGGGTGGCGTTATGTTCCCCTTGTAATGTAATGGTTTGTTAGAAATTAATAGTTCTAAAGTTGGTTTCTGTGGTTGATAACCAAAATGACAGTAGAATGGCAATTTAAAGCTGCTAGTGTCATTCATTGAACAAGAGTATTCATGAAATTTTAGCAAGCCATTTGATAAATCAGTTTAATGTTTCCTTTATACAAACTACATGAAGTTATCAAAATAAAATATCCGGCTTGATGACCTAATTTCGAAGTTATGTAATATATCTGTCTTGACTGAGGGATATAAATCATTTGCATGTTTTGCAAAGTTCATATATTTGTACTTCTATATTAAAAGAATGCTTTAAGAATGTTTACTTCCATAATGGTTTTATGACACATGTTGTAATTGCCTTAATTAACTGCATATTTCATACATAACACCTGTCTGACAGCAAAATTTCTACTTTCTTTTTTTTATAGTTGGCTGTCACCTTGGGTCAGGAAACAATTAACACACAAATCTACACACAAATAGATGCTACACATTGTCATCTTATGACAGAATATTTACAACGGTATGCTCTAATAGGTGAGCCTGTAGCACAGGGTCGTGCTGTCAAGATTCTGAGACTGGCTGCTTTCGCACCTTCACTACCTCCATCAATGGATTTCAGCATCCGGGTCTATGTTGTAGAAGACACACCAGATGCATTAGAGGTACAGAAACTTTTACAGTTAACTCTTACTATACCTTGTTCTACACAGATGACATAAATAAGTTATTATCATATTGTAGCTACTGTTCAGAAAGTTAAAATCTCATAGTTTGACTTGATAATCCCTAATGTTATCAAAGTAACTTACATTAAATAAAACCAGTAACAATACCAGTAACAGATCATGGGTAAATAAGCCAATTGGTCAATCCACATACATGTTTTTAAGTTTTCAAAGTAAGAATTAGCTCAGTACCTCTTTAGGATTTGGAAATGAAAAGGAATTTTTGTTAAGACAAGTTATGAATAAATCAGAATAAGGATTTGTTTATTATAATAATGACGGCAGTTCATTTAAATTATACATTTAGTGTTGATGCTCTCTGACAGAGTGATTTTATATGATTGTGATTATTTTAGGGAGTTATGCAAGTAGAGCGACGTCTAGGTGGCCGGTTGTTAGACAAACCAAAGCAGATTCCATTCCAAGATGGTGGACATAACCTTTGTTTGACAATAGAAGATCTTGGCAATGGTTGGAGAAGTAAACTTGCTGCTAACTATCAGGTATATAGAATTATTGTTTAATTTGAATTTACTGGTTACAGATTTGGTCAGAAATTTGAAATACTGACTTCATGTCCTTAAAAACTTTTTAAGTGTAATGCTAAACTGAAATATTAAAAGATTGTTAACACACCAGAGAATAACACCAACAAAAAGTAAAGCTGTAGGAATCTGTCTTCTTGACAAAATTGAGATTTTGAAATCATTGAGGGAGCCTGGTCTCTTGCGAACAAATTTTTTTTCTCCAAGAACTATTAAAAGAATGATGATGTGGTTTGAGTATTGGTCTGTAAGGGGGAAGTTGTTAGAAAATTAGACAATTCTCATTAATCTCTTAAAGCAGGGTCATTTGTTAAATATTTTAGATTTAATAAAAGTAGGATCACACAGTGTTCATATCTGAAATCTTTTGTTTCGACAGTCTGGATGTTTTTGAAGTGTTGTTTCAATCACAAGTTGTTAAGATGTCTGCAATGGCTGCTTAAAGCAGTATGATGGATTACTTTTCAATGGACGTTTTCACTCAAATCGAGGCATTCAATTGTCCTTTGAAAAATCAATGATGTTTTAAAGCAATTACCCATAAAATTGGTGAGGGATTATTAGTTAAAGATTACAAAGCACCAGATATTTTACAGACCAGGGTTGGTTAAAGTGATTTTGGACTAAATTGTTTTTGTGTCCATGCGCCAATAACGTGCTGTAGTAAATATGAAAAATTACCCATAATTCCACTTAATGGATCTGAGGCTCATAATAGTTAATATCAAAGTTTGGTTATAATAATAAAACGATTGGACGCATTTATAACAGCTTAATCACCAAGTAAATAATGTGAAAATTATGCAGATTATTTAAAGCAGACTGAAGGGATATTTTTGCATTTTATCTGTTTAGCACATGTTATGTTTAAAAGAGAAATCAGTCATGGGATTTTTTGTTAAAATTTCAATTACCAGATCAAGGAAGGCTGTAGCTTGGCAAATTGACTAAATCCTTAAAATCCTGAAATCCATTATGTAAAGGATTATATAATGCGACTGGAGAATTGTACTTTTTATAAATGCAACTTATTTGCCCAACTTTTTTTTCCTCATAAAACTTTCATAATGATATAAAAATTTTATGCTGATGTTTCCAATTAACTTTAATGTAAAAACATTAAAATCTCTAAAATCTTCAAAAGCAATAAAAGAAGATTCTGAAAATTTGAAAAATATTGGAATCTTGATGTACTTTTGAAATTAGAGTCAAAGTGTCAAATACATATAGTATATGTATTAAGATGGTACATCAGTTTTTTTGGGGGGTTTTTAGGGGTGGGGGGTGGGGGAGGAGAACAAACTTGGTATTATTATAATGAGATCATTTAGATAAAACCTTTATTTAAATCACGCTCCTGTTCATTAAATATCTAAACTGTATTATCCAGCCCTTTTGTAGATTATTATTAGACTTGACAAGATTTGTTAGTTTTTTTACTATGAAAAAAAAGATAAAGGAAATGAAAATCTTAAAAGATGATAAATGAGTTATAATTTACATTGAAGCGTAATCTGCTATGTATCATTTGTGTTTAGTTTGTATGATAGTTATGTAGTTAATTGTGATAGATGAGCGGAACTGAGAAACAATTCTCATCTAAAACAGATCTCATCATAAGAGAATCTAATTACACCCGTTATTCCAAAATGTTGTTTTCTATGTAAACAAGTAGTGCTGGGTGTTGGGATCTCTTTTTTGTTGGGATTGTTCATCAGCTTCAGTGTCCTGTTTAATGTTAATGGTTCAAATGATGTTATCCTTTCTTTATCTCCAATGATTAATGACCACTCCATATAAAACCTTTGTGCCGAAAAATGACAAAATGGAGGCAAACTATTAACATGACTCTACACATGTTTAAGGTTGTCAGATTTCAGAGAAAAAATCAAACAAAGAGGGTTAGATCAGATAAACTGTATTTATCTGCTATTCATGCGCATTTCTGTATGTTTTAGGTGTGTGTGTGTGAAAGGTTATGTAGGGTCAGGGTCTAAACCTTCATGGTATGGTTTGAGAATTGAAATATGTTTGTGTGTGGTTGTGGTGGGGGGGGGGTGAAGATATTGTTGGTATTTTCATACAGAGTGATTTGACTTGTGCTAATTTTCCCTGAAGAGGTTTGAAAAATGGGAAATGTAATGGTTAGATGTTCATCTTGTGATACCCTGACATGTGCCAGTGGTTAATAGGCACAAAATGTTCTATCATTGATAAGGGCTCTTTTGAAATGATCGGATGGGGGAAAATGGTACATGGGCCTTTGTTTGATTTCCATGAGGATAAGAATTGATAGTCAAAAACTCATTTTTTCTTACTAATTGATGGGGTTAAAAAATGAGAATAGATTTTAAAAAACAACATTAATTTGCATTCAGTTTCGGTATCAGTAAATGATCAATTCGCATTGAAGTGAACACGCGGACAGCTGTGGGAAACATTTCCGATTTTAAGTGACAGATTATCCTTTTGCCGATCTGTAAACATTATATAATTATCTTCATGTGATAAATTTTGGTTTAAAGATTTAATTTGAGGGTTGTATCTTGAGAGATTTTTTTCTCTTTAACTAAAACTGGGTCAGATTACAATTGTATCAGCAAAGTTGTAAAACTGGTAAGGTTCAATTTAGGTTCACCTTATAGAAAAGTTTATGTCTTCGATAATTGGTGCTTTTATTTTGTTCAAAATATATCTTTTGACATGTATTTGAATTAAGAAATATTTTTTGTTTCCAGGAGATACCTTTCCGACACATTTGGAGTGGGAACCAGAACAATCTGCATTGTTCGTTCTCGCTGGAGATGGTTGAACGTGTACAGGATGTTATACGTTGTAAGATTCAGGTCTATCAGAAAGCTATCCTCAGTAATAGACAAGTGCTCAAAATCAACACTAACTTTAAAGAGGTAAGTTGTTTTTGGGGTTTTTTTTATCTGAGGTTGTATACTGTTGGACAGTGTAAGAGTTAACTGTCATGTCAATAATAGTGTCATATATTTATATTTCTTAATATTTTTTTATAATTGTATGAATACTGCCATTGCCTGCAGTATTATGACATTGAAATTCCTATTTATTATCTAAAAAATGTAACAGAGTAGAGTAGAAAAAGGCATGGTGAGGTAATAATATATTGAAATGAGATAATTTTTTGAATGAAGTTTTAAAGGTTTTATTCTCATTGATATTTTCAGCCTCCTACGTGCTCTAGCCCAGTTGCAAATACACTAAAAGGTCGGTCCTCCACTGTCACCTCGGCAACAAACTCGAGTTCTGGTGTAAGTTCAGTGATAAATGTTGACACATCAACTGCGGCCTCACGTTTGCCATCACATATAAGGAATCAGCTGTGTGTGTTGTTAGATACACCTTGTGCTAGAGGCAATGACTGGAGAATGCTTGCACAGGCATTAACTGTAGATAGGTTAGTATATAACTTAGACAAAATCACATTAAAATGTTGGATTTATTGTCTGTTAGTCAATATTATAAAGTTACATTACTGTATGATTGATTTGATCATTCTTACCCTGAAAGAAATTCCTACAGAGCATATTTGACATTGTTTCATTTTTGTTATATATAAAAAAATACTGCTTTATAAGATAATATTAAAAGTAAAGTTGCCTATTTAAATGTATGGACAGTTATCTGAATATGCTGATGTATCCAGGAAATATATCATTTTTATATTCCCTCATTTTATATATAACGATTTTTGTATTTCAGGTATATAAATTATTTTGCAACAAAAACGTCTCCGACAGAACATATATTGGACTTATGGGAAGCAATACATCGAGAAGACACTGCAGTCACTGACTTAATGAATATCTTACGTGTTATGGGACGCTTAGATGCTGCCGCAGTTCTAGAAAAAGATATCGGCTCATGGTTATGAACCACAAGTGGTCTATTTGACAGAGTATAGTGAAAAAATAAAGTGAGCAATTCACTCTAAAAATAGTTTATAGTATGCTAAATAAGAAAGGTGTTGTAATGGTCAGAATTGTGTCCCTTCATTTAACTCTGCTGTGAATGATGGAGGGCGATATAGTCTGCTTGAAATATAACAGTAGTATTGCTTCTTGTCAATACTGGAGGTTAAAAGTAGGTGCTTCTCACCTTGAAGTTAGACAATATAAATAGTGCTTTCTGGTGAAGTCAAACTCCAAATAAAAATTAGTGAACAGAACTAAAAAAAAAAAGAGTTTTCTCAAATGTTTTCCTCAGATGGTGAAGCCAAAAAGGTAGACTAAGTGAACTTGTCGGAGAAATGATCAATAAAAACATACGTATGTGTGGACCTATTCTTACCATAGTGTTATATGTCTGACATGGGAGGAACAAAGGGTGAACTGGAAGAGAAAACCCCAGACAAAAGACTGGTTCTATGCAAAGTGTGATATCTGCAATATAAAATCACATCTTGTTAGAGAAAACTGCTGACTAATGTGTCAATATGTGGATCTGATGTTGTGTGGGAACAGCTTAAAGCTGTGTTGCACGACATGTTTTATTTACAATTTATATTATGTATTGTAAATGGATACTTTTTCTTTAAGTCTGTGATCTATAAATACCTAGCATGAGAATATATATCCTATTTTGTATAGGTACTTTTTTGCGTCAAATTTAGTCCAATGTTGTTTTTTTTATTCTTCTTTTTTGTATCATTTGGATATAGTGCTGAGAGTAAAATCTTATCAAAAGTGAAGAAAAGGATTTCACAGGGCATTGTGTCATATTTGAATAAAGCTTAATATGCTTAAATCTCTCTTTTTTTTTGTTGAGTGCAAATTTCTTATTCAAATTCAGGTTCAAATAAGTAAAAAAACTAAATACAGAATAACATCTGTGTTTTAATTTTAAGCATGAACAAGATTTTAAGATCTGGACAACACAGTGCAAAGAGTACATGGTTGCTATGCATGTCTAAGAACTACTTTTACCTGTAGCTCATTAATATGCAAAGCTTGTGAACATTTTATACATGTAGGGAGAAATATTTTACCTGCTTACTATGCATATATGATCATATGCAAGTTTGGAATTCACAAAAATGATATATTGTGCTTAAAAACAGAAATAAAATGTGCTTACATAGTAGTTAAAATGCTAATTTGCATTTGATGCAGCGGGAATAAATTCTGTTGTTCTTATATCTATGTATTATTAGTTTTATTATTTTTTTTGGCATTTTTAAGAGGCAGGAAGCTTGCTGTTGGAATTAGATTGACATTATATCATTTAACTAGGAGAAATCATGAAATCTACTACACTTGTTAAGAATGTGTTCAAGACGTGAAATATGATACTGTTTTTGGAAGTTACCATAGTTACTGTTTATGATTATTTAATGATACATAGTTATATTGTTTTTTATTTAAAATTTGTTATTTGTGCACTTGTAAATATGTATATAGAACTATTGATGTATATAGAAAACAAATTCGCGCAAGGAAATATCATATGCAAAGGTAGCTAAATCTTGCTTGTTCTAATTGTAATGACTTGTAGGATTAGTTTCCCTTAGTTTGAAGAGAAACAAAAAAAATAATACTTAACTTGAACTATACTGTTTACTATCCAGATATCTTATGTTCTAGTCATTGCATTAGAATAGATAGTCATTGATTATCTTTTATATAAATCATTACTATGATAGGAACAGAAATTTATCCAATTATATTGTAGTAAGAGAACTACATAGACAGTGAGTCAGAACTGACTGAACTTTACACAGAATGTGTTTGTCCACAGTAATATAATCAGACACCCGATTTACTATATTACTATATATCCAAACATTATTATGCAAATTCATTCTACTACAAAAAATGTTTATCTTCTTTGGAGAAAAAGGTAGTTAATTAATGAAAGAAAAATATACTAAGAAATAAAAAAAAGGTTAAATAATCAGTGACTGAATTAGAATATTTGCAAGGTCAGTGGACGCTCTCTTTTATACTGCATTGGTGCTAACTACAGTTATTCATACCATCACTTCACACTTCATACAAATCTATTTTACCGGAAGCCACATTACTTTCCACAAGCTTGCATTTTGTATGTACTCATCTCATGTTATATATATATATAATCAAAGGCTTTAAGAATTGGAACAGGAAATAGTCAATGCTGAAATCAAAATACATGTTACAATCTTCCATAGTAGAATCACCTATATATGAATAATGTGCCATTTGTGAACAGTTTTTGTTTTTATTTGGCTAGTGTGAGTAGTATCACGTTTTTAGCTATTACTATTGTATCCTTGTATAAAGAAATCTTTGAGAAAAAAAGATAAGAAAATAAGGAAAAACCAATATTTGGCATTTTCATTGAATTTTAGATAAAGTATTTAGACATTCATGGGACAAAGAAGCTTGTGCCTACTTTTGGATAATGTGAAGTGATTATAATTCAGTTTAAGTTGTTTTTCATCGACATTAAAAGGACAGTGCAGAATTAATTAATAATTCACCTCACATACTTTTTTTTCTGTTTATTAAGAAGTCCAGGACATTAGAGATTAGTTTTGCTTATCTTCTATATATCTAACATTGAAAGTTGAATCTCTAAACTCTGCAGTGTATGTACTTGGGTCAAAATGCAGTCAATGTAAATATAGAATTTGATTGACGGACATTCCTGATATATTTAAAGCTATTTTCGGTTTAACAGAGCAAGATGAACAGCTGTGATTACCCTAGGTCAAATTGATTTTCAACCCACTGAAACCAAAATATCACAAGTTATAAACCTGTTTTGTTTTCTTTTGTTTTCAAGTTTGTGTTAGTTTTGAGTTAATTTCATTTTTGTTTTAATTAGACAAAACCAATATGTTGGTGAATACTATATCATCTGAAAAATTCTTAAATCATCAGAGATATTTACTTGTATCTTTCATTTAATCTTTTGACAATGACTAAAGTAATATTATTTTACCTTTTAGTTAAGATTATTCATCTGGCAATGTTTTTAAAGAATGACAATAATACTTTTAAATTTCACTGGTGCTTTCATGTCTGTATTTTTGCTTTCTATGCTTAAACATTCTCATTCTCAAGTTCTTTACTGCAATGCTGTCATTGGTTATTTTTTAGCCAATCAGAGTGCAGAGTTTTGGACTGGTTCAGATTAGGAATTAAGCAAGTCATTGTCTCATATACATGTAAGTCATTATTGGAACAGTGTTCCATTACATGACCCCCTATTCACCACTGCCAAATTATCACAGAGAGAAAGTAACTGTGCTGGTAGATAATTTACTAAAATTAATATACCGTATTTATGATTGTTATTTCAAATGTGAGCACATTGTGAGCAAAGAAAAACAAAATATAAAACTTGGTAATGCAGGTGATAGATATACAGATTTACATTGTTTTCAACAAAACAGATTACATGAAAATATTCTTATGATTAGACTGTTGTAAGTAATTTGGCAGTACAGTTTTAGCTTTTCTTATTACTTATCCATATTTGTATTGATGCAGAAATTTCCATTTGAATTTGTATGAATGACATTTTATTCTTATTTATGTTTGTAAATAATGAAAACTACAAATTAAAAAAATATGTCAAATCAGATGTTGTTTGTATTTCTTTAATTATTTTCTTTTATAACCAGAAGCCATCTTATAATGTTAACATGTATTGTAGTTCTGGTCCTTCGGGATCATTGATTAAAGCACTTTAAAATGATTTTGAGTCGAGTACCACTCAAGCCGTGCCAGGGAGCGTGAGAGATGTTGCACTATTTCATTACCCCTGATGTACAGCCTGAATCAAACCGAGTCTTCAATTTTCATGTAATTTTGCTGACTTTAATGCTTTGGAGTGATTATGCCACAGCTGTAGATAGGGTGTGTCTAAGATGTTGTGTTGAAGTACTAAGTAAAAGCAGTTATTAGCTCGACTTTTCTATGAAAAGGGGAGCTATCCTACTCGCCCCGGCGTCGGCGTCGGCGTCGGCGTTGGCGTCGGCGTCGGCGTTGGCGTCACACCTTGGTTAAGTTTTTCGTACCACCCCACTTTATTTCAGAAGTATTACAAGTATGGCTTTGAAACTTACCATACTTGTTCACCATCATAACCTCCATCTACAGACAAGAGTACATAACTCTGTCAAGGTTTTGACAGAATTATGGCCCTTTTTTTGACTTAGAAAGTGTATTGAGCTTGGTTAAGTTTTTGTACCACCTCACTTTATTTCAAAACCATTGGAGGTATTGCTTTGAAACTGACCATACTTGTTTACCATCACGACCTTCATCAACAGACAAGAGGACATAACTCTGTCAAGGTTTTTGACAGAATTATGCCCCTTTTTGACTTAGAAAATACATTGAATATGGGTAAAATCCACTTATTGCCTTAACCCTTTGAGATATTGCTTTTGAAACTTTTAATGCTATTTCACATCATTACCCCCATCTGTACGCAAGAGAAGGTAACTCTGTCAAGGATTTGTTTTTAAAAATTAAGGCCTTTTATCGACTTAGAATCTTGGTTAAGTTTTTAGTACCAGTCCACTTTTTGACTGAACTGTTTGAGATATTAATTTGAAAGTTGGAATACTTGTTTACAATCATGATTCCCAAACATGTCCAGGAGAAGGTAATTCTGTCAAAGATTTTATTTGAATTATGGCCCTTAACTGTCAATGTTTTGTATTATAGGCAAGCACTAAAAAACTTAAAAAATCTAAAAAAATTCATTCCTATCCACTTGTTCACTTTACCATAAATTATGTCATATAAACATTGCTGTAATATTCAAGGGTATCAAACAACTAGTTCACTTTAAAAATACAGAGATTCTTGTATTGCCTTTTACTGCAAAAACTTTTTTTATTGGCAAGCAATAAAAAAGTCGAGCGCGCTGTCTTACGGACAGCTCTTGTTATTATTGCACCTAACTTGAAAGCAGATAGATTGTTTACTCAGATTAATCTAGAAATCTTTTTACTCAGGTAAGGAAATGTGTCGGAAATTTTCAAGAATCATTTCTGCCTGTTAAGAATGAAAATGTCATTTGACTTTGGAAATAAAACATTTCTAGATGTTCAAGTACTATGCAGTACAATGGAATGATAATATTTTGATTCAAAATATGTGTATGCCTTAACAGAATTTTAGTGACACATGACATCATTAATTATCATCAATTAGTGTGCTACTCCTGGTCTCTGTCACAAGATAAGTACACGTTACACAACTATGAAATACCCTCATCTACCCACCTTTCGCTGCAGTTGCACTACTCCCTACCCCAGAGCAGTTCAGTGCAGTCATAGCTTGCATCGAACATGTCTCACCCTAGTTTTCAACATTTTATCCTCTTTTAAACAACTCATAAACCTTGCGATTAACGATGCGCAGACATGTCAACGTCCCCGCGAGGGGCCTGACATTAACGGAATAACAGATAGATAGATACTCGGAGATCATGTGGTCATTTTTGAAAAGTCATTAAGACGTAGATAAAGCCTCTAACTCTTTTCTCTTTGATGTAATCATTAATGGTAACTTTATAAGACATTTGTTTTCAAGGGGCGTCCATGAAATGAAAGGATAATATATTGATTCAACATACAAGTGGTTTAGGTCGTTGCCTTTCATCGCTGTAGGTTTGAGCCGCGCGAACGTAGGTGATCCATTTGTGCCTGAAATAATGCACAAAGTCAGAACCTGGAATGTTCCCTCACCAGTAAACGCAACCATCACCTCGTCTATATATATAAAAAAATCAAATGTTATGTAGGCTTTTCACCTCAGCCGAAAGGAAGACGATAAGGATAAATATTTAAACATTACACACGTAGATGTATTTTATCAATGCTTTCCCAACAAACTGCTGTAATGCCGTATGAAAAATATGGTTGTTTTTTATTTTCAAAGTTTTGTTTAAAGTGAATCGATTTTTTACCAAGTCAGATACAGGTAGAATAAATAAAAAAAACTTTAATGGCGAAGTGAATAATGAGTTGAAAATAGATTTTCGCTAAACTAAAAATGGAGATGATGTGTCTTTAAATGTAAACTATTCCAACATAGTCTATTGTTAGTTTTTGACGAATTAAATTCCAATCCAGCGTGAAATTGAATCTATTTGCCATGTTCTCTTAGAATACAGAAATAAAATATCTTCAAGTTTCAAGAACATAGACTCTACATAATTATCTGTTAAGAAACAAACTTATAACCCGAAAGTGATTTAGTATTGTTCTCTTTAGAGCCAGAACTGTCTGCACACCAAGACTCTATACTTTTGGTATCTCAATTTTTGTATTTTGATATTGAAATCTCTTAATTTCCAAATTATAAGCACGGCACATCCAGGTAAACGATTACGTATCACATTATCAAAGCCCCTTTATATCTTGAGAATGCACTCTATAGGTTTTAAACTTTTAACTCATTGTCCAATGCCTATTAAGACCAAAATTTGATCAGAATAGCCATCATTAAATATCTGGATTTTTGTTGTTGTTGTTGTTGTTAAGTATTCAGCAACACCGACACTGTATTAATGGTCGTATGACTACTTGTGGTGAAAGACGTCAGGTGTCTGTTGTTGCTTCAACTTAAAAGCTTGTAATCAACCCTCTGTACAATCTCAAGATGTTGTAGTTACCATCAGCCAGGGTATACAAATGTATGTTACTTTTGACAGAACAAATCATAGCATACACATTAAAAAATAAAATAACCCACTCGGGTCAAGTACAAGTTTAAAAAAAACAACTCTAATGTATCGCCAAAATGGCAAAAAGAACTTTACTGCAAAAGAAGGTGTGCAAATATTCTGTAATAATGACTGCGAAAATACAAAATCGATAGATGAGAAGAGAAAAACTAAGGGATTTCCACTATGGAAATATCGACGTGACAGGGTTCTAGACCTTGTACACTATTAAGTCTGTACGAGAATCATGCGTAGCAGAGTCTTACTGTCCGAACAGACTTAATGCGATAGACTGTGATTTCCATCTATAAATTAGAGAATAACGGAATCTCAAAAGAACACCCAAACGACAAAATTGAAAATGATGCAAAAATTTTGTTTTCATTGCTTTTGATAAATTAGAGGAGGTACCTTAGAAACAAAAGTCAACATAAGCTCATATGCATAGTTTCATTTGTTTTACACCAGTATGCGTTGAGGATTTTCGTTTAGCTTTATCAATGTATCTTTACAAAATTTTTAATGTTCTCAAAGAATACAACCCGACCCGGAATCTCTCGTCAAGTATTTTATGCCAGAAGGACACCCAGCCAGTTTACTGTTGGCAGACGCTTCTACCCAAGTTCCCGCCTAAAAAGATAAAAGGGCGAGATTTCCTTGTCTTCCTCAACGAGTGAAACTGGTTATCAGAGACAATTTTCTAGAAATAAGAGGTTATTAAATTTTATCTTAACATACTGTTACTTTTTAAATTCCCTATCATAATTCAAACTAAAATTCGAAGTGCTAAAATACCTAGCTTTATCTTCAAATGGTCCCAAAAGGATTCTGTAAGTCAGTGATGAGGCAAGACTATAGTAATGGACGTCTTCGTCATGAGCATGATCTACTGCAAATAATAACAACACTAACGGGTCTTAAATATATATTCACTGTCGATTATAAAGTGATGGTTCACGTTACCAAGCTATTTTGATAATGCAATTTAATGAAACCGAGCTGAAAAAACAAAATAACTTCATACCATGTATATATATATTGATTCTTGAACGGATGAATAATTTAACTTCCTGGTTCTAAAAAAGTCAGATTTGGCTGGGCTCCAAGTAAAACGTATAAAATTACATTTACATTAGCCATTACAGTTATGTTTACATATTGATTTTTACAAACTTGGTTACAGATCTTCACAAAAACGAAACTGACGATATGTTTATACATACGTAGTTTTCCACATTTAGAGAAGATAAGGACAGTGGTATTTATAAGTTAGATTTAAAATGGCAGAGAATATATTATATAGGCGGACAATGACTACAAAAGAGGAAGAAATGGAATCGTTAGCACTAAATAGTTTCTTGGATAATATTGAACTGAGTGAAGATGACATTAAATCAAGGGTATCGCTGTTTAGTTATTTGGAAGCATTAGCTGGAGCTGTAGATTATCAACCAGATTTCCAACAAACATCTATTACTGGGTCTACAATGGACGGTGTATACTGGAAAGGGTATGAATCTGACCTTGACACGATGGTACGTTTATCTTATGTGGCTGTAGTTGAAAATGGGGACCAAGAAGTATCAGTGAAAGGACCAGTGTTTGAAATGGTACATGAAAATGTTCACCCTGGCTACACAAGGCTTAAGCTTATAAAAGATGGTCCTAGAGAGGAAAACAATATATTTGCAACTACACCGGACGGTGCAAAATCATTTTGTGTAAAGGAAAATGGTGAATATTTCTTATCTGCATACAAAATGAAGTACGCATCGAATCTGTACTTGCATGTTCCAGAGAAACCGCAATGGGTCGTTCAGTCCAGTTACGCATATGGTGTCGAGTGGCCGGATGATGAAGAACTTTTAGAACATGGACCGGCAATTTGCTTTTCTGACCACTCCAAGGAAGACGAACCACCTTCTGATATGGTTCCTTCTTTTACATGTCCAAACTGGCCATCAAAGGCAATGGAATGGGTTACCAGGAAAAGAACTCATTGGCCTTCAGCTGAAATAATCGAAACTCTTGTAAAGCAGGGGTGCAGAGTTGTTCCCGTTGGATTCAGGGGAAGTCCGAATAAGCATGTTGAGTGGAGAATTTCTTTCACTTTAACTGAACGCAGTTTGATAAGGACTTTTAATAACACGCAATACAAATGTTATGCTTTGCTGAAAATGTTACTAAAGGAAATCATTGATAAAGAGGTGCCAGAAGTACTTTCGTCCTTCCACATGAAGAATACATTGCTCTGGACCATTGAAAAAACTGATGCTGACATCTGGAGACCAGAAAAGATGACATTCGCTTTCCTGCAGTGTCTAGAAAATCTGGCTAAATGGGTGAAGAAAGGATATTGTCCAAGTTATTTCATAGTTGAAAACAACGTGTTCGACTTGAAAGTAATTGGAGAAAACCAAAGGAAGTTGGTCAGTATTTTCGAGAGGATAATTGCGGAAAAATGGAAATGCCTTTTGGAGTGCGAGACATTTAAGAAAAATGAACATTTTATGGAGCTCATACAAGAGCAAAGCGAGCTGTCCTTCACCAAAATTATTGAAAATTTCAAAGGCGGCGATCCTAATCAGATTTGGTTCAATCATGACAAGAAACTATTTGAGAGATACGAGCATGCACGAACAGAGATATTTAGCCAGCTTGACGGGCATGCTGATATTGACCTTACAATTGTCGATCATCACGAAATGATAACGAAGCTACAAAATGAGAGGTCTCCCTCGCAATTTCACAGTACTGCTGTTGAACCTCTTGTCTTGTCAGTGATGACAAGTCTTGGGTCACATCTTTTTGCCAAACATCAAAATAAAGGAAACACTGAGACGCTTACAAAAGCAAAGGAACTGATGGAGAAGGGTATGGCATCCGATGCTACATGTGGACCTCTTAAACTCGCAAACTTTGAGCTTATGAATGGAAATACATCACAATGTTTACAAATCACAACTGATGTTTTGGCAAATCAACATTTGGTACAATCACTGCTTCCCCAGTTTCTACCAAAATATATCGGTACAAGTGACGAACAATTAGAAAAGTATGAATCTTTTGTTTCATCTACGTCAACAGTACAGGAGCGTTTCCGAAGCTCAGCAGCACATGCGGTTGTCTTCTTTCCTACTGAAATCGATGCATCTCCTAAAGCAGTGCGGTTTCAATTGAATAGCCGTGTACCGGAGTCTATGGCGCATTTGCGTTGGTTGAAATGGGCAATATACGATCCGCTTGTGTACGCACATTTTTTGAGGTTCCTATGCTATCAAAAGTTGCAAAATGCCGACAAAGGACAAGAGGAGCTACAAGCTATTGAATCTTTGATTGATAATGATCAAGTAGGATATGAAATGTCGGCATTCAACCTTTTAGGTTTCTCATACGCGAGCATGGGTAATGTTGAAAAGGCCATGGGATTCTTACTAAAAGCCAAAGAGATAACATTATTGCCTGACGCTGGCCTGTGGCAGTTTGGTGGCATACTAAGCACTTTGTTGGGTGGAAGCAAGAAGAAGGACTAAACTAAGAACCAATGAAGACATATTGTAACTTGATTTGACTTTGTATCTTGATAGTGTAATCGTAGAAACACATCTACTTCCGATGATCGCAAAAACTGATACAATTTGTATATTTTTGATACAGTGATCGTAGTATAGACTCGCAGTAAATGATACAGTGATTTTGTTTCTACACTTTGGTAGTATTAGTTTAAGTCAAGTATAGAAGTTGTTGAAAATTTGTGTTACATTGATTCATAATGACATTGTTTTTCAATAAGTAAATTTTGATTTAATTAGAGTTTTGATGCGTAACAATCCCAATCTTTTTATATAGTAATAGTATAATTCTGGTGATATTTATATACATGACGTATAATTAATGTTTATGAATGATGTACATATGTATGGTTGATACATACTGCTTATTTATGCATAACGATGCTTATGCATGGTTATAGTTTTTATGCATGACCACTGCAAAATCTTTTTATTTTATACATGATTAATAGATAATGATTATTCATGATTAACTGATAGATGTTATGTAAAAATTCACTGTTTTTGTATACCCCTGTTTGTATACCCATGCATGATTGACACATGAAGACGAGTATTTTTTTCTATATTGTTCGTTGGCAATTATTTAAGATAAACTTGTTCTTTACTAAATATATCGCAAACCAAGCTCTGTTTTGCCTTATACAATTCTAACCGTCTCCATATTTTCAATAAAATTACAAATTAAGCTACTTGATAAAACAGTTGAACCAATTTTAGTATTTGTGGTTATACGGTGTTATGGGAAGCAACTTATTAGAAGCGCTTGCTTTAATAATCATGAAAAATCAGTGGCAATCTTGAGTACGTTGGGGATTTTGTTTGTATCATAAGTTTCTTAAACCGGCTGTATTCAGTTGCAAGTAGAATTAAAGGGATATTTCTTATACTTATTTAACCAAAATATTAGCATATTTTGTATGAAAATTTGCAGAAATATTTTGACTTTACGATGGTATTACGATCCATATTAAATTATGGGAAAGTTTTTTTTTAAAGATATTGATGGGGGTTAATTAAATGTAGAACACTTATTTACTACAACAATTTTGTATAACAAATAACCTGGCATTTCTACATGACTTTACTTTGAATGTTAAACAGAAATGAAAAATCTGTAGCATTTAGAAATATGTTTATTTTGCAGCCCATAAACATTATCATTATTATTATACACATATTTTTATAAGAACAAAACAAACAAAACAAAAACATTTTATAACTAACCATAAAGAAGTGTTCCGTTTAAAGAGACAATAGGAGAAAAATGAGTGTTGAGTGTTTAGATGTTTGTAATTATTTACATTGAACTTAAATGTTTACAAATATATTTAGCCTATAAAATGTATTTGTTATTGTATTTGTATCATAAGAAGTTCAACCATTCATTTAACAGCACAAAGCTTTACAATATAACACATTTTGAACGTCTCTTCCCCGGAAGTGGACTGCTCCGTCTGATATGGGATACTAAGGAACTAGCCCTGGTTTGAGCCATGCGGAGATCTGTTCTCATGCTGGGTCGTCGGGCGTTTGGTTGCACGGCTCCACAGGCTTCACTAATTTTACGGTTGATTGACCCAAAAATACCTCTGTTTCTTCCGGTTCCATGATATGACGGTGTCACTTTTCTATGTAGTGCAGGGCTCATTTCTGGTGGTAAATTAGCAAGTTCAAACAGTCGAATGAACATTTTCTCAATATTGATGTTTAACATTGCAGACGTTTCCACGAAATCACACATTGGTCTTCCCGACAATATTGTTGAACTCTCAGTCGCGGTAACAGCACGCATTTTTGTAAGGTCACATTTGTTTCCTACAAGGACTAAAGGAGGAGGTAGATGACATGGGATCAATGTCGTTTGACTACAATACTCTTCTAATTGCTGAAAGATTTTCTTGGCTTCGTCGAAAGACTCTCGACTGGTGATGTCAAACACAAGTAAAAACATATCCGCTGAAATGAAAATAAAAATATGAATATTATAAAAGCATAAAATCTCTATTGAATATGAAAATGTATGATAACAGAGTGATAGCAGAGTGATACTTATAGATGCAGTAGGTACATTACTGTTCATCGTCTGTTACCGAATCACAAACTTTTGGAGTAAACAAGACTCGAGAAACACTCCAGTCTTAATAAACCAATGACAAAGGCAGAAAAAAATACAAAAGCAAAATGATTATGTAAAATATAACATAATATAATTATCTCATATAGAAATTGACTCTGGATAGTATTTTTTCCTGATTATTCATTGGAAGACCCGGAAATTTGAGGGCAATAACTGACCAGGCAAATGAGCCGATGTCTGGTACGTAATAAGACCAAAAATTTTAACTGAAATAACAAAAAATGCTATTTATAATGAAACAAACCTGTCACATATGATATTCTTCTCATGGCTGGAAATGGGTGGAAACCGGAAGTGTCGAGGACGTCTAACCTGTACGCTTCTCCGCGAATCTTGTAAATCTTCCTGTAAAAGTTCTCCACAGTTGGCACATATATACCATCAAATGTGTCATATATAAATCTTGAAACAATGGCCGATTTCCCCACTTTACTAGAGCCGAGAAGAACAAGTCGTCTGCAGTTCTCAGGTAACGCATTTTCACCTCGATCTTGCAACGACATTGCCTAAAATGAATAAAGAAAATGATAAAGAAAAAATCCAAACTGTATTTTATATGGATCAGAATAAAACAACAACAACACGACTGATACAAAATTAATAAATAAATGTGACAACTTAGATTCATAATGAATAAAGCTCCAAACACTCGAAAAGTTAATAAAAGTAATATTGACACTGAATGCGATTTAAATCAACTCATGCAAATGTGTATGTTATGGTAAAAAAAATTAAAAATCGTAAGTGACGTTTGTATTTAGAATTTTAGATATGCTATGATAAGAAAATCGCTACAAACCATTATCCCGTTATGTTATTTTGAATTGCCTTGTAGCAATGGTTTGCTGACAATACAAACATAAATACGGTAACTGACAAGGGGATAATTGACTGTCAAATTTCTGTGTTTGTCGTCTATAACTGGAAGAAACATTGTTATTGATTTGGTTCCATTCTTTGTATCTTTATGTTACAACAAGTAAACAACTATTGTTAAGGAAAGGCAAAGTATAGCAACTCTTCCGAGGTGTGCTTGGTTCATTTTTTTCCACAGAGCATTATGATATACTAAAGATAGTTAACAACTTGAAATGTGTCCTTGGACACGGATGCCCAACACTCCACGGTTTTATCAGTCTACTGACGTACAGAGGAAAACAAAGCCAGCAAACCCCCAACTACACATGCTGACAACAGTCCTGTAAAAGTTCATAAATTGCAAACTTCTACTAAATCAAGGGCAGTAACTCTACAAAAACTGGATAAATCCATAAGCAAAACTTAGTGAATAACTATGCATGCTGACCAACATTCTTGTGAAGTTTCATGACTCCAGGTCAAACACTTTTGGGCTATGTGCCAAACAAATTGAAAATTGCAAATTTATACTAATTCAAGGGCAATAACTCTAACAACACAAAATTTAACCACTCACAAACCTCAGGTGCACAGCTTTGCATACTGATCAACATGCCTGTAAAGTTTATTGATTCTAGCTCAAGCATTTTACACATGACACATTTTGGAACGGTTTTTACTAGGTTAAGAGCAATAAATATGTCATGGCAGAGTCAATGAAATACATATATACAAAGCAGAAAGAATTGAATGGACCATTACATGTAAATATTTTTTATAGTAAAAAAGTAATCTGAACTTTTCATTCTTTGCAGCTGAATATTGACACCTATTTGAATACTGTTCCCACGCATGTAGGTGAGTTATACAAAACATGAGGAACAATTGTATATTGTTTTATCATAACATATAGGGAGATGATTTTTAAAATATTTTTTCTGAAATTATGATACATTGTATAATGTCAAACACTTTTATAGTTTTCAAACAAGCCATTTCAAAGTTTCATGATATGCTCCACACAAAAAAACAAAGGGAGATCATTACAAAACGTCATCAGGTCATCAGTCAGAGTTGACGTTCTTCAATCCAGATCAGTCAATCTATTTCACAATCTATAACCTAATATAAATAGAAATCTAAACATCTCCTAGTCTCTATCTATCGGTATCAATTCATTTACAGTTATGCAAATTTTGCAAAAAAGGGAGATAATTCAAATATGGGACCAGTAGTTCTCCGTGTATCATATATTCAAGTTTATATTCAACTCTTGAATAGTTTTATTTAGAGTTATACTTCGGACAAGCAAAACGGCAACTGAGAAGACCACAGGGTCACTCCCACATACTACTACATTAAACGTTGTTTGTTGGAGGTGTCTTATGAGCTTGTCTAACATAAATGGGCATATATAGTTCTATAAACATGTTACAATTCTTACCCATTAAGAAAGATTTGTAAAATAAGTGACAAACAACAAGTCAGTGTATGATTTATAAGCATTTATTACAGTGTCCCTACATCACAAAAGCAATCTATATATATTTATTAGTTTAAAGCAACAAAATACTACACACACTACTGTTAGCAATTACAAGAGAGCCTCGGAGACCCTTGTATTGCTCACCTGAGTAGAGACTTCAACAACGTTCACCCTATGCTTGGGCAAGTACCATCACTACTCCATGACAGAAAGTATAAAATGTATTTATATATGTATTGTATCTAATAACAGTGACCTTGATAAAGCAACCTAAAATCACACATTAGGGTAGGGACTTACAGTTACGTAAATTTACCTACATAAAATGTGGAAGATACTAGTTAATAATTGAAGGCTGAATCACAAAAAATAAGAAATCTATTCTGACGCATAATGTACCAATGTCAAAGATTTATATGAGGTACATTTATATCAGACATCTAACGTATAGCTCATTAAAAACATGCTCTAAGGACAGAAAAATAGACAAACGAGCTGCGTCACGACAAAACCAACATAGTGGGTTTGCGACCAGCATGGATCCAGACCAGCCTGTGCATCCGCGCAGTCTGATCAGGATCCATGCTGTTCACTATCAGTTTCTCTACTTGCTATAGGGTTTGTAAGCGAACAGCATGGATCCTGATCAGACTGACCAGGTCATTCTTTTAATAACCAAATATCTAAATCTTGGTCTTGTGGTTTCCGAGAAGTATATTTAATACCTTTTCATTAAAGATATTCTATGCTCATCTTTTAGTAAAATACTTTTATAGCAGAACTTAATTGAAATTGAGTATACTCTTCACGAATATGTCTAATCTGAATAAGTGAATGCATAAACTAAGTTTGAGAAGCTGCATTTCGCTTTTACTTGTCAAATTAATTTGGCCTATCCTTTAAAAAACTGCCAATTTTTTAATGACACTATATAATCATACTGTGATTACCTGTAGTGTGTAGAGTTTAAATGCAACATTTTTCCTCTTTTTGTATTCAAAAGATGTTTATTTAACTTTTCAAAAGAGACAGTATAGTTATTATCAGGGTTTTTTTTTTCAAATATCAAATTTGAGCATAATACATTTTGTATATCTTTAAAAAATAAACATTCAAAGTCTCTTTCTAGCATATGTGCCCATGTATGTATCATACAACATACAACAATTTAGGGAAACTTGGCAGAGCATCCTACAATAAAAATCTCAGGTTAGTTCATTTAATTAGGCTAAACTATTAGAGAGGAGTTGTTATTTGGACAAAAAAAACAGCTGACGAAAATAGTAGGACAGCAATCAATCCTAAAAGCTCACTGGAGTATCATGACCATTGTCATTGTGCCCAGGTGAGCTGAAGATCTTACAACAAACTACTATATGTATCAATAAAATTAAAGGGTAATGATAAATTCAGAAAAACTAAATCAATCCAATAGCTTTACATGTTTGACTATTTTACAATGTCAAACAAGTCTAGATTTTGGTGATAATGATGACGATAATGATGATGATAGTTAATTTCAAGCAATAACTGCCTATACTATTATTCACTAGCAAAAACAACCTATTTTTCTCTATTGCACCTTGTACCAGGATTCACTTGCAGATCATTAAAATGAAAAACTAATAACAAAGTAAACATGAATGCCTTGTTTATTAATTTATGTTATAATTGAAATATTTCATAGACAAAGTCAGGTGATGTGAAACATAAAACGATTATTAAATTTACTCACTGCTTTTACAAAAAGTCTGTATACTTAGATAATAGTTACAAACATCAAGTGTATATTGTGTAAAATAAGTATAGAGTGTGAATACCACAACAGTATAAGGTTATATCATGGATGGAAATACCCTGACATAACAAAAATATAGCCAGAAAGAACAAATGAGTTCATGTTATACAATGAAGTTCTCTATAAAACTTCTGTGATGTATGACCAACTGACATGAAATTATGCTATCTCTTTAAAGTGACAGTTTTCCAGCGAGTGACCTCAATGCTATCAACAGATTGACTATAAATGATTCAACTGTAACAAACTTATATATATATAATTTTAAATTTTACTTTACATATTCATATATTATATGTTGATGAATGAAAATAAATGACAAAAAAAAAATAACACAAAGAACCCCTTTACATCTAATGCACATAAACACAACATAGGAAACAAAATTATATCTCACCATAGGTGGAAACAATCAAGAAAGAAAACAAACCAAAGACAAGTAAAAAATCATAAAATACAAGACAAAACTATCATAAAAACATTTTAAAAAGAGAAAATACTTCAAATACATTAACAAATGATATAACAACTACCACAATAAAAGGGCTTGGTTCACTAACCCCATAAAAGTGCCCTAAAATTTTGAAAAAATAAAATAGCTTAACCAAATCAAATGCGTTTGTTTTTATGTAGACCTATCCTAAACCTGTACAAATATGTAGCCCATTAAGATTTTGTGATGAATTTTTCCAACAAAAATATCACTTTCACACACCCTGGTTTTAACTAAACTGGCTTTTTTGTGATTTTTTTGCATGTTTTATCCTAAAAATAGGTATGAGCCACCACATGTGCCAATTTATCACTTGGCATCAGTGTTCAATAAATAAAAACAAACATGAAAATGTATGTTTGCAAGTGGCACACGTGGTGGCTCATATCTAAATTTGAACTTAAGGCACAATCATAATTGAAAAAATCATGTTTAAAAATTCAATTTCAAATAAAACAATTATGTCATAACATGTTGTATCAATAAATAAATTACAAATATTTATAATAGATAATTATTTCAGCAATGTCTGTTGTTGAGAAACTATTAGACTTAATGTTTTATCTGTTAAATATAATTTTCCAACAACAAGGACGAAACGATATTTTCGAAACGGTTTGAGTACGAATACCGCTGTTGCCAACGATAAATGTTTGTAAACAACGACACCACTACAAACAAGGTATATTTAAATGTTTATTATATTCTTACCCCAAAATAAATATTTCACATTATTAAACATAGATCTATATATATTTTAAATACTGTATACTTTATTTGAGAATAGTCATATTCCTCTAAATTAAATAAATAAACGATCGACTAGCAGCAGCGGTGCAATCAAGTGTAGAGATCCAAACTTGAATGGCTTCAATCTTAAATGGATATGTATGTGAACAAATTTTATTGAAAATGAATTTACAATGTAATTAAGTTATGAAAAATATGAAAACGGTATTTGAAATATGTGCTATAAATGAATATTTAAACAATAAACAGAGCCGTCTGCAGGTAATTCTATTTTTAGCTCATGCGTGCGATCGATATCAAATACTTGATTACTTGGCGCTCAATTTATAAATTCCGCTGTAGCGCAGTGGATGAGACATCTGCTTTTGACGGGAGCGGCCCGAGTTCGAATCCCACTACTGATGAATTTTTTTTTATTAGTTTTTTTTTCTTACAGATATGGTCAAGCATTACATCTGCACAATTTGCAATAGAAAAGCAAATCGTCGAGACAGAAGACCTGTACCGGCAAATATTCAGAAATATTTAAAGAAAAATCTGTCAATTACTTGCACACCCGATAGTGTTGTGTGTTCTGGATGCAGAATCAAATTTTATAGAAAACTTAAAAAACCAAAAGAATCAGGTCCCGTACCGGTTGATGAGAGGGGTGATGCTGGCGATGCACTCGTTCCGCCGTCCACAAACGAACGATTCACTAGTCCTCCATCGGTAAGTGCACGCGATTACAACCATAATATATTTAAGAAATTAATAATAATCAATAAGTAACATTACATGGTATAAATGCGTTGTTTTAATGTTGTATTATCTGTAACCTAAATAGATATTTAACATGGACTGTTAGGCACACGTTCCACAATATATAACATAGGTAGCTTAAATCATCATATTTACTGTGTGTTTGAGTTTGAAATATTTTTTGTCAAATGGGATTGCAGTATTTTAATTGTTAAATATGAAAATGAGATGTATATGCTTAATTCAAAATAAAATATATGTTCTGTTCTGTTCAGTATTTTAAATGAATCGTAACACATTTACTTTGGTAATCAGCAAACTGTGAATCAATGTAGTAAATCGACTGTTTATAAAAATATTTTAATTTGAATTGAAATGAATATAATTAATTTAAAAACACCAAGTTTGTTAAAAGTTTATTAGTACACAATTAAATTGGTCACGCGGCCAAACGTGTTCATTACTACGTATTCACAAATCAGTCGAGCGGCTCTTGGTAAAATTAAGTTTTAAAATGCTCAACACTTACTTATAATTAAAACTTCTTAGGACATTATTATTATACCATTTCTTACATTACAGGTAATGCTGAAAATCTCTTCCACAAGCAGAAGCCACAGCCGCTGTTTCGTGTGCAAAAGGCCTGGACCAAAGTTGGTGTGCCTTCCAGCAGAAGGGCGCTTTACAGTCTTCCTTGACCACAACATACTAGTACCAGCAGACGCAAGGTGTTGTCCAGTCCATATTTCTGATGGGACTCTGACTCAAGACTCTTTTTCAAACATACAAACGCTGACAAGTACCTCTTTGCTTAATCGATCTTCAATATGTAATATACTTCAAAAAATGAGAAACGCTTGCCTAAATCAGAATACATCACTTAATTTTGATGCATTAGACGAACGTGATTATCCATCTCTTACTGGGCTTACCAAACCACAGTTTGATGATTTTTGCAGTCATTTGCTTCAACACATTAAAACAACGCCTAAAAGGTCTCCAAGAACAACCGTTGGACTTTTTCTTGTTAAGCTTTACTCTGGAATGTCCAATAAACTCCTGTCTACAATATTTGGCTTAAGCAAGTCAAGCGTTCGCCGCGCAATTGAGACCGTTCGTCTAATATCAATGAGAACATTTGTTCCGCTATATCTTGGCATTGAAACTGTCCCAAGGTCAACCCTCATTCAGAACCACACACGCCAACTTGCAAAGACACTTTTCAACGCTGATGACAACCAACTGATCCTTGTTCTTGACGGAACATATATTTATATCAATAAGTCAAATAACTTCAAGTTCCAGAGGCGTTCATTTAGCATGCACAAAGGCCGCCCATTGGTTAAACCTATGGTTGTTGTTACAACAACGGGTCACTTTGTAACTATAGTTGGCCCTTACCTTGCAGATGGCAAAAACAACGATGCGGCTATACTGACCCATATGCTACGTGCCAATATTCAAAACTTCCGGGAGTTTTTACAGGAAGGAGATATTCTAGTAGTTGATCGTGGCTTCCGGGATTCGCTGACTCTCCTCACTGATCTTGGAATCAATGCTGAAATGCCTGCCTTGATCAGCAAAGGACAAAAGCAGCTATCGACGAAGGAAGCTAACTCCAGTCGGCTAGTTACAAAAGTATGTTTAAAGGCACATCGTGCATCATAAATACATATTTTTGTCATTCTTTATAAATGTCAGACAAGTTATAATAATGCTTTAATAATGAATTTAGAGTATGTTTCAATTAGATAATTTACAACTTAAGAAAATAGCGCTGAATGTGTTGTAATATATCGTAAAGTAGCATAATATATACAAAGTAGTATTTTGACTTCCGTACAAAAACTTATCCACTATGTAATTAAACCAATTGTCAACTGTGTTGGAGTAGCAAAAATCATTGTTTGTGTATAAAGCAAATGAGTATTTTATGGAAAATGTAACATGGTACTTTTTTTAGGAATAAATTGATAGCATGAATTGATGGGCCTTTAATATATTTAATCGGGTTTCGTAGAATATAAATATTTGTTTAGGCAAATGAAAAACATTTGATGCAGTAACCATATGCTACGTTTTTTTTTAAATTAGTCTGCTTTGATAAAGCTAAAATGTAAATACATTGTAATATAATAACTTATAAATAATATTCAAAACATTTTGTTTTCTTTACTCATGATTTATGCGTACATCAGCTTTTTTTTCAAAATAAAGTTTCTCAGCTGTATATTGCTTAGTACGTATTTACGTTTTTTGGACGATTCATGTTATCAAATTATCATTATTAAAAAATTAATAATACAAATAATCATGTCATCAAAATTAAACAATGTCTTTCTTAAAGAGTTGAACGAAATATATAAGTTATGTTGATAGAAGAAAAGTATTGACCTAGTGCTTGAACTAACCACCCATAGTTTCAAAAAAAGACAGTATTTCTAGCCTATTTAGATACTATTCAAATTGAGTTTATGTATAAAGGTTGTTTACCTTAAAACTTAAATGAATATAGTGTAACGTTTGTGTTTTTTTGTAATTATACAATTTCTAATTTTCAGGTACGATGGGTTGTTGAATGGGCCAACGCTCGAATCAAACGGTTCAAAATGCTTGCAACAGTACTTCCATGCAGCCAGGTGCCCTTCATTGGAGACTTTGTTAGGATTGTATGTGCTATATGTAATAAATACCTTCCTGCACTGAGTTCACCGTCTCAGACAGAGGCAGATACGCAAGTTGCCCAACAAATGTTGTTGTTGGCTGAACGAGCCAATACTTTACAAGAGTATGTACAAGAGCGTGGTCTCGAACGTAAGTTTAAAGTATGGAAGTCGGTTGAGGATGTACCGTTTCCGCGACTGTCAGAGGAAAATCTACACGACCTTACGCTTGGTGTATATCAGTTGAAGCTTGCGTCCAGTTACATCCAGGAGCATCTCACTTGGGCATATGACATACATGTCCATGTAGATGACACGTCACTACTGACAGTACGGTTGCAGAGTCGTCACACAAGCAGCAGACGATATCTCATGTGGATACGGTCCAGTGATACGGCAGTAGAGGCTTGGTACTGCCAGTGCCGTGCTGGGGCACGAGTTGTTGGAATGTGCGCGCATGTTTCGGCCATCGTCTGGTATCTTGCTTTTGCTAGGCATCAAGAAAGCACGCGGTACGGTGTAAGGGACTGGGGTAGTCATCTAGAAGATGCCGCTACATTCCAAATCAACTCCAGTTCTGACAGTGATTAAACATTTGCAAATAATGAATACAAGAGACAACGGACTTTTACAATTGTAAAATTATAAATGATTCTTTATCTTTTATCATTTTTCGGCTTTTTAAACTGTTAAGATAATCGACAATCAGTAACTTAATCAATAAGAATATTTGGTAATTATAATACAATATAAAATGTTGTAATTATTATTCCTGTAGGTACATTTATTGACTTTGTAAAGAACTTTTTTTGCCAGACAGTCAATAGCTTCAGTTACTCATATAATTATGACAAATTAAAATAATTATTCAATTTCTCTTACACAGTGTAAGATGAAGGTATCAAAATGAGTATTGAACCGCGTCACTCGCTGATGAATAATCAAAATATTACTGCGAGCTGTACAATCAGTGCGGATGTGCGTGAACAACTTTTTTTTTGGTTATAGAATTAAATAAAAAAGATTATTTTTTCGTCTGAGTGATAAATGGAACATATTTTCAATCAACATGATCAAATTCAAAATATTCTCCATCGCCAGTCCGGCCGTGAAAATATATAGAATCTTATCATATTTCCTGAAAATATTTTCTAATTTCACTCAAACGAAAAAATGTCCTCTAATTATATAGCTGTATAAAGAAGGTAAATAAATACATGTAATAAAAATGGCGGAGACTGTTTTTGAAAAAAAATGAAATAAACATGTACAAACTCAAAAAGAAAAGTGAAATTGAAAATACATGATTTTTTTGAAAAAAAATTCACTACTTTTGTTATTGCTTTAATTATCGTCAGATAATAGGTCCGAAATGAAACGAGCTTCATTTACATAATATGTGTAATATTGAAATTAAAAAAGTAATATAAATAGGTATTTATGTTTATTAAGAATCTATATTTTATTTCTCAGTTATCTAAAATAAAGAATTCAAACGGCGCTATGAAACGTCAAAATTTGCGGATTATTTTCCCGCGTCGATGACGTCGCGCTAACAATGTACATAATACGTACATGTTTCTCAGGCTTAGAAACAACGTCATATATGATAATAATGAAATATAAATAGCTGATTTTAAAATAAGATTGTTCAAATCTGAATTACTGTAAGTTTCAACACTTTTCGAGGTTGGGCCAAATTTGATGGTTAGTGAACCAAGCCCTTTGGAATATTAAAACAGAATATAAAATTTACATTAATCACTATTCATTTACAAAATGTATAATCATAACATTTTTCCCACAAAAGCACAAAATACATTTAGAAGATCCTGGCTACATTTATTTACATACAATATTAAAAATTATTACAAGACATTGAACTCAAGACTCCTGGTTGCTTTAAAACTGTTTTTCATTTCTTCTTTAAAGAATCAGTCAAAATAAATTATAATTAAAGTCAACCACTGAATGTCAGCAAATGAAACACTTGCGAGCATTATTTTATAACATTTGTATTTACACACATGTTTTTAAACCAATGCTCTTACATCATGTAGATCAACAAAATCAAATCTTTTCTCCACAAACAGCTGACATGTATCTTACAAATTTTCAGGCTGAAACAAGAGACGAAATGAACAAAAAAAAGTCTTCTGCTTCTTAAGTTCAGAATATACTATGTTTTCTTTTCAAACTCAAAACTAGGATATATATTACACAGGAAAGAGGTTGCTCAACTCTTGACATTACATGTAACAACATTAATTCAATAGTTAACATACAAATAAACAGGTATAAATGTTAATAAAGATATAAATCACAATTAAACAACAGATTACTTAATGTTACAATGAAACTCATAAAATGTGTACAGAATAAGCAAATGATGGATATATAATCAATGATATCACATTTAAATTATGTACAACATAGTTCTTTACGTCTTGAGATGTCTTACATATCTCACACTTTTATTATCACTAGTTGAGTGTTCAATCTAACCTACAGTACATAGTTTTGTTCTTGTTATTCTAGTTTTTCAAACCCATCCGAAACAATCTTTACAACAAAGAACATTTTAGATCATAAGAAATGACCTATACATTATTGCATGTCACAACGTCTCTTATATCCCAGGTTATGTTACAATATTTGATTTATGTTCAGGAGATGAGGATTTATGAAAACTGTCTGACACACCAGAATCACATGTTGGATCTTTCTGTTCATGTTTATTCTGTTTCTCATCTGAAACAAGATATCAATATTTCATTTTGTTATTTTAACACACACTAGGTACAATAATGAGAGACATATGCCAATAGTATAGAGTTACCTGGTAAATTTTTGTACTATTATACAGATACCTTTTGATGTTTTATCAAACTGCTTTTTTCAAATTCAAACATTACATAAATGTATCTACATAAAAGGTCCGTAACAGTTATGAAACACATTTGTTGTTTGCTTTTTTTCAAAAATAGTAAAATATCTCATATAACTCAAAATGATCCAACTCATTTCTTTATATTTACCAGAACCTGAATCAGTAATTTTCTCAAGATAGTCTTTGTATGTTAAGTCTTTACATTTGCCACTGATTAAAATACATAAAAAAACTTAAAATCTAGCTTTTTAATGAATAAAATTTTACCTATCAATGATACATTTTTCTGTAGAAAATTTGAAACGTTCATAGAATTTTATTGTAGAAACAAAGATTCCTAATTTGATCATGAAAGTAAACCTTACCAGTTCCTGTAGTCTGGTTCACTATATCTTTTAATAAAGTGACACAGTCTTCTCTCTTTATATCCTTCAATCCTTGTAATAGTTTATCAACTGTACCTCCATTCTCCTTTAAAATAAGAAATATATTTATGATGAAAAATAAAACAAAATGTATGTTAATTCTATAACCATTGAAATGATACTATTTCAAAAACAGTCACAGTTCTGCAAAAAAGTCATTTTAAGAGAATAGGGTTTACTTAAAACAATTGTAATTTTCTTATGCTACTTTAAAAGTTAATGTAAAATCAGGTACGTATATTAACATTAATATACGTACCTGGTAAAATCAAGTGTAAGAAAAATTATGAAACTTTTCAACCCTTATAACTTTGACCAAATCACCACTGCAGGGGCTGACCAGCCTGATCATCTTATCTGTCCAAAATGTTATACAATCGACTGCTAATTTTAAGTTGGTTTATTTGTTTCTGCTTTAATTTTAGACAATTCCAAAGCCTGATAAGTCCAGTATAAAACTTCAGCAGACTAATGGTATACCTCATAAAAGTTGAGAAGCAGTCTAGTTGGACTGTGATCTCCCAGATGACCTTGCATCAACATCTTCATTCCTAGCTTATCAGCCAAAGCCTGCCAGTCCGAGCCTTCACAAGAAGGATCTAGCTTATTGGATAGAATAAGTCGTACAGGGTAATCCACCCGACACATATCTCCACCTGTAAATCATACACATGTACTTTAAAATAGGCAGAATATATCTCCATATATAAAATTTATTTATTTACTTTATTTATTTACAATTCTTAAAAATATTCATACACAATGAACTTGTAATCCTGATTTTTGTTATTAAAAAAAAACAACATCTTTAGCAAAGAGGCCAGGCTTCAATGTTTCGTGATATATTTATCGAACTATCGGTTTCGGATAATATATACGCTTCATCTGGTTATAATTATTAATTGTGTGTTATATAAAATATATTTGTATATTATAAATTTCAGCTCATAAACTCTTACAAGCACATGATATCAATATAATCAAGGATGAATATAAGAACCTAACATGTCACTGATTTACACACCTGAATGATACACACCTGAGCATATCCCTAAACTGCTACGTCCACTATCATTGGAAATAAACCGCATGGATGACATTTTAGTTGTAACATGTTGCATACTGTCTGTATCAGAATCTGATAGACTTGAGTACGGCTCTCCATTTAAAACTCGAAGAATCTGACAAAAGTAATTATTGAACATTTAGTAAATAATTATAAGAATGTAAGAAGATTTATTTTAATTAAACATGAGTGCCAGCAGTAATAATAATCTAGTCAGGTAAGCTTGCAAACCTGTGCAGTCTGGTCACACTCTATATTGTTGGTTGCTGAATTTAAACTGTTTCGATATTGAAAATCCTTGAATTAACAATGGACTTTGCAAGTTTATTACATAAAGTTAGCAGCATCGTGCTCATTGAGAGTAACTGAACTGTCTAAATGTCTAAAAAAAAAATATTCATTCACAGATATATTTATTGTACTATTCCAATGAATAGTTTCTTAGTATCACTTTTCTCCAAAATTTCAAAAATGCTTATAAAGTATATAGCTTCCTTCTGGTACAAACTGTGTTCAGTTATAAAACCATCTTTCAAATAATAATATGTCACTGAGTACTTTTAAACATTCAAACAGCACAGTCAATTACACAATCAATTATATAATATTTAAAGTGAAAAAAACTGAACAACTTTTTATCTTTTCACAAGGTAACAAAATTAGCACAAGTTTTTTAAAAGTGATGGTATATAAACTTAAAACACTATATATATAACACACACCTTTTCATTACAATTAGCAAAGTCTGCAGGTATTAATCCTTTCCTAGTGTGTTCTTTAACTAGTTTATTGCCTTTTCCATGTTGACCGTCAACAGTATCTTTATCTTTTTTCTTTGGTTCTTTTTCTGTGTCTAGATCTTTATCATCAACATCATCAGATTTTTCAATGTTTTTATTGTCTGCAATATCATCATGTGTATTCTCTTCACCACTTTCTTGAGAATCACTGTCTTCAGATTCATCCTCGTCACTAACTATATCATCATTCTCAACATTAGGGTCGGCACCACCTGCCATTAGAAGAGCTACCATGCCGACGTTTCCACGACCACAGGCCACATGGAGGGCTGTATTACCATCAAATCTCTTCATGTTCACATTAGCTCCGGCCTGTTAATATATTAGATTTATACATAAACTGATGAACAATTCTAGAAAATATGTTTTGAAATTTTATCTAAAAATGGTGAATGGTTTTGCCCAGACTGGAAAATGGACAAGTTAATTTATGATACTAAGCACTGAAAGTGTAAGGAATAAACTGATCTACATGAAAATGTTAAATTAACCTTTTCATTTGATATGGTAAGATGTTCTATTGATATTGTTAAAAAACATCCTGATTTAACCCTGATGTATACATAAAAAGAAAGGGTGTTCTGGAAGAGGGAAATACAAGAGGGCCATGATGGCCCTGAGGTCGCTCACCTGTATATAGCCCCCCCCCCCCCCCAACGTTGCAGGGCCAATTTAACCCAAGGGCTTTTATTTGCACAAACTTGGTAGACACCCATAAGAAGATGTTTTATGCTAAACATCTAAGCTCTAGCTAATTGGGCTTTTTAAAAGAAGATTTTTTTAAAGTTTTTACTATACACATATAGTTAAAAACAATGACACCCCTGGGGCCGGGCCAGTTTTGACCAAAGGGCTTTTATTTGAACAAACTTTGTAGACACTTACTAGAAGATGTTTCATGCTTAATATCTAAACTCTAGCTATTCGTGTTTTTTCAAAGAAGATTTTAAGTCTTTGCTATACACATATAAAGAAAATCAATGACCCCCGGGGCGGGGCCAATTTTGACCCCAGGTCTTTTATTTGAACAAACTTTGTAGACACTCACTAAAAGATGTTTCATGCTTAATATCTTAACTCTAGCTATTTGGGTTTTTCAAAAAAGATTTTTTAAGTTTTTGCTATACACATATAAGGAAAATCAATGACCCCTGGGGCGGTGCCAATTTTGACCCCAGGGCTTTTATTTGAACAAACTTGGTAGACACCTATTAGAACATGTTTGATGCTAAATATCTTAGCCATAGCTCTTTGAGTTCTTTAAAAGAAGATTTTTTTAAGTTTTCACTATATGCATATAGGGAAAATCAATGACCCCCCGGGGCGGGGCCAATTTTGACCCCAGGGCTTTTATTTGAACAAACTTGGTAGACACTTATTAGATCATGTTTCATGCTAAATATCTTAGCTCTAACTCTTTTGGTTCTTTAAAAGAAGATTTTTTAAGTTTTTACTATATGCATATAGGGAAAATCAATGACCCCCCTGGGGCGGGGCCAATTTTGACCCTAGGGCTTTTATTTGAACAAACTTGGTAGACACCTATTAGAACATGTTTGATGCTCAATATCTTAGCCATAGCTCTTTGAGTTCTTTAAAAGAAAATTTTTTAACTTTTTACTATATGCATATAGGGAAAATCAATGACCCCCGGGGCGGGGCCAATTTTGACCCCAGGGCTTTTATTTGAACAAACTTGGTAGACACCCATTAGAACATGTTTCATGCTAAATATCTTAGCTCTTACTCTTTTGGTTCTTTAAAAGAAGATTTTTTAAGTTTTTACTATATGCATATAGGGAAAATCAATGACCCCCTGGGGCGGGGCCAATTTTGACCCCAGGGCTTTTATTTGAACAAACTTGGTAGACACCTATTAGAACATGTTTGATGCTCAATATCTTAGCCATAGCTCTTTGAGTTCTTTAAAAGAAGATTTTTTAAGTTTTTACTATATGCATATAGGGAAAATCAATGACCCCCCGGGGCGGGGCCAATTTTGACCCCAGGGCTTTTATTTGAACAAACTTGGTAGAAACCCATTAGAACATGTTTCATGCTAAATATCTTAGCTCTAGCTCTTTGGGTTCTTTAAAAGAAGATTTTTTAAGTTTTTACTATATGCATATAGGGAAAATCAATGATCCCCCGGGGCGGGGCCAATTTTGACCCCAGGGCTTTTATTTGAACAAACTTGGTAGACACTCACTAGAAGATGTTTCATGCCAAAAATCTAAGCTCTAGCTCTTATGGTTTTTTAAAAGAAGATATTTAAAGTTTTTTCTTTCGGTTGCCATGGCAACCAGAGTTCTGCATGGAATTAAATTCTTTGAACAATTTTTAAAGGTGACCACCAAAGGAACATTCCTGTGAAGTTTGGATGAAATTGGCTTAGTGGTTTATGAGGAGATGTCATTTAAAGTAAAAGTTTACGGACGGACGGACGACGGACGGACGACGGACGGACGACGGACGGACGCCGGACGGACGGACGCCGGACGAAAAGCGATCACAAAAGCTCACCCTGTCACTTTGTGACAGGTGAGCTAATAAAACACGAAACAGTAGCAGCGCAGGAAGTGTTAAAGCTCATCTGTTAAAAAACCTAAGTTAAAAAGGGGCATAACTAAAAAAAAAATTACACCTTGTCATGATAAGCAAGTATTTCAAGTTTCATGTTGATAAATTTTAAACCGTTTGAATAATGGGCTACATTACAGTTTTTAGCAAGACAAAGATGCCGCAGCAATCAAAATATCTAGACTACTTCTTCAAAACACTAACAGATGAGCTCAAATTTACTAAAATAAAAGAGATCTAAATAGTCCCCACCTGGAGGTGCATCTTTGACTATTGTCAATATGCAAATGCATCTTTCTCTTATACAAGACCTTTATCATTTTTCAACATTTGTTTCATCACCTTCCTTTATATAATATAAAATATATAAAATACCTGAAGGATAAGGTAAGCAGCCAATGATAGGTCATCTGTTTCTACAGCATGATGTAAAGGTGTACGCCCACTTTTTCCGTCAGCTAAATTTACGTCTGCTTTACCATATACCAGCAACTTCATCGCTGTCAAGTTCTCTAACTGGGCTGCTAGATGAGTTGGTGTAAAACCTGAAATGAACCAGATCAAACTAAACTAATCAGCAATCATTTTTTACAAATTATTTGCATAAACAGTAAAACTAGGTTATAAGAAACTTGTTAGAACCCTGACATTTTGATTGCTATATCCGAGGTTTCATATAAGCAATATAAGGAAAAAGTATCTTATAAACAACTTATATAAAGTAAACATGTATTCCGTTTTGAATTTTAAAGTAAGATATTGGAAACATTTGATACATTATGTCAAGGAATAATACTTAAATAATAATACTTAAAAGGAAGTGCGTAAGTGGCCTAAAAGATTTTTTTGTAGGGAATCTACTTGAGTAAGTCAATTTTTTCTCATATTAACTTTTAAACACTTACCATCATAACATCTCATGTTTAGTTCTGGGAAAGGCTGTTTGGAGCTGACACCTGGACGTAAATATTTCAACAAATTTTTAAGGCAGTCATCTTGTCCATACAATACAGCAAGATGAGCCGCAGTGTAACCATTACGGTCTACCAGGGTGGTATCAGCGCCGGCACGGATCAACAAGTCTACAGCATGAGGCTGTTGTGTTATAACAGCAAGATGAAGAGGGGTCTGAAATACATTTTATATTTTAAATAAACAGTGTCAATTATAATTTTTATCTGCACAGGACAATCTGGGACTTAGTAATTTTGGTGTTTGTCAAACATTATAGTATAATTTAGAATTACAAGTTTCTAACTGATAATAATGAAGAATACTTTCTGTTTAACTTGATTATTGGTTTTTATTACAAAATTATATACATGACTAAACATTACTGGATGGAATGATAGACACTAAAACAGTGTACAAAACACTGAAATGGTGAAAAAACATGTTTTTGAACTCAACAGTCTACAAAACATGTGCCTTTGACAAAACATGTGTTTTGAACTCTAAAATAGTATACAAAACATGTGCTTTTATTTTATCATCTGTAATTAAGCTGTTACAATCTTTTGACAAACAAGGACACCATTCAACATATTCATGTATGACATTTTAATAAATAAACTAACCTGGTGATGAAAGTTATAGGCATTTATCCTGGCATATGCATCTGGAAGAGTTACCATGACATCTAGAATGTTCTGGAATACTTCATATCTTTGGTTGATTAAGGCTGTATGCAAAGGTCTGAAACAGAGATGTTTAAAATTGTACAATATCAAAATAATCTTTACTTATTGTGTCCACCTTTTAGACAATTTTAAGCTGCATGCCTTCTGGTTGAGCCAAAATATTCTTGAGAAAAAAGTACTAATATTTTAAGAGAAGTAAATGGATTCAAGATTCAAGTAATAACTTAATGTTTTGTGTGATTAATGACTGATTTTTCTGTATTTATCACTATATTTCTAATATGTGACTAATGCAGTAAGTGCTATTTTTGCATATTTTGACCTTTTTTTGGTAATTTACTTTGAATGTTAATGTTGCTTGCAATTTGTTAATAACGTTTTTGTTCACTACACAATATTTTACTTATAAATTCATTAAAAAAATCATTAAAACTAGAGGATGCTTTTGTAAAAAAGCGCATGTCTCCCCCACTGCTGAGAATAACTGTGAATGGAAACAGGAATGGAAATGGAGAAATTGACCAACGGTCACTGTGACCTTGACCTTTGACCTACTGACCCCAAAAACAATAGGGATCATCTGCTCTATAAGACCAATCATCCTATGAAGTTTGAGGGCTGTAGGTCAAAAGGAACTCTAGTTATCATCCGGAAACGAGAAATTGACCAAGGTCACTGTGACCTTGACCTTTGAACTACTGACCCCAAAAACAATAGGGATCATCTGCTCAATAAGACCAATCATCCTATGAAGTTTGAGGTCTGTAGGTCTAAAGGAACTCTAGTTATGATCCGGAAACGAGAAATTGACCAACGGTCAGTGTGACCTTGACCTTTGACCTACTGACCCCAAAAACAATAGGGATCATCAGCTCTATAAGACCAATCATCCTATGAAGTTTGAGGGCTGTAGGTCAAAAGGAACTCTAGTTATCATCCGGAAACGAGAAATTGACCAACGGTCACTGTGACCTTGACCTTTGACCTACTGACCCCAAAAACAATAGGGATCATCAGCTCTATAAGACCAATCATCCTATGAAGTTTGAGAGCTGTAGGTCAAAAGGAACTCTAGTTATCGTCCGGAAACGAAGAATGGACAGACGGACGGACTGACGGACAGGGCAAAAACAATATGTCTCCCCCCGAGGTGGGGGAGACATAATTATCATGAATCTGGATCCATGTTGCTTTAAGTCATGAGTAGCTAATAATGATTTATGTTTAAACTACTTTGCTATTTTTGTAACAAGCTGGCAATTAAAACTCTCTTCTTAAATTTTCTAAACAAGGATATATGTATGAAATGTAATAAATTTAAAGTTTTTAGCTAAATTCACTTGAGCTTGAATTTCTGAACAAATTCTTGCAGTAACTGTAAACACTTCTAAAATTTTTTTAAATTTTTAAATTTTATTTTTTTTTAATTCAAAGCATATGGAATGCAGTTTTAAACAAATTTAACACTAGTAAAACATATGAAATATGAAATGAAACGGAATATTTTCCTCAAAAAATATATCTTACAAGTCTCCATCTTGATCCTGTACGGCCATTAGAAATCTCTGCACCATTAGTAATGACCTGATATCACCCGACGCCGCATAAAACTGTAACGCCTCTGACGTCTTCATCGCTAACTTCAACATTGGGTCCATTTCTGTCTGTGCTGAAAACATAAATATATATGTTTATAAAATCATCATTCACATCCTATATAAACTACCATTTCCCAGAAAACACTAACATATACAGTATGTTTATAAAATGGTCACCATATTCCAACTTTTTATTAATGCTGTGAAAAAAACCAACAAAAACTATTCATTGATAGTAAAAGTATATGATATTAAGAGTCTTATTCTAATAAAAACAAAGACAACACAGAAATGATACAAATTAAAGCAGAAAATCACTTATATGTGTTTAATTACAGTATATATAAAAGAGTATTTATATCTGATAAAATCACAATCACCTTTCCTCACATCAAGCTTTATTTTTCATATTCCAAAAAAAAGTATATTATATTCCTATATTCAATAAATTCAAAACCTGATGGAATATCTCTTTTGCTTTTAAATTATATATAAAATTATTTTCATAGACATAAATATATATACATTGCAATATATATATAAGGTATCAAACTTAAAGCAGGATTATTGTTAATAAAATGCATAAATTTATGTTTAACCACAATCTTTAAACATTTAAATACCAGTACTTCCTTTCTTTGAAGTACTGAATATCAATTTTCTATTTTATAGGGTTTTTAGCATGTTTGTTTAATTTATTTTTTTTCAGTGCTTCCTTAAGGTAATTATCAGTACCTTGATGGGATAACACGAATTTTCTTACACTAAAGATTAAAATTTTCTTCCTGTTAGTTCACTGCAAAGATCACTATCTCAACACAAAATGTTCATATCTAGATTTAAATTTTACTAAAATACAGAAACCCTACTTTTTAAATCCAATGCATGTATTAGGAAGTGTTCATATTGTATCATCAAATATTTTCCACTGTTAAATTTATATTCTGGCATAGGAAGAATGATTTCTTAAACCATTTAATTAATTATGTGACATTTTAAGTAGAATTTTCCAATTTTGGTGAATTTTCTTAATTTCCTGTTCTCTTGTGTACACTTTTTTCTGTATACATGAAAAATTTAAATGGTTTTTTTTTTTATTTTTTGTAATGGTATCTTTTAAGTTTAAACAAATATTTACATATCAGAATTTACAAATAGGATATGAAGTAAAATTCAATTGTAAACCTTCCAATCATGTTGTATTTTATATCTTTACCCCTACAGTGCTAAATGAAAAAGAAAGAAAAAATGAAAGAAAAAACTGCCAACTATGTTTTTTTCTTTTTTTAGAAAAATCAAGATGATTTTTTTTCAGCCAACAGTGTAGAACCAGGCTCTATACTGATTAATTAACAACTATGAGAACTTCTCAAAACATTCAATTAAAATGAAAATGGATAAGCAACATTGATATTGCAAGACTGTATATAACAAAAATATCATGGTAGATTAAATGAACTGTTGAACTATTGAAACTTGAACTGTTTACTGCTGACAATTTCCCTCCAAATTTGTCTAAAAAGAAACTTGTAAAAAAGGGTCTATGTGATATGTGAATAGGATTTTTTAACTAGTAATAGAAAGAAAAATTTCAAGTGCACATTTACTTTTACTTCACTTAAATTGAATATGATACTGTACCCATCCTGCCAAAAAAATAAAGAAAAAAAAGAAAAAGAAAAAAAGAGCTAATTCCATTAACTGTTGGTTTAATAATTGTGAGATTCAATATACAGAAGCAGAGAAATTTGGTAATGAACAGTAGTCATACCAGACTGTATAGAGCAAGCACTGTGGTCTTGTTCTACACAGATGACATAAATAAGTTATTATCATATCACAGCTACTGCTCAGAGAGTTAATATCTCATATTTTCATTTTTGTATTTTACTGGATAAAACATCTTTCTATTCCTTTGTTCAATCATGGTTACATTAAGTTTATTTTATGTTTGTTTGACATTTTTTAGGTCACACTGACACTGTTATGGTCATATGGTGACTTTCCAACTTTACCAGCGTTAGATGTCAGGTACCACTCTGTATGTTATTAAATTTTCAGGCATCAGTGGGTACCCGTGTAGAACCAACAACAACAGCTGGGCGGTGGATATGGTATTATGTAAAATAATATATCATATAAAAATGATCATGATTTTTTAAAATTAGATAAAAAATTTCTTTAGTACTTCATTTCACAAAAATAACAATATCATGTAATGACCATCACTGATCAAAGAAAAACATGACTAAAACCAGTATGAGATTTTTATACGACACAAAACTTGTACAAATGTAGCTAACTTTTAATTCTGAACCTTCTAAAACAGAAAGTGACTAACATTTGCTGTCATTACATAACCTGGCCAGCTTGTACATCCATGCAGTCAGACCAAACTCTATACTGTTGGTAGCTGAATTTTTGTGTTTTGATAAAGAATTCCCTTAAACATTAAATGATTAAATGGACTGTTCAAAATTCAAAGAAAGGCAAATCCATTATATAAACTCAGCAGGATCAGGATAAAGAAATCAACGACACTTACCAAATGAAAATGTTTTAACAGCCGAAGACTTTAATTCCTTCATTTCTTAATTTTAATCTTAACAGACTAAGTTTATAAGTTATATCATTTAATTAAGTAATCTCTTTTCTTCAAGTTTTTTTTCTTTTAAATTATTGCTTTATGCATTAAAAAACAGAATTATGAAGTTCACTTTTAGATAACAATGTCTTAAAAAGTAGAAAATGGGAAATCCCTTAGTGAACAATACAATAATACAAAGATGTAAACCGTTAACATTTTTTTCAAAATATACAATTATAGTACAATGACCTAAATGAGTAAAATTACACAGGGAAACAATGATTGTATCAATTTCAAACCTGACTAATCAAATTTCAATCCCAAGTTTTATTCAAATACAATAAAGGAACTGAATATTCATTCATTATTCATTCATACTTTTGAAAAAAAACAAAAACGTAGGAAAGGTCACTTATTAAAAAAGAGTCTATTCTTAGTTTATTTCTTATACAAGACAACAAAGAGTGAGGGAGGTATAGATGACACTATGTAGATACTATATAAAACAAACTGGCTTTTACCCAAAGTGGTGGGTTTTATCTGTATATCACAATTATTATAATATCACAGGACAGTTTGGTTAACCACAATTACACCACCACTATTACAATTACAACCATTATACAAAAAGTATGACAAAACAAACGGTTCACCACAAAAACTATCGGCATGAAATAATTGTTATAGTATCAAATTAGAATAGAAGAACAAAATGTGTCACCTAAGTGCAATAACTAGTTAACTCCTAATAGATTTAAAAGGACTTAACCCATTACTGCAATAAGGTGACAAAATGGCAGAACAAATTTTGTTATAATATAAAATCTAGAACAAATTTTAGAACATGACTTTTTCCAGTTTCATATGATCCCACACAATGTTTATAAGTACCCATAGAGAAGTTATAGTTACTAGAGCATTGATTTATTTCTTACCCTAACTTTACTTTCTATTTTATCAAAAGTTTAATATGAATTTGTTGCATTATATACACCATTGATTATATTTACAAATTTACAACAAAATTTTGATTTGATATTTATGCATCACATCTTCAAAAGCCATTTATTTCAATAAAAGCACTTGCAATATACCATAGTTCTTGACAGCTTCTATGCAAATTTTTTGAAGAAATTGTAAAATGTATTAAAAGAAAAGTACTAAAAGAATAATAGCACCTAATATAACTGCTAATCAAAATTAACTGTATATATGCAAATGGTAAGATGTAAATATTGCTGATATATATTTGAAGATAAAAGATAAAATTATATGCAATTATGTTACTGAATATAAAACAACTTTTAATTTCACCAAAAAATTGTCCAATAATAAAAAATGATGACATGTTCATTACCAGAAACAAAATACCTTAAAGTAAGACATATGATTCTATTTACCCTGTAAATATCCTTAACAAACAATGATACTGTTGAAGTTACACTTCATAAGTGACTTAGGTTGTTTCCCCAAACTTCCCCCAGGAGTATAACAAACCACTTCTTTATATAACAGTTGATATCTCACAATTGGGGGGAAAGTTGATAAGATGCTTGATCATTCAAATTATAAACACAATAGATAGATAGATATGGTATTTTACATGGGGAAATTTCATTTCATAATCATATAATATAGAATTATAAATTGCATTTTCCGTGTAGATATAAAGGAATGGTAATTTTAGAAGCATAGTGTCTACTCTTGAATGCATTGTAACAAAATTTTAGCTGGGTAGACATGATATAGCTAATATTAAAGCCATCTAGTTTTCATCATCTATTGGTCAACATACAGAGGTTAAACTTGTGTAGTGTTTCCTGAAACTTGATCAGTTTCCAGGAATTTAACGCAACATTTTACAATGTTTACTTCCGTGAATTTTCATTATAAAATTTATGTTTTAATAATGAAAACTGCAGGAAATTAATGATTTTGCTGAGTAATTCAAGTTGTAATAGATTAAAAATAGAATAATAACTTGGTACTTTCCTGAAACAATGACAAGGTTATAATATGGAACAAAACTATTAATGATAATTATTTTTTCTATTCCATTGTGATATTAAAATGCTTCGATCTCACCATGGTCAGTTACAAATTCATCATGGTTAGTCCATCACACTAATTTAGCAGGGTTCTTACATCGGCTGCCAGTACAGACTGGAATATCTAGTATGAGTGTAACTGTTTACACCAGTAATGAGGCTCTGCTGAGGGTCAGCTAAACAGTTACCCATGAGCTAGGTATTCTTGTCTGTTAAGACAGCCGGAGTTTGATTTTTTTTCTTGCAAATTACAAATCATAATTAGGAAGGAAATCTCAAAAACTAATATTTTCATTAAGCATTTTTTTCTTATAGTAGCATATGATTTTACATCTATTCATTACGGCAAAATGATGTCATTCTAAGAATGTAATTCATTCATAAACAGTGTGCTAGGATGACCTCATTAAAAGCATGTGTCTTGTCTTACATTGGGGGATGTAAGACAGGTTTTTCTAGCACTGGTGTAAACAGAAGATAATCCTGTCTCATATGCCAGAAAGTACAAGAACAAAGTAAAAGTTAAACTAACCTGATGTGTCAGTTTTCTGCACAGACTCGGCCTGTACACATGTTTCTTTAGTGGTAATAGTTTTCGTAGTTACGGTTGTTTCTTTACTACTTTGTGATACAACAGTTTGTCTTGAAGTGACATCATGCACCGAGGGGATGTATGGTGCCGGTTGTTCCTGCACTGGTTCTGATACAGTCACACCTTTTGTTATTCCAGGGTCAATCTTTGCCGACTGCGGTATAAAATTACCAGGTGATGCTACTGATCTGGAAACCAAATCTGACATGTCAAAGTTATCAGCTCTAGCACTGTCGACCTCATCATAATCTTCACAAGGTTCACCTCTAGGTGGCGCTCCATCTACCATGTCTAAAACATCAATAACGTCCTGTAGGTCTGTATCCTGAGAACCTCTTGCAGTATACCTACAAGTTTGCTGGGTAAATGGCTGTTGCTTTATGTAACCATAGTTTCTATATTGACCTTGGTAACCTTTATTCTCCATAACTTGGCTGGCAGCCTGGTTGTATTGATCAAATAAGCTTGTATTGAGTGGTGAGTTCAGCTGTGTATGCGACAAAATGTAGTCCATCTCTAAATTTTCAGATGACAAATTTGAAACTTGTACAGGTTGAGAAACCGGTTCTAATTTGAGATCATTTATTGTCATCTGGAGGTCTGACTCAATCTGTGCCACCTGGGAATTTAACATACCACTCTCTGATACAGGCATGCTCTGCATCTGTGATCCCATGGGCATTTGTGGAGACATAGCATTATTCTGTGGAGAGCTTGGATGAATTTGATGCTGTGGAGAAAGAGCCCCGGCTCCAAACTGTTGTACTGATGCCTGGCTCATATTCTGAGGGGAACCCATCATTACTCCACCATTATTATATGGTGATGTGGCAGACATGTTGCTACCAACAGAGTTATCCATCGCCATTGTTTGACCTTCCATAAAGTATTGTGGGGAACTGGCTCCTTGCATTTGAGCCATAGGTGGGCTAAGGTTGGAGACCTCTTCATATACAAAATCTGTGGAATGTGACAGTATATCTGCAGAAGCACCTGAATATAGAGCTGGTGAATTGGTCTGATGGAATGATGACAGTGTTCTCTTAGCATGCAAGACTGGTCTTCCTAAAATACAATGATTACAATTAATAATTTTTTTAAAACAATAACAGCTTTATTTGAAATTTCATAATTTCATAGAAATACTGATTAAAAAAAACAATGAAAAAAAAAGTCCCATTAGGTCTTAAAATTAACATCACTTCATCTATAATGAGATAAAGGATAATAAATATGGAACATTTAAAATATATAATTGTTTTATGTTTGCCATCCAGTTTAAAATTCACCAACTTACCTGTATTGCCTAGATTTAGTGGTATCTGTCCAAACTGATGAGCTGATAATGGAAGGCTATCAAACTTTGGTATTGCTGGAAAAATACATAAATGACCCTCAAACATTGATAAAACAAAAATAATTACATAATGACATAACTTTTGCCATTTTTTAAGGAAACATTTCAAGAATATAAATAATCAACAATTTAAATCCGAAATATCTCAAGGTCTTAAGGCTTAAATTATTATATGCTTTTTCTCCTGCTTTTTAAACACTTCATTTACTTCAACTCAATTAAATTAAGCTTTGAAGTAGAGTGCCTCCTCATTTCACATCAGATAGTTCAGGAAATAAACTTGAGTCATTAAAATTTAGATCACACCTATTTTCAACATCAAGCACGAATCAATTTAAATTAAATATTCGTAAGTTTAGAAACTATGGTAACTTACATCCTCCATTCTGCATGCCGTTACTATTATCTGTACTTCCTGCTCCACCACCGTTACTTGACCCTCCTATAGAGGGTTTCATGTTGTCAAAACCACCAGTATGAGGGTAGTTAGGTATCAGTTTTCTACGTTTACGGTAAATATCTTCTTTATCTGAAATAATAAATTTAAAATTAACATAAAGACATTGAATGCTGAAAACTGAACTTGATTCTAGTAGTCTAGTACTGGTATTGAGACTGCTGAAGTTAGCTAGTACTGGTACTCAAGTACTACACCCACTAGTACTGATGCATTTCTAATGCTGGCATTAATTAGCCACCAGCAAAGTGGAAACTGCAAAATTGAAAATATTGCCAGCTTGTTCATGCATGACAGTTCTAAATGCAATCTATTGCCCACATACACTAGCACTGGCTTAAGCAGAACTCAACATTTATACATGAAAATGGTTTTTAATTTAGAGTTTCGGAACATCCCTTGATGAATTCATATAACATTGATCATTGAGCCTACAATGCGACACTTTTGTGCCATTCCATGAAAAGCGGTATACAGTTTCCAGTCTGCAAATATCTGCTGTGGTCTGATCACAATCTATACTGCCTGCTCTATTTATAACTCTAATCTAATACTGACGGGCCTTTTAAACTCACAACACATTTTACTTTTAACTCACAGCACTGAAATTTATATTTAACTAAGTATAGAAAACTTGTTGCAAACCAATTTAGGTCAAAGACAACTAAAGGTCATGCTGATAATCAACAGCTATAAATTTCAAGGATAATACTATAGTCATAATAAAAGGAAGTACATGATTTGAAAAAACAGCTCATTCATTGGCTACATTTATTTCAAACCTCTAAGCGACAACAGGCCACAGATACAATGTATAACTAACAGCTTATATCAACTTGTTCATGCATATTAAGTTTGGCATTTCCTTATTACAAATTACTAAAACAACAACAACAACAACAACAAAACACATGACAAATTATTAATTTTATAATATGTTTTAAAAACTTCCCAGACGTTTTACTTTGTATCAATGCATTTTGTAATACAATCATCTCAAACCACTTGCACCCCATTGGTGTGGGTTTGAATCCTACCATAGACTTTGGATCTTTTCATGTAATAAAGCTATCTAGCTGGCTTACATAATATTAATGGTTCTATTCAGGTCCCTGTTTGTGCCTGAAATAATGCACAGAAGGGCATCTGACGTCTTCCTTGGAACATCACCATATGACCTATATTACATCACCATATGACCTATACTGTGTAAGACCAACCCAAAAAAAGTCTATTCAAGAGGAAGTTTCAGTCACAGAGATAGTTTCTAAACTTATGTAAGTCCTTGAAAAAAATTTTTTTAAGGTCTGGTGTATATGGAAAAGGTTACTTGTATGAAATTATTACCTCTGATTCTGGGGTAGTAGGTGAAGGACTTTGGATCACTTGATTCACCGTCAGATTTCCTCTGTAACATTACCAGTACATTGACAGGAGATTGAATGTTTACATCACGATACTCTGGTGTCTTGAAGACAATAGCAAACTAAAAATAGAATTTAAAAAAAAAATAAAAATACATGTATGATTAATTATATCAACATAGAAACATCCTATTCTTTTGGAGCTTTGCCTAACCATTAGTTTGGCAAAACATTATTTATTCCAGCTAGATATGTTTGTTTAACACAAATGCCCCTGTCCCAAATCTGATGTTTTACTGGAATTTTCTGAATTTTAATAATTTGACCTTGAAACTCAAGGTCATTAAACGGTCAAAATCATATTGCAATGTGTCAAAATGAATCTCTTGATTAAAGGTATGATGTAACAGAGAATACAGATGCTTGCTTAAAGTATAAAGATTATGTGTTTAAATTTATCCACAGACAACTGACAGACAGACAAACACAGACAGATAAAAAGACATACAAAACATACCCCTAAATCTACTGAGTGTGAGTGTGTAGTGCAGAGGATATATTAAGGTAATAGGAAGTTTTCCCTCAGTACATGCATACTCTAGAAAATGCCCAGTTAAGTCACAGGGCAGATCATTCTTTCATTCTTTATAATATCATACAATATTCAGGTATGGTGATTATTTATATTGTATAGATCAATTCTCTTTTCAGTTTGTTTATAATGTATTTCAATTGTGCAGAGTCATGGTGTACTTCCTAGTTTATATAATTATAAAAATTTGGATCATTTTACTGTTGAAAAAAAAAACAAAGGTGAAAATTGCATGCCATTTATGAAGAATCTTGCATTAAAATGAGCTGCAAAATGCTTTGCCCATTCATTTTTAAGTGCAAAGAATGCTTATAAATACATATTCATTAAAATGAAAAGTACAAATTTTACAATATAATACCCTTGACAACATGAAAATGAAAATTGTAATAAAATGGTAAAAGGAAATAAAAAAGATTGTTCTTAATGCATTGCTTACTCAATATCATAGTAGTTGGGAAACCATCTACATGGGGGATTTTTTTTTTCAGTCATAAATTATAATAGTTATTCAAACTATTGAAAAATCCCCCAACTTTCTTAAATTTCCTTCTCCATGCAAGGTTAAACATATACAGTATTGATATAATTGTGTATTATTACGATATCTTATATTTCCAATAAAAAACAAGTATGACCTTATCTTTTGTTTACTTTCTTTCATCAATGTTTAAAATCAATACATTTCAACATTATGAGTGACAGTGCACAAAATATTAAAAACTATAGTATCAATTATTAAGAATTTAAGTTTTCTGGAAATGTAGGTATGAGCTTAACCTGCACTGAATTTGGACAAGTCAAAACAAATTTCATATATTAAGCAACCAGCCTGCCTTGTTATGTCTAGTGCAAAGAGGTGAAAGTCTGCACCATTTGCTGTTCCCATATTGCACAGTGAGATTGGTGCCCAAATAGCCAGGGATAGTCTAACTAACAGTAGTGAAGGCATTTAGCAAAATAGTTTACCATCTGAGTGTTCAAGTAGGTCTGAGCCATTAGCATAGGTCTTACAATTGTCAAAGTGAAAGTCTTAACTATGCTCAGGGTTAGGGGGCAATATCTAATGCAAAGGCAGTTAATTATATAAGCATGATTTGCATCAATCCTTTAAACACTAGATCAGCATTGCTTACATACATTATCAGAGCTTTGCTTATAAATATTATTTCAACATGTGTTGCATAAATCATATCAATATTGATTTGTACATTTCATGAGTATTACTTGCATAAATCATGTAAGCATTGCTTTCATAAATTATATGAGCATTGCTTGCATACATTGTTAAGCATAGCTTGCATTAATTATACAAACATTACTTGCATTAATCATATGATCACTGCTTGCATAAATAATATGAGCATTGATTGCATTAATTATATAAGTATTGCTTGCATAAATAATATGAACATTGCTTGGTATGATAATTGCTTTCATACATTTCACAAGCTTTGGTTTCAAAAATCATGAGCATTACTTGCATAGATCATTAATTATAAGAGCCTTTCTTGCATCAGTTATATAGGAATTTATTGCATCAACATTAATTACATTGCTTTCATAAATTATATGGGTTCATAAAGAGGAACATGAAATATAAACAGCTGTGTTCTGTATAAACCTGAAGTCTTATTGAAATAAAGATATTTTTAGTGAAATATAATAATCTAGCAAATATTTATTCAAACTTAAATTATTTGTGCAACATGCATTTAACAACAACCATGTCTTTCCTTGTTTATTTGTATTTTCTTTTTGAAAAACACTTCAACAGAATTTCCAAATAATGAGATATTACAGTTTCACTTTCTATCTGCAAATTTATGGGTACCATAATCATATAGCAAATTATATCATACCATATGATGATATAGAAAACTGGTGAAAAACTTGGAATTTTTTTTTGCACTGATAGAATAAAATCAAGAAATGTCCTAGTAAAATAAATTTTCAAAAAATTCATTAAAATTTTACCTCAATGTATATTTCAATCCTTTGCAAACATAGATAGATATCCAGTTTCGTTTTGAATCCCCTCTTATCAAAGAAGGGTAATACCCTCATTTAGTTATTCAGTTTTACTTCCTAGTGTGTGACCTCTTCAATAAATGTTAACAATTCATGTACCATGGCCTCTATAGAAGACAAGTCACCCAAATACCACCCCCCACCACCCCACTCATGAATTTGGCAAAATTACAAACCATGAAATAATCAGTAACGATTCATACGCAATTTTATTGAAAAATGTTGTCATTCTTCTTATTTATTCTACAATTCTTATCAAATGTTTTTATGTCAAGGAGACATAACAAAATCAGACAACAACAAAATCATACAACTCAAATTTGACCTGAAAATTTTGTATGAGTGACAAGACATTTTATCTCTGACCAGTCAACTTGTTTTTCGTAGAAATGTTACGATATCTGACTATAATCTTGATTCATTCTTGCATATCCTTAATATAAACAAGATTAACTGATTGCCTATCCCATGAACAGTTGTAATTTTATTTTATTATTTTTGTACACTACATATTTTAAGTTAATCTAAATGACAGTCATAATATCACAGTTCTGTATTACGTCATGCATTTCTTACAATAAGTTTTATGTCCTTTTCAAAAAAGTACAAATTAATTGAACAGCATCAATTCAAATATAGAAACAGGATTTTACTCTTCAGTTATTACCAGCGATCCTATGATTATATGAGTCACTATTTAATATTAACATTTTAATCACTTACGCATTCAAATCACCATTACGTCAAGACGTTTAAAATACGCATCAAGATTATTTTATCCAATTAATACCAAATAATACCTCTTAACACTCCAAAGTTGTATTAAAAAATAAAAGTCAAATCATATGGGAGCTATAAGTTAAAAAGTATGATCTATATGTATTGATAGGGTAATGGTTTATTCCCTGTTCTATATACAAGAATTGGTAATTGTTTACAATCCAATCTGATTCATAGTAGAGGGGAATTTTTTATAAACATTTACTGTAGGTGTCAATTTAAACTTTATCGGTTTAATCATAAATAAAGGTTTAAATCAAACTGAGTGTTAAAATGTCAAAAAAATTTTTTGGCAGGTAAAGGTAACAAAGAAAGCAAGGTTTATCCGAAATTCCCCTACTTCTTTTAACTTATACGATGGATGTATAATAATTTGTCCACTGTTAACTAAAATATCAACACTTAACCTTAATTATTATCTGCAGCAAAGTGTTTTCAACTGTACAAGAAATATTTAACTTACGAGGTACTATAAATTAATTAAAACTTTAATTGGAGAACGAATTGTAATTAAAGAAAGTGGATGAGACAACCTAGCACTTTGTTTGATAGGCTGACCGCTCAAATCTAATTGACCTAGTAACTGTGATATCATTGTGGTGATTTTCCAGCTTTAAAGCTGCTAACTTCAGATAAGCTAAAATATTGTAAGAATATCAAATTGAAAAATACTTAGATTTTACGAAAAGTAAAAAGGTTCAAGATTCAAGTTATAATTTAAATTACATGTTATGTGCAAATATGACTAATTTTGCAGTATTTATCACCATATTTCTTTTGTGTTACTAATACAGTAAGAGCTATTTTTGCGTGATTTACGTCAATTGTAAGCACCATTTGCAATAAGTAAATTAATATCTTTGATCACTTCACAATATTTTACTTCTAAAAAATATTTACAATTTTTCATGAAAATTAGCATGAATCTGAAGGCATGTTGCTTTAAGTGGTTATATCAACCATAACTAAACACCTTCTACTTAAATACTTTTAACATTATATAACCAGGTACACATGACTGTTATAAGAATTATCTAAGAGTAACACTATATGACTTTTTGACAAATGTAATTTGAATGACTTGTTGTTTATAGAAGTAAGAGGTGTAAATCACAGATAAAGGTATACTTTGGAAATTCGCAAACTCCTGGGGAAAATATAAAGAGCACCGAAACACGAGGCTATCTGATTTGTACGAGGGGGCATAGCCCCCCGAGTATTAATCAGATTGCCGAGTGTTTTGGTGTTCTTTCTCTTTTGTATCATAGTCAAACATAAAAGCACGTTCCCTGTTGTCACAATATGAAACCCCGGCAAAAATGAATCAATGAACGAACATCTGAATATGACATTTCTGTCGCTTTCCCTTTCTCTGCCGTCACAATATGTAAACCCCAGCAAAAATGAGCCAATCAATGGGCATGTTCTGGAGTGCGGGTAACTAATACCCGCACTCCAGTTAACGCACTGTGCATGTATATGTATACGATTTAACCCTGACACATTTTCAACAGAAAGGTCTCCAAACTATGATACAAGGTCTTTTGGGACACAGATATAACTAAACATGTATCTTCTAGGCTTATTTTAAATCATATTTCATCCCCTTAGATTATAAAAGAAGTTTACCCCTTACTGTATAAAGTTTCAATTTGTGGAGTTTTATAAGAGAATGCCCGTCATGCTTAAGTCCAAACTATTATATTTTAGTTAAATTATTGATAAATGAAATGTAAATGCTAGATCTATAACATTTTAACTATCTGAATGTTAGTTGCTACAATTTAACCAATAGCCTAATACATGTAGTGGCAATTGATTATCTATGTGACTAATGCTGACCAAGATCACTTAGCATTTGTCAAATGCTAGGTGATTTTGGTCAGCTTTGATTAATAAATTTTGTATGCCAATTAATCATAGTCTCCACTGTTTGTGGTTTTAAATATTCATAAAAACAATGAATGGTTTAAACTATATTGAAAGATGGACAAGTCCAATTAATATTCTGTATTAGGTATGGTAAGGGACCTCAATGTGTGTGTGTGTGTCATCTGTATAGAGAAATACCAGCCAGCAAATCTCTATAGTCTGACAAGATTTTATATATTGACTGATTTATTTCATAATCAGGTTAATGTTTGTTTGTTTTCTGGTTCTGATGACTATTTTAAAACATTATTTGGTCATACCTAAATAACCAGAAAGTACATGTAAATATTTTGTGACCCGCTACTAATCCTGTATGATATCTACATCAGGGAGACTAATGACCATTACACCCAATGTCCGAGATCAACTGTCAATTGAATTTTTACCATACCTAAGGATCAAACCAGCAACCCCTTAATAAATAATCTGATGCTTTCTCTATTGAGCTAAGCTTGTGGATTGAGATAAAGATATTTTATGAATTAACAATTGCAAATTTCAAATTCAAAGCTTGGCATGTCCACTACACATTCTAAGTAGGGTACAGGCCTCATGTACACAAAGAATCTATGTCAAAATCTAGATATGACATAACAGTTACGAAATTACGAAAATAAAATGATGACTTTACTCTTTTTAAATTAATTCAAATTTCATCTTGATCTTAAAATTGCTCCATATCTTTATATGAATATTTTTGTAGTCAAACTTCTTAAATTCTATCATCAAATGAGTTGGTTTTTATGCAAATTAGCAATGATAAAATTTACAAACTGTCAAAATGTATAATTCTTTTGCCAGATATTGTAATCGCAGGATGCATAATTATAAAATAAAGTAAATGAAAAGATAAAGATTACATTTTCCTAATGTAATGAAATAATTGCATAAAAGCCTAAGAACTTAATACATTTACATGTAAATGGAAAGTCTTCCTTCTCTTAAAAGGGGAATAACTTAAATAAGTTTACTAAAATTATATTAATATAAACCTAAGAAAATATTAAATGAACATTAGAAGAGAAAAATATAAGTTTATGATTTCACAATCAATATACAGTTTTTGCCTCTTCCATACTGACAGTAGCATTTCCCACTCCTCAGTTACAAATGTGTAATGCATCTACTTTTCCAGAACAATTTTTATACATAGATATATAGATGTACATATAAATACCCATTCCAAGCATGCCTTAAGGTTTACTGAAACACATTAATAATGAGTTGGACAAAAAGACCAGCCAGGTCTCTATAATAAATAACAAGTTTAACTAGTCCATTCTCAGTAATAATATGAAATAAAGGCTTTTGTAATAATATTTCAAGGCATTTCAAGTTATGATGCATTTTAATAAACAGGCAGACTAAAAAAAACTTCATTTTTAACCTTTTAAGATCATAAGCAAGATTAAAGCAAAATGATAAAGAGACTTCAGAAGTCAAGAAAAGGAAGACTGAATTTCAACCTATATTCATATATTAGTTTTACCATATCTTTTACAAAATCTATTTTCTATTTTACAGAAACAACACATATAACAAATAAAATAATTATACTACATTGTATTTTCAATTTTTGACCAGTAAATATTAATTCTTAATCAAAAATACAATAACTATCTAAGATCAAACAAATATAATTAAACAAACATGGGAAGGTCACCATGATCAGTGTTACTACAAAGCTTGAGTTTCAATTATTCACACATACTAACCATGTTCTTTTAAATTCTGTAATATTATACTCTCAATCTATATATCTATGCCATCAACAACATAATTTACAAACTAAAGATCAGTACTTTGGTCTCTTTTTTTTGCATTACATAAGACAAATCCATTTTTCAACCTTTTTGACGGGTTTATACTAGTTTTCCCATACCTGCATTATTTCAGATTTAAACATTTGGTTGAGCTTTAAGTCATACTAATGCTGAAAAGGAGCAATGGCCAACTTTTCATCTTTTCTAGTGAAGGAGAAGAGTCTAAACTATCTCATAATTATTATAATCAAACTTTAATGTCCATGTTTGCTTAATGACAATTCAATGTTGAAAAAAATACAATATAAATCTGAATATTTTAATACAAATTGTAGAAATTTCATTCCTTGTTCAATGTTAAGAAATACAACAACTCAAGTACAAATCACGGCACATACCTGTCTATGTACATCAAATGGTCCGAAGAGACCGTACGATTCCCATACAACATTTCCTTCTGGATCCTGCTCCACAAATCTCACCATTATATCATCTGAAACAAAATAGAATGTTTTAACTCTTATCCTCTGCTGGCAGCAACAGTAACTACCCATGTGACTATCTATGTTGCCTAAATATGAGCTGCAATGCTTGTCATTCAGTCAGTATTTTATTTTGAAATTTTCCCCCCAAAATGACAAATGGTTTTGTCCAAATCAAAAGATGGACAGGTCCATTTTAGATATATAGTGTGGTAAGGGTTAAATGTGAATAATCATCAAAATGTTCAAACTTAGTGGTTCATAGCTTAAATGTGAAACCTAGGTTATAACCTAATTTCATTTAAAAAAAGTTTAAAATGAAAGTCACAGAAATGGGAAAAAAGAACTCCTTAAACTGCGAGAAACTGTAGTAAAACGAAAATGGAGACTGTTTTTTTTTGTTTTGTTTGTTTTCTTTTTCTTTTTTTTTCAGATATAAAATTTAAGAGTACAGGTAAATCAAATATACCAGTATTTCTTCTACATGTATTTTACATTGCTTTTAGGTGTTTTATTTTCTTTCTTGAAGGAATTTAGAAATAAATTTACTGAACAGAATGTCTGAACATTTTTGAGAGAGGGAGGGAGCAGGATGGTCAGGCAACACTCAAAAAATTATTGAATGCATATTTCAGATAAAGAGTTTTTGCAGCTACAATAACTGATCTTTTATTTATTTGCACTTAACAAACTGGTAGCTATTACACCTTGAATTCTTTTAAACACAAAAAAACAAGGACATAAACAAATATTAGAAATGTCAACACTAATGATGTTATGACAAAAATAGATAGCTAAAAATAGAAACAAATCATCTTAATGTGTTAACAGAAACTGGAATATTTTAAACAATTATTCTTGAATCCTTTGAAGGTATTCTTCTCACCAGAAAACTTATGATATCTGTTAATCTATGCCCAGTTTCCATCATTTTGAAACAACCAATGGAATATGCAATCAATGCTTAACAATGACATCAAAATAATAAGAAAAGATCAATGTCTCTGTTAACTATACTTTAAACACAATGGAAATTACAAGGACTAAAACTCTTACCTTTCTGAACTTTTTCACACAATAAGAAGACTTCATCATTTCCGGTACAGCATCCACTATATTTATCCATTCGACATATCTTTAACGCATTGGCACCTGGAGCTTCTGTAAATATAAATAAATTTTACATAAGAAAGCTATTAATATTATTCAGAACAGTTTACTTTATTCCTGTTTTTACCTTTTTTGGGGTGGGTTTGCATTGGGTAGAAAAGCTGTAGTGACATGTGGTCAATTCTTAGGTAACACTTTGCAATTGAAATGTCCCTCATTCAAATTCTACAAAAAAGGACACTTTACATTTTCTGGAGATTAACCACACATTTTTTCTCTTCCCCAAGTTTTAGTGGGTACCTGAGATGGAAGAATATTGCTGTGACAAAATAACATGTGGACAAAGAGTGGAGTATGGGGTAAAGCTCTGGACTCTTAATCTGGAGGTCAAAAGGTCCACAGGTGAGATTCTTTTTTATGCATAGTAAGGACGTCAAGAAAGCAGTTAACCCCCAAACAAAAGGAAAAACAGAGATGGAAAAAACTTGGACTGTCATATTTGGAGAGAAAGACTCCCTTAAGAGATCAAAATCTAACAAGTCTGTCAGTGTGAATATACATTCAGCATAAGCTGCATGAAACTTAAACACTTGAAATGTCTCTACTTATACATTGATACTGTCAAGGTCATAATAGTGACCTTCAGATATACTAATGGAAGAAGTGCACTACCACATAACATTATTTCAGGTTAAGATGGATAACTGGATTGGACCACTGGGATCCAGTACAGCAGCAGGAGTTCTTATATGAAACTAATTAACTTGATTTAAACCATTTGTGGTGAGGTGGCTCTATGATTGTTATTTTTACATTAAACTCAACAACAGCTGTATATCAAAATTCAAGTTTTACTTAAAGACCTGTCACTTATGACTGGCAAATTACTCCACATACATGTACTATCTTTCCACAGTGCCTCCCTCTTGACATAGAAGACCGCAGAATTGTTCACTTCATATTTCGTATTTATTTCTAATAATTTTTCAAATTGATTTAAGTAATTGTTAAGAGGAAATTTCATAAAGAATAACTTTCCAGTTTTATTTTGTGTCTTTTCATAACAAAAGGTTGTTTTTTTTAAATGCTTTAAAACTGGAACCCTCATTTATTATTTGATGAGTCAATTTATCTGTATGGATTGAATTTAGTGATTTAAGCAGGAAACTAAACACTTGCATGGAATATACCATTTTTAGGATTGATTGTAAAGTACATGGAAATATTTACATAGCTATATAGGTTAGTGAATTTGTCTGTTACATACAAACTCACATTAGTTTCCTAAAAAATGATATTTTGGTTTCAAATGATGCTGATTAGGCTTACTTCAATAGATGAGATGGAAATTGGATTCCTTGAATACAAGGCTGGCTACAGAAAATGTTTAAGCATATATATTTTCTATCCTCCAATAAGTTAAAATTGTAACTTTGCCAGCAATTTATGTCTTTTTTAGAAATTAACTTCATGATATATATAACATGTTATCCTTTACATCAAATTTAATTAGTTTATTTTTAAGTACTTAGGAAGAGGAAAGAAATAATTACCAAAGGGAAATAATATGAAAAAAACTGTCATAGTCATGTAGCAATATGCAATGTTATGTTAAGTTTCTTTGTTTCAAGTGTTCAGTACAAGGAAGTAAATTTAATACTGGGAATAACTTCAGACATTCTGCATGGTTTCGGTGACCTGCATTTCCTGTACAGTGTCAAGATTTAATACAATTTATTGTTGAGGACAAATCCATTGATTGTAGAGGTATGCTACAAATAAGATATTACGATCATGCATTATAAAGACAAAAAAGATTTTAAAACTATACATGTTTTCATAACAATCTTCTGTTTGTTTATTCAAAAACATTAAAACACAATTAGAATATAGAATATACTAGAAAACATACAAGTATAAACATACAAAATATACAAAAGCTAAACAATCCACTCATCTTTAATGTAAATAGGTGGAGTAGTGGGGCATTGATCAGACTTTGTGGATAAAAAGTTCAAATAAGCTCAACAAGAGCTGTCGGTAGGACAGCAACGCTCGACTATTCTTAGTGCTTGATAGTAAAAAAAAATGCTTGATATAGTTACCACCTCCTGTTTACAGGTTGGGGTCATGATGGTGAACAAGTGTGCAAAGTTTCAAAGCCATATGTCAATGGACTTTGAAAATATTTGAACTATTACAAAAACTTTAACGTAAATTCTAAATCGAAAAAGGGGCATAATTCTGTCAAAATGCTTAATAGAGTTACCTCCTCCTGTCTACAGGTTGGGGTCATGATGGTGAACAAGTGTGCAAAGTTTCAAAGCCATATGTCAATGGACTTTGAAAATATTTGAACTATTACAAAAACTTTAACGTAAATTCTAAGTCGAAAAAGGGGCATAATTCTGTCAAAATGCTTGATAGAGTTACCTCCTCCTGTCTACAGGTTGGAGTCATGATGGTGAACAAGTGTGCAAAGTTTCAAAGCCATATGTCAATGGATTTTGAAAATATTTGAACTATTACAAAAACTTTAACGTAAATTCTAAGTCGAAAAAGGGGCATAATTCTGTCAAAATGCTTGATAGAGTTACCTCCTCCTGTCTACAGGTTGGGGTCATGATGGTGAACAAGTGTGCAAAGTTTCAAAGCCATATGTCAATGGACTTTGAAAATATTTGAACTATTACAAAAACTTTAACATAAGTGGTTACGCCGACGCCGACGCTCGGGTGACTGCAATAGCTCTACTTATTCTTATCGAATAGTCGAGCTAAAAAGGGGCATAATTCTGTCAAAATGCTTGATAGAGTTACCTCCTCTTGTCTACAGGTTGGGGTCATGATGGTGAACAAGTGTGCAAAGTTTCAAAGCCATATGTCAATGGACTTTGAAAATATTTGAACTATTACAAAAACTTTTATCGTAAATTCTAAGTCCAAAAAGGGGCATAATTCTGTCAAAATGCTTGATAGAGTTACCTCCTCCTGTCTACAGGTTGGGGTCATGATGGTGAACAAGTGTGCAAAGTTTCAAAGCCATATGTCAATGGACTTTGAAAATATTTGAACTATTACAAAAACTTTAACGTAAATTCTAAATCGAAAAAGGGGCATAATTCTGTCAAAATGCTTAATAGAGTTACCTCCTCCTGTCTACAGGTTGGGGTCATGATGGTGAACAAGTGTGCAAAGTTTCAAAGCCATATGTCAATGGACTTTGAAAATATTTGAACTATTACAAAAACTTTAACATAAGTGGTTACGCCGACGCCGACGCTCGGGTGACTGCAATAGCTCTACTTATTCTTATCGAATAGTCGAGCTAAAAAAGTAATTCCATGTAAACATAAAATACCTATCAAGATGACATAGTTTTCAGCAGTCAATAAGCATTCATGTTTTTTGGGGTATTTTTTATTTTATTTTTTTTATGTTAGTTTCACTAGATTTTACATTTGGAAAAAAAGATAATTTTAAAAACATGTCATTCAAATTCTCTTGAAAGGTTGATTTAATTACATCTACTTTGGGTACTACTAATTACTTATTAATTAATTCTATTATTTCAAATTATTAAAGAATATTTCAGGTAATTCCTTATGGCCAGCATTAAATGCTGTTATGGGTGAATAATAAATGTAATGATGGCAATGGGTAACCAGTTAATTGGATACTAGATCCGACATCCAAGTAAAGCTTAACAAAATTGATACTCAAGTTCTCAGTAGAAAATAAAAGTATCACTTTTTGATGTAAATTTAATTATTCTGAAATTGAAAATTAGAATTTCAAAGATATAAATTATGTCCACTATAAACCTGCTAACATGAATCAAAACAGAGACACAAAAATTATATTGTAAATTGACAACAGTTAACATCTAAACGGGGTAATCAACAGTTTGACAGGTGTTCTTGGTGTCCATATAGGCAATAAACAGCAAATCTATCACTTATATCATTACCAGTATGTTGCTGAAATTTTTTCTTAGTTTCAACTATATAATACATGTAAGATATGAATAACACAAAAACAAATGTACATAATAAGTATAGTGCAAACAGGTTGGGGTACAAGTTATTACTACATTAGCAACAGCCCTTCCCTCTGAAATTTGTTCTCAGGTACTTGTAAACTGCTTTGAAGGGCTACAGCTTTAAGAATGTCTTTTAATTAAGTGATTAATTACAGTCTAGAGTCAACAATATAATTATTTTATTTTCAAGGTGATTCCTCGCAATTTTATTACAACACTATTCTGTGTACTGACGGTGTCTTTCTTATGAATAAATTACCATCTTTTTTTCTTTTTGACAGGTTTAACAAAAACAGAAGATAGATGGAAAATGGTTGTACATTTTGAAAGTCCTAAGAAATCTTCTGAGTAACTGAACACTTGATTGGAAAGATGACCGAGTACTCTTGTTTTGAAATGGGAACTGAATAAATGTAAGGTAAAGCTCTTGAGTACTCTTGTTTTGAAATGGGAACTAAATAAATGTAAGGTAAAGCTCTTACTGCTATCATATATAGGGTCTGATATAATAGATTCCAGTGCTGCTGTAACATTGCCATCATTGTCTGTTAGGTAACCTTGGTAACACAGACGTACAACATTTAACTGCATTCCTTTGGCTTGAGATGCTGCCTCCTGTTTTGCTCTCTTCTTTTCATCCTCTGTAACAGAAATGAACATAATTTGGGGTTTTCGTTTAAAAAGATGCTACAACATTTCTAAAGATTTGGCAAGTACTAGTACCAGACAAAAATTAAAGTAAAAGAATATAACCATGGGTGATTGGGTCACTCATGTTGGGGATTTAACAGGCTATCCAGTATAAATATAACCCATGAAAGTATATATTTGACTATGTAGCAGAAATTGGCAAACCATATATAGGTGTGTAACAGAAATTAACAAAATATTAACAGGAAGCAAAACTTTATAACAAAATTTAAGTTTGCAACTTAAAATCTTTGTGCTTATGTTTACCTTAAACCAAATGAAGCCACAAGAACAAAAAAGGATCTTAAAAAGTCCCCCTAATATGAAATTAAAAAACTCAAAACCAAGAAACACCCATTAAATTTAACATGTAAAATATTATTTATAATAGTAGTATAATATACAAGTTACTATAAAAATAGGTTATTTTATTTCTCTTTCCTATTAATATCATAATATGTTAGTTACAGTATCATTTTGCATGTAAACAGGTGCAATGTAATTATGTGGAGAAAATCTTACATGATAAAAGTATCAAATGTTTACCTTGCATAAATATAACAAAGCAAATAAATGACACATTCTATATAAAACCATATAAAATATCAGAGTAAAAAGACAAAATGCAAAAAAAATATACAAAGTATAAAATATAAACTATTTGGGGAAAGTGTGAAATTATCTATGTTCAATACACATTTAAAATTAAAAGTTATGCACACTCAGGCTATAAAAAAAAGGTAGATAGCATTTAGGTTTAAGAAACAAAGGAGATGTTTCAGAGTCAAAAATGAATTTAGGATACACGTATACATTAATTACTCTCACCCTGTAGTGTATCTTACAAACATCATGAAATAACACTGGCTATTGGAAACAGTTTAACATTTATTATTATCAATCTATATTACAGTAGTTGTCAGAACGACAAACATATCTGACAACACTTGTACAGAACCAAGCCATCAGACTACACAGACTCTGTACAGTATTACAGATGACTGTTTAACCTTACCATTTTTCTATCACACACCCTTATATTAACCCGTACCATGATAAATATCATTAAACAAAACCATTCATTTATGGGAAAATTTCAAATTAAGTACATTTACTGAAAAAGTGAACAGTGCATACGACAGGGATGTTGAGCAGTGCATTCGACAGGGATGTGCTGGGTGATCTAGATTTGCACTGGTTGCATAGGTAGTTTCAGTCACCACTAGCAGTTATTTATCTGTAAGTATAACTGGTCAAATTTTAATGTTCACCTTTTAGTACGACAGGTCTGTTCCAGTTATGCAATTCCCTCATCTTTGCCTCCTTTATGGCATTACATATACGCTGTTCTAATACCTCAGATGCCTTCTTTCTTGTTACATGTTGTATGCATAAGTTTGGAAATCTAAAATTAAAGCAATAACTCATTTCAAGTAAGTATTAAAGATTGTTAGTCGGTTGGCTAAGTTTTAAGTCACACCGACTCTGTAAAGATCATATGGTGACCTCCAAGGTATATTAATTTTGTGAGTTTAACAACAAACTTTCTGTAGGCCAAATTTACTCGGATAACTTCCACACATGAAGTGAGGGGTCAGTAGTTTGAAGTCTGCCCCTTTTAAGAATGTATTATTTCCTGATGGTTTCTCATATCTAAATACAACATACATTGTATATGCAATCTAAAAAAGGATCAACGATTTTATTACAATATAGGTATTTCAAAATACATTGACAAAATAATAAAAGTAATGAATAAGCACATTTCAATTGATGATATCAAATTACCTAGTATCATTAATTTTTTTAGAACAGCTGTTTTATAATGTTATTAAAATTACTGTTTATGTATCTTCATCTTTATTTATTTGCCATTTTATGTATTAGATCACCCTGTCTTATAACAAAACATAATTGTTTGATATAAACAGATAATTACGAGATTTGTGAGGTGCCGGGTTTCACATCGACTATACACACACCATCAGTACAATGTTTACCAACAAGTTTATGAGCGTGAGACTTTGGCACAGTCTCATCTGTTACTAGGCTGACGCTTATCCTTGCAGGTCCATGGTAATTACGAATCTAAAGATTAAATCAAGACATAAATATTTTTATTAGTGATGAAACTAGTAGATTTATTTGAGGATTTGACATCCTTTCTCCATGGCTATGGTAACATGGTAAAGATATGATCACATAAATGGGCTATTAAATGACTGTATCTTACAAAATAACAAAAACAAAGAAAAACACCCCCATCACTTTTAACCAGTTCAGTTGTTCATTTTAATCCAATGAAAAGCAAATCTTCTAGTAATTAAAATGTAGTCATTCTGGAAGTGTTTTAAAACATTTATTCACAATATATAAATAAATAATTTTGACTGCTAATGAACTGTAAAAAAACAACTACACCCTACTCTTTTTAACACATGTGGAACAAAATAAACATTTCTATTCAATGTTTTTTCTTTACTGTTAAATACAAAATCAACAATAGAGCTCTACCAAATGCCCATTTATCTAAACATTATTTACTTGATGAACAGTTAGACAAAATTCTTCCTTCTTATCAGGTTTTTCACTAGATTAGACTAGACTAGCATTTTCTTCCATGTTTGAATTGAGTCATAGTGACAGAGAATGAATGTCTTAAATTATAAAACATGCCAATACTATAGACAAATGTAGTCATGTTCTACCTTTACAGCTGGAACCGTCTTTCTGTGACGCTCACTTGAAGCCCCTTGCAGGCCTCCGTGTGATGGACCTTCACACTCGTAACGAAAACGAAATCCTCTCTGCTGTGGCTGCTCTATTATCTTGAGCCTTGGTTGACCATCATCTTTAAAAGGTAAAGATAGAAAATGCCATTTTAGTCTTAAACTGGGGTGGATGAAGACAGAAAAATACCTCAGTAACCTGTCTAAGTCATTATGAACAAAGAAAACATTATAACAATGATCAGGGCAAACATTTTTTTATTTGTTTAATTTTGTATACTGACCTGTAACCTCTAGATGATTTAGTTACTATAATACTAATAACATTATTAAGGGGCAGCACGAAATACCCAAATATACTCAAATATTGCCCAAATATACTAGAAATAATTGTTTTATACTTAAAAATGCTGTTTTAATTATGAATTACAATATACACTTTCACTAAGTTATAATCAAGCATACCCAAATATACATTTTCCTATTATTGTGTTTTGAACCAAAATATACCCAAATATAGTATACTCCATTAAAGCTATTAATTTCTTTTCAAATAATACAAAGAACACTTGTATGAAATTTCAACATAATTAAACTCTAAAAAATTAAATGTAGACAACAAATATAATCATACCAGACAACAAATATAATCATATCTTTATCTTAAATTGCAAGTTAATGAACCTAGTAAGATAAGCAAATGTCACAAGTTTATTCTCTTACAACATCTGAACTGCCTGTTTCAATGGAATGAAAGAAAGTTATAGCCGACTAAGTCATATTATTTTATAAATATTAATTCATTTTCTGATTATAATCTGTATTTTATACAAACAAGAATCTGTATTTTATACAAACAATATGGAATATTGCTATATTTGGGTATTCCGTGCGGCCGTTATTAAGCTTGCCTGTATCTTTATAATCATAATTTATTCTTGACATATCAGACATCCATTCAATGTCATATTTTTACTTTCTCTGGAGGAATTTATAGCAACACTTAATATTTAATTTGTCGCATGTTAAACTTTAATCCTTCCTGCATGAGTCAAAACAAACACACATGTCTGCAGCTGTTTTAAACCCTTAATTATGAGGATTTAACTTACAGTTTGATATCGATCTTCATGCAAGTCTCGTTCAGTAACATTTTTACTGGCCAAACAAGACATTTTGACACTGTCTATAACTATGTAATAAAACTACAATAATATGTTGTTTACCTTCATCACTAATATGGTCCATCTCATAATGTCCATTTATCTGAGGACTGTCAACAGAATCTGAGGAACTTCTGCTGTTCCCATTCTCCTCCATTTTGAACTTTGATCTACGAAAAATAATTCTTGAACTTATTGTTGAACGAAAAACAACATTATGTAATTTAAAACTGTAACAATAATTACGTGTTTAGTCAAACTATTCGTACACACAGCAATAAGAAGGGAAACTACCGAATTACACTGAATCTATTTTTAGTAACAAACTGGTAAACAACCTACATTAAATAAACGTCCAATTTCATAAAGGTATGCACGTGTACAATATGTTGAAATTGTATGTATTCAAAAGTATCTTGTATAAATAACTTATGTTTTGCCTTTTTTACTTACCTATGGCTTAAAATCGATTTAAATTCAAAACACGGAAAAAAATATGAAGTTAGGGAAATTCCCACTTTTCTCCGATTGGCTTCCTATTTCGGTAAATTCCGTAAGTGTACGGATTTATCCGTAACTTTAAGTGTATTTCGGAACGAGTAAACATATGCGGACCAAAAACTTTTTGCAGACGACACTAAACTATATTCTGTCATTAATCGGCACAGTGATGAAACTCAACTTCAGGACAATATATTCGAAGCGTGCAATTGGGCAAGTAAAAAGCAAATTGATCTTCAACACAAAAAATGTTAAACTATGCATATTGGACAAAACATACCATGTGATTATTTTATGAAAGACTCAAGATTTTAGAAATAATACCTGCAAAATTCAACAAGTAAATGAAGAAAACGACCTGGGCGTGATCTTTGATTGTAAAATGACATTCAGATAGATAGATAGATTTATTTCGGCAAAGGAAGCATATACATAGTTGACAATATAACATAGGATAAAATAATGAGCATTATTAAATACTATATCACATACGAGTAAAACTATGACATGCTCACCAAAACCAAGGATAACACAAAAAAAGGGCAAAAAAACTCTTATTTCCATTGTGGTCCTTTGTATTGGCGGCATGACATAGAGAGGCAAACCTAAATATAATCATGTTTAAAAATACTAATAAATCATAAAAATGTATATCACAGTCAAATCTTGAGTTAATGATAGTCCTGTTTACAGCTAGGATTTAAAACACATTACTAAAATTGTAATAAGATAAATGGCAGACAATTTAAAATCCTGAGCCGAAATATGTAAAAACATGTTTAGAAATTTTTTAAATACTGTTCATAAGATGACTTTTGATGGCAACCTTAAAACTTTGTAACCTGTTGATCTCCGTTAACTTTACAGGTAAATCATTCCATAATTTAATACCAGAGAAAGCAAAGGATTTAGAACCCTGGCCTTTGACCTTAGGTAGACAATATCCACCCTTTTGACTAAGTCTTGTACTATAATTATGTACGGAATCTTGTGAAATAAAGTGTTCAGACATGTAATCCGGACTCAGGCCATTTTTTATCTTAAAAACATGACACAACATTATCTGTTCAACTCTTTTGTGGACCGGTAACCACATTCAATAAACATATCAGCGGTAAAGTAAATAAGGCAAACAGAAACTTGGGACTTATAGTCAAAAACTTTACTTAAATGAAGAAAGAAATGTTTCTACAACTTTATAAATCTCTTGTAAGGCCTCATCTTGAGTACAACTCTGCAACTTGGTCACCTAAATTAAAAAAGATACAATGCCAATTGAAAATGTCCACAGAAGAGCCTCTAGAGTATTAAGTGAATTTTCCTGTACAGAATAATGCGAAAGACTGTTACAATTAGGCATTCCAACTTTAGAATAAAAAGAAATAGAGCATACATGCATTGAACTAATAAAATATATTAACAACAATTGATAAAATAGACAAAAAATATTTAAAAATACGAGAAGGAGCCATTACCAAAGGTCACAAGTATAAAAATACTCAAGCCAAAGACAATAAATTACACAAAAGAAAAAAACACATTCAGTCATAGAGTTGTGGATTCGTGGAAAACACATTAAATTCCAAGGTCAGATGCTACATCATTGAATTCATTCAAGACAAAATGGAATAGGCTATGGATCTGCTAAAGTATGATAACCATAATTAAACACGAGACGTTGATATGTACAACACTAGAACCCCTCACCCTCATCAAATCTTAGTAGTATTTACATGTTGTCCTACCATTTCTTCAGATTCGTTAAAATAAAAGCTTCTATTTTAAGTCTAATATCTTCGTGACAAAAATAAAACTTTTCCTGCAGATAAAATGCGTTCATATCTGAGCGGTAGATCTACAAAATTTATAAAAAAAAACCTCCGACAGGTAATTTTTACCATTTCTTGCACGTGCTTATCCAAAAATTGAGCTATGACATCATTAACCCATTACTTCATGAGCATTTTGTGAAAAATGGCTGTTTTCATTGAAAAGTCTTCGTTACAAGTTCAAATTGCTATATAGTTTTATATAAAACTATAAAAACTGCTTCAATACTAATCAAACTTGGCACAAATGTTAACTGGACCATTGCCTTTGCAACAACATGCTCAGGCTTAAATTTTCTGTAACCATGGCAACGAGGGGACATCTCAAAATTGCCAAAAATCACCATTTTTGCATTGACTTTTTCCATCAAAATTGATTTCAAAGTGCTGCAACTTCTCAATGGATTGAGATAGAATCACCTTATGATTGATCTGGGGTCATTTTTAGCCTTTCACAAGCCCAAAATTTTCTTGGCGATGAGGGGGACTACTGCCCCCCTTCAAATCCCCCAAACAGAAGGGGGCACATCCCCCTTCTGGCAACCCGCTTATGTATCTTTTGGATGGGGCGGCGCCGAAAAAGTGGTCACTTTTTAAATAACATTTCTCAAACAAAAACAAGTGTTGGGGGCCTAAATAAGGCATTTTTCACCATTTCAGACAACAAGAAGGCGGGGGGGGTGAAAAAGGCGATTAAATCGTGTGTATCGCGTGATGGGTTAACAGACTGAAAATGATGAAAGTACTTGAAATTACGCAAAATCGCGTTTTTCCATGTTTTAACACGGCCTATCATATAAATTTGAAGAAAAAATGTTGTTTTGTAGATTTTTTGATTTTTTTTCATTAAAGGACTCCTGACATGACAGGACTGCGGATATTTTTTCGAGATTAATGTTCCATTTGGTGTAGACATGATTGCAAAATGTCCAATGGGTGCGTCCAGAATAATTATTCAAATTGTGAAAATGACGCAAGATTGTTAATCGCGCTACTTAAAGAAAAGCTCAAAGTAAGTTTCAATTTATTTACTTTTCGGAGAAAAAATGGAAGCACTGCGGCGTTGGCCGCCGCCAGTGTTCCGACAATGCATACTCAACGAATATACGTATTGTAAATGATTTACATCTTTGGAATGAGATCAAACAGTAATCCAAATCGTAAATGAGGTGTCTTTACACATACTTATAATTCAAAGACAAATATAGTGTAGATATTGATAAAAATAGTAGGGATTCTATTATTAAAGTAACTTATAATTTTTCTGATGTATTACGTGAGGTAGCAGATCCATTGTTTTCTAAATCATATATAATATAATTGTAAGTCGTATTTTCTGACCAGTCTATTATAAAACAGGTCGACTGGTTTGATGTAGAATGCTCAAGGGTAAGAAAGCAATATATGTAGAAGCTTTAGGCATTTTTAACAGTTTAAAGTCGAATCAATCAAAGTAGATTTTTTTTTGTAATTTGAAATAAACGTAGAAAGATTTGTGCAGAAAAAAGAAGTATATTTTTGAACAAAAGGAAATGAATGATATTGGAAATGAAATTTAATTCACTCTAAACCTTAAGTTTTTTGGAATTATTTTAAACGCAAAAATAAATCTACAAACGAAATATTAATTGAACTTAAAAGGGGAAAAGCATTTGGTAGTGATTTTATTTTGAATGAATAATTGACTGAAAGTGTTGACATTTTAGGGTCGCACATTTGTGATGTTTTAATGCAATTTTAGATTCTAGATATTTTCAAGATAAAAGGTTGTACTTGTATATAAGAAAGGTGATAAGTAATAGAAAGAGCATCGAAACACGAGGCTATCTGATTCGTACGAGGGGTCGTAGCCCCCGAGTATTAATCAGATTGCCGAGTGTTTTGATGTTCTTTCTCTTTTGTATCAAACACGTTCCCTGATGTCACAATATGAAACCCCGGAAAAAGGAACCAATGAACGAGCATCTGAATATGAATTTCTATCGCTGTCCCTTTCCCCGTCGTCACAATATGTAAACCCCAGACAAAATGAACCAATCAATGGGCATGCTCTGCAGTGCGGGTAACTAATACCTGCACTCCAGTTAACGCACTGTGCATGTTAAGTATATGATTTAACTCTGACACATTTTCAACAGAAAGGTCCCAAACTATGATACAAAAGAGTTAAGACTGATGTTAACAATTATAGGTGTATAACACTAGTTAGTTGTTTTTCTAAGGTATTCACAATAATCTTAAATAAACGTATCACGTCCTTTTGTGAAAATAATAATGCTATATCTGATGCAAAGTTTGGATTTAGAAATGGTAAACCAACTGTAGATGCTTTATTTATACTGTTAAATATAGTTCAACATTTTTTAAATGAAAATAAAAAATTATATTGTGTATTTGTTGATTTAAAAAATGTTTCGATACTATATATAAAAATGCATTGTGGCATTTCTGTGCAGAAACAGTTCTACGTTTATTTACTGATGACTGTCTACTGTACCGAAGAATAAAAAACAGCAAAGAACATGAAATTCTTCAGCAAGACCTCTATCAGCTTGAAACATGGGCTAATACCTGGGGAATGGGCTTTATAAGTGTGCAGAAATTTTACATGTCATACGATGCGCGCGCATCCTCAAAGTTCTGATAAGTACTGCGAACACTTTTTCAACCGGTATTTTGAACAAAAACGAGTAATGTAAAACAATCAGAATACATATGAATTTGATTTCTTTTGCAAAGAAACTGTTCTTACTTCCAGTTTTAATATTCCAAATGCCTTGACACAAGTCTCCCCTTTCTCGTCAGTATTTCGTGTTGAATGAGATTTTAATTTGATTATGGGTACTGCATGCGTACACCCAATTATTTTATGATGTTAAAAAAGTGTTTAATATATTATATGATTATTGACCTGTTCAATTGATAAAATGCTTATAATTTTTCAAGTATTTTTTTTTTTAATTTTGATAATGTATTTATAAAAATAATTGCCTTACCGACTGCGTATATATGTTGGTTTTAGGAACTGAATTCACTTACCGAAACACGACTGGTTTGTTTTTTAGTTTAATAATATTTTACTGCAACTAATCTTTACATAAATACATTAAAGTTACATGAATGATACAAAAACAAATATTTACAAAGAGATATAGTGCAAAAATGAATCGGGCTACAAGTTACAACAACATTAGCAACAGCCCTCCCCACAACGTCATTTTCAAGATCAATAACCCTACAAGAAATTATTATGTCATTGTTATGCAAGCTATGCTAACATTTCTATATGACCTTGCATGGAAAACTAAGAACTAGGGGGCGTAGACGGCAACTTGCACTTTGAAATTTTCCAGTACCGTCCATGAACAGGCTCAATAAAACCGGATTGTCGATAAAACCGTGCCTGCAACATTTTCAATTTTACGGTGTTGGGCTTTCTTTAGGGATTGTGTTTTGCTCTATTTTATAACATATGCAAGTTAACCAGTTGTACTTCGGCCGAGTATCTTTTTGGCTTGCAGCCGTGGCTGCAAGCCATTTCATATGGAAAACTTGTTCCGGTTAGGTGGTTTTCTGCTTACATTTGTAAGTGCATGTTTGAACGGGAAACCAGCTGAAATCGTGCCAATCGCAACTTTTCGGCCTTTTTCGTCACTCTTCGGATTAATGATAATAGCCGATGTAGTTCCGATTGCAATCGTGACAATTCGGGCAATTCCGTCATACTGCAGAATCAATCGAATGCTGCGGAATCAGAATATTACTGAAATCTAAGCTATTTTAGTTATACCTCGGTAATCCCAGTTTGTTTATATAAATAGGATTCGTATTTTTACTTGATTTATTGATTTAAACCGTAATAAATTATAAACGAAATTGTTCCGTTTCAATTCTTTTTCAAGACGCAAAAGTTAGTTTCTTTTATAATTGTTTTTTGTCTGTATTAGTTTTATACAATAGAGGATGTTGACTGTAGTAGTATTCCGTCTTCAAATGGTGGTCCAATTAACACAGAATATTAGTGCATGATCGAGTTATATTTAGATCTATTGAATTTGGTGAGGTAATCTAAAAATAGTCCATGCATAGCATTAACCTTACCACGTGATGATCTATAGATAGCGATGCTTATTAATTGGTACCACGTAACGAAGTGGAAATGAAATGTGCACACTTGTTTCCTTTCAGTATGATAGATAGATCTCCACGTTAGTATTTTTACGATTGATTATTTTCTTTATTAGTTTTATACAATAGAGAATAGATTTCAAATCGTTTTGACAAAAATATTCGTTTTTACAAAAATAAAAACAACTAAATATGTTGGGATGAAGGCACAACTGTGCAAGCCTTTCCTTTTAAAAGGAAACTTTATTTAAAGATACTTCTTGTTTTCTCTTCATGCGTCCAGCAGTATTATTATTTTGTGTCGCGTTTTAATCAGATAGACTGAACTGCGTTCATCTCAAAGCGTTACCGGAGTCAGAGTGAAAAAATGTGGATACCAGTCTGATTGTTGCTACGCATGACAGGATATGACGTTAACAGTCAAAAGTACCCGTATATTGATCTCCATTGCTGTGGTCGGGCGCCTTATGTGAGTTGATTAATATTTTTAAATTTTCTTTATCTTCCCGTCGTTTCCTTGCTTATTTTCTGTTTGTTTATAGATAATGGACCTTTATTGCGTAACAATGCATGAATAAATACTATTTAAGTTTTGCAGAACATCTATTTCTAGGAAATTTTGGATGTAAACAAGATGTCACGTGTAGACAATTTTTGAAATGTCAATATTTTTCTAATATGTATCAATACGTATTGCTGCATTGCAAACATGAACAATCACATGTCTTTCACCAATTTTGTAATTATGAGTTAGGCATGTTGTCTTGCACATCAGTTTGGTGCCTTTCGCGATGTGAAACTTGTCTTAGAAATCTAGATTAGAATCCATTCTTGCCATCTTGGTAATCGTGTTCTTGGTAATTTAACATCTATTTTTTAACATGTAAAATCCAATAATACAATGAATAATATGAAATTAGGTGCTATCTATGGCGCTGAAATCTCTACTGATTTGATATCAAGCATAACGTGTTTAGTATTCATGCAACCAGATCTTTCTTGCACTTAATATTTAAATGCATGAATTTTTTACTGTACTCGGAAACAACAAAAATGGTGGTGATCGAAGTGCTTTGAATAATTCTGAAAATCTCCATTTGATGTGGGAGCATATAGCGTTGCACTTGTCCGTCCGTCAGTCCGTCCGTCAGTCCGTACGTCCCGAAATCTTGTGAACGCAACTCCTCTTAAACCGGATGGCAGATTTTGCTTAAACTTACAGGGATGAACAACCTTAATGTGTAGATGGTAGTAAAGGAAGGAATTTTTGCTGCGACCAAATTTAACAGAATTATGGCCCTTTGTTGATTTTTTCACTATATACTATGTAGAAATTTTGTGAACGCAACTCCTCTTAAACCGGATGGCAGATTTTGCTTAAACTTACAGGGATGAACAACCTTCAGGTGTTGATGGTAATAAAGGAAGGAATTTTCGCTGCGACCAAATTTAACAGAATTATGGCCCTTTGTTGATTTTTTCACTATATACTATGTAGAAATTTTGTGAATGCAACTCCTCTTAAACCGGATGGCAGATTTTGCTTTAACTTACAGGGATGAACAACCTTAATGTGTAGATGGTAGTAAAGGAAGGAATTTTTGCTGCGACCAAATTTAACAGAATTATGGCCCTTTGTTGATTTTTTCACTATATACTATGTAGAAATTTTGTGAACGCAACTCCTCTTAAACCGGATGGCAGATTTTGCTTAAACTGACAGGGATGAACAACCTTCAGGTGTAGATGGTAGTAAAGGAAGGAATTTTTGCTGCGACCAAATTTAACAGAATTATGGCCCTTTGTTGATTTTTTCACTATATACTATGTAGAAATTTTGTGAATGCAACTCCTCTTAAACCGGATTGCAGATTTTGCTTAAACTTCCAGGGATGAACAACCTTAATGTGTAGATGGTAGTAAAGAAAGGAATTTTTGCTGCAACCAAATTTAACAGAATTATGGCCCTTTTTGATTTTTTCATTGTATACTATGTAGAAATTTTGTGAACGCAACTCCTCTTAAACCGGATGGCAGATTTTGCTTAAACTTCCAGGGATTAACAACCTTAATGTGTAGATGGTAGTAAAGGAAGGAATTTTTGCTGCGACCAAATTTAACAGAATTTTGGCCCTTTGTTGATTTTTAGTTTTCAACTTGTGGCACATGTAGTCCAAAAAATATTTGACCTAGAGTCATAATATTGACAGAACAGTGGCGTGTGGGGGCATCCGTGTCCTATGGACACATTTCTAGTTTTTCCTGATTTTGTGCATCATTCTTTTACCGGAAGTGTTATTTGGTACACGTCTTCTAGCAATAATCTGGATTATGTAGACGCTCAAAAGTGCCATGATATCTATATTTAGCCCAAAAGGATTTTAAAAAATGGTGGTACACAGTTAGCTAAGGATTTTTCTCAAACTTGTTAAATATATATATTTTTTGAGGGCCCCGATTTTTTGATGTGATTTCAGTTTCATTTATTCATGTCATACATGTTATCTAAGAGTGCTACAGCCCTCTGTGAATTAGGAAAAAATGACTTTTTAAAGTCTTGCACTATGGTCCCAGTCTTCAGAATAACTAACTAGCCCAAATTAATTTCCCAAAAGGGGAAGTTAAAATTATGACCAGTCTACTTGATCAGTAAGTTAAAAATATAGTGACATTTTGAATAAAAGTAAAAAAATACAGGTTATGATAGCTCAGAAATACATGCTCCCCTAAATGGGCCTTTTGAAATGTTTTAAACTTATTTATTTTGTTTTAGATAAGACGTCCCAGACCTTTATATGAGATTTAAAGATGCAAAACATAGAGCAAAAACTAGAATCAACTCTCGGCAAAAGAGCAGACTTAGATAGTCGACTCAAGTCAGCATGTTCCAATGTTCTGACTCAGAAGATAGATTTCCAGGAATCTTCTAGGCCACATTCATCTGTTAGTGATATGCTGAAGGGCAAATATGTCAACCTGGCTCCTGCTACTACAGTTTCAACCCAGAAAAGTCCAACAAGTGAGTAGAAATTTTTTTAGAATAGGTAGTTAAAATTTGTATCTTTATGTGAATCCACTTACGCCCTGTTACCATAAATAGAGATAAATATTACAATTAGGTAATATACATTTTAAGGATCTGCATAGATCTATCATTCTGTGTCTTCGTACAGATTTTGTGAGTATCTTACTTATATGGGTCTTACACTCAAAAATCATTGTAAGGAATACAAATGATTGATAATTACAGGTTCAAATTCTTGTGAAAATGATGGTGAAGGCTTGCCAAAACCAAAGCAAGTCCTTTTCAAAGAGCCATTGGACTTTAGCTGGAGATATCAAAGGAGCGGCATGGACAAAAATGGGAAAACAGCTCCTGAATGCTACTTGCAGTTTTTGAACACCCCCCACCACTCAAAAATTATATACAAGGGACCCCTTTTCTCTGTGTAATTTTTTGGAAAAAATTTTTATATATCCCTTTAAAGTTTTTCTACCAAATCATGTTTTGGAACAGACTGTGCTTTAAAGACATATGCCATATTTTTTATTTTTTAAAAAAAAGAATGTTTATGACTTTTTTTTCCATGACACTAGTATTGTTAAATTGAAAAATAATCATCATCATCTTTTTTATCAGTTTTCAATATAAATAGATGCTTGTCAGATGATATTTGTGCTTTTAAGTGAAATAAGAGGCCAAATATACAAATTTAGTCAACAAAGAAAAAAACAAAAATAGAAGGTGATATTTGCCCTTTGTGTTTTTTCATTTTTTTTTGATAAGCATTTTAGTAAAAAAATTGAAAATTTTTTAAATTTTCTGTATAATTTGGCTTCTGCAGGTCGATTGAGTAACGAAAAGTGTATATTGTGTAATCTGCAGCGACTTACCAAGTTGTCCCTAAATGCAGGAGAAAGTCTTTCACCAAAGTGGTTCACTAACAACCTTCAATGTAAGTTTGTTGTTTTGGGTATACTCAAGTGTTTATTCAACCTTTTGCTTTATTTGAGATTTGAGCTTATTGTATCATGAAAAATACTTTGTATGTCCTTTGTATGGCAATGAAAAAATCCCAAAGGAATCTTCTATATTTGTTAAATGTTTGTACTGTTGTTGCACCTTTTCTGTTTCTTTCCTATCTGTTCAACTTTTCTGTTACCTCTTATGCTTATTTTCTGTTTCTTGGTTGTAATCCTTTGTTCTCTTAATATTTATATCCTACTTTTTGTAAGGTTATTTACTTAAATTTTCTGTCCTCTTTATGTTTATTTCTTATATCTTCTATTCTAGTAGTGTTTATTTTCTATATCTGATATAAGTGTCTGTTCTCCTTATGTCTCTTTCCTATTTCTTTCTTCTATTCTCTTGCACTCCTGTTTCTTTTTATGTAGGGATAATGGAAGATAGTTTATTGAGCCTTAGTACAGGTAAACAAGAGTAGGATTATTTCCTTTCATACTGGGCAAATTTTCATTTCTGAAAATTATGTTCTTTTGAATTTTGGAAAAATTATATATTTTATTTACATAAGGATTGTGAAACCTAAAGAGAGTAGCCATATTGATATTTCCTCAGTCAGATAATGATGTGATTGAAAACACTCTCATGTGACACAAGAGTACATAAATTATGTTATTATGAAAACTGTTGACTGTTAGAGGCCGAGAGGCTTTGATTTATTGCAGTAATATCCCAGGTTTGTTATTATTGAGCAAATCATTATGGTACATAATCTTTAAATATTGTTTTATAAAGCACTTGATTCAGTAACCTGATTATGACAGACTTTAACAATTATTAAACTAATTTTGTGCAGATATTGGTCGCCATTTCCGAAGTGGGCGGCAGGAGGATGCTCATGAGTTTTTACGTCTCAGTCTTGAAAAGATGCAAAAGTGTGCTCTCTTTGGCTACAACAAGTAAGTAAAACAGAACTAACACCCATTAAAAAAATGGCTTGACATTTTTGAATAAGTGGTTTTGAAGAAAAAAAAGGTATGAAAAAAAAAATATATTTAAAGATTGCATCTTCAGTATTTACATAAGGTAATGCTAGAACTTTTTGTCAGTCTATTAACATTTTGAAAATTTGCATTGATAATAACTTGTATAATGAGTCTGACTAAAACAAGGTCGGTCTGCATGTCCATAAAGTCTAACAGACTACATATATTGTCAGCATGATTACAGATAATGAAGTCCATAAAATACACATGCTTTCCTAATTCAGTGCAGGAAAAGTCTATCTGACAAATTTAGTGGTGTTTTAACATTAAGTGTTAATGTGTTGTGTACATATTTCAGTCTGGACAAGTACAGCAAAGAGACTACAGTCATTAACCAGATATTTGGTGGATACCTTCGCTCTCAAGGTAACATGGTTAATATATCACAACTTTCATTGAGTGATTAAGTATTTTCTTTTTCTATTTAATAACTTATAAGCCACTTGTGGCGAAGGGATTGCCTTTAAAGGTGACCACCTGTATTACATGTATAATAATGAGAAATAACTGCTCAGACTCAGATAGCAAGCTTTTGAAAAAAAACATAAAAAAGTAAAACAAAGTAACAATAATGTAGCCTTAAGAGTGTCTGCAATAAAGACGAAATGGAATAAATGTGTCATTAAAGATATTTGCAAGTTTATTGCATGTAACCCTTTCTTACAGTTTTGTGTTGCCGCTGTGGTCATAGATCCAATACATACGATCCACTCTTAGACATCTCTCTAGATATCAAGTCAGCAGACAACATTGAGAGAGCATTTCACCAGTATGTAGCTGCCGAGAAACTTGAAAATGAGAACGCTTACAAATGTGAAAGGTTTGTTGTTGTTGTTGTTTTTTAATTTCTAATTAACTTCATTATTTAATAATTTTTAGAATTGTTCAATATTGTATCCACTTAGTGAAAGGTGATGAAAAAGATTTAATGCTTGAAAGATAAGTTGGAAGGTGAATGATAAAGAAATAAAAAAAACTATACTGAGTTCATCGGATAATGTTTCCACATTTTTTGCCAACCTTCAGACAGCCAACAGGATAGATGGACAAGGACAAATCTATATCCCCCTTGTTCAAAGTTATGGCTTGAAAAGCACCTTGTTACTTTATTTACATTCCTTTTGTATGTTTTCAGATGTAAGCAGAAGGTGACAGCATTTAAGCGTTTTTCCATCCACACAGCACCAAATGTTCTCACAATACAGCTTAAGAGGTTCCAGTATGGTGTATCTGGTGGTTTCTATGGCAACAAGATCCATAAGCCTGTGCGCTATCCACTGGTTCTTAATATTCGTCCTTTCATGTCTGTAAAAAATGTAAGTCATTATGATGGGGTGTATAATATTGATGATACAATGATCCCATCTGGCTGAATCAAATTTGTTCAAAGTTCCGATCTGAATTTCACTCAAGTTGAAGAATAATTATTGATAATAATAATAATCTGGAAAGATTATATTTACCTTTAAAAAAAATTTCAAATTGATCTGTAGACACACTTATAAATATTAGAAAAGCACAATTTCTTTGATAAAAAAAATTATTGAAAAGTAGGGTGTATAATATACTTATTTATATTATATTGCCTTTTAAATGATGTTATGTACATTGGTTATATTATATTCTCAATGTATTAGAAGTGTTTTTATGCTCCTCGAAAAATTTCGGGGGAGCATATAGTCGGCTCCTTGTCCGTCTGTCCGTCCGTCCGTTTTCTTGTCCGGAGCATAACTTGAAAACCCTTGGAGATAATTTGTTTAAACTTCATACAGTGGTAGAAGGCATTGAGGGGGAGTGCAGTGTCAAAGAACCATAACTCTATTTTGCCCGGTTTTTGAATTATCTCCCCTTCTAGAAAAATCTTGTCCGGGGCATAACTCTAAAAGTATAAGAGATATCAACATGAAACTTTGTAGGTGAATAGATCTAAATGGGTAGATGTGCAGTGCATAAGACCAATAACTCTTTTTGTCCTAATTTTGGAGTTATTGCCCTTTGTTAATTTCAACACTTTGAACTTTGTCCGGAAAATAACTCTAAAACTATAAGAGATATCAAGATGAAACATTGTAGGTAGATAGATCTCATTGAGTAGAAGTGCAGTGCAAAAGAGCCATAACTCTGTTAAGCCTCATTTTTGAATTATCTCCCCTTACAGAAAAATCTTGTCCGGGGCATAACTCTAAAACTATAAGAGATATCAACATGAAACTTTGTAGGTGAATAGATCTCAATGGGTAGATGTGCAGTGCATAAGACCAATAACTCTTTTTGTCCTAATTTTGGAGTTATTGCCCTTTGTTAATTTTAACACTGAACGTTATCCGGAACATAACTCTAAAATTATAAGAGATATCAAGATGAAACATTGTAGGTAGATAGATCTCATTGAGTAGAATTGCAGTGCAAAAAAACCATAACTCTGTTAAGCCTCATTTTTGAATTATCTCCCCTTTTAGAAAAATCTTGTACTGGACATAGCTGTAAAACTATAAGAGATATCAACATGAAACTTTGTAGGTAGATGTATCTCAATGGGTAGATGTGCAGTGCATGAGAATCATAACTCTGCCTTGCCTAATTCTGGAGTTATTGCCATTTGTTTATTTTTACTTTTTGAATTTTTCCAGAACATAACTCGGAAACCATAAGAGATATCAACAAGAAACTTTGTAAGTTGATAGATAACAGTGATTGGAAGTGCAGTGGAAAGAACAGTAACTCTGCCTTTCCTAATTTTGGAATTATTGCACTTTGAACTTTTTCCAGGGACATAACTCTGAAACTACAAGAGGTGTACTTTCCTGTGTCCAAAACCTATTCGGGGAGCATCACCCGGCTCAAACCGGGCTCTTGTTACTTCATTGTAGTTGTAAGATTGAAGATGAAGAAATTATTGGTAATGTCTGTTTATGTTAATAAATATTGTCAAAATTTAAGGGACCACCAATCAACTACACTTTGTTTGGTTCCATACAACATGAAGGCATGTCTTGCAGCTCTGGACATTATGTTGCAAATGTTAGATGTGGAAAGAATTGGTACCATTTCAATGATTCAAGCGTAAGTATTATTTTAAGTTAGTCTTTCTTGTGTTAATTTTTTGAGGTCATGGGTTTACCAAAAAATCATGATTTTTGTATCATAATGATAAAATTCAATAACCACCTTGTACAATTGTGTATGGGAGTTTTCTAAGTAAATTTGAATCCAGTCTAAATAGAATTTTTGATATTTCTATTCAAGTCTTGCCATGGTATCCTTAGACTATTTAGGCAACAGACAGTTACACTATAGCCTCATTATAACGCTCATGGTGGGGTCCAATGTCTCAACACCGCGTTCTACCGAGGCTCTCATTAGAACGCTCATTGCGAAATTACCGCATTACCCCACCCACCGCATATATATATAATGCTGACGTTTTACTTACTGTTCAATAAATATCGGCATTATCTTTTTCTTAAACAATTCAATGATGTAAACATATATTATATTCACAAATAATACTAATTATATTTAAAAGAAACAGAAAACTATCGAAAGAAAAACAAATCATGAATGTAGTGTAAACAGTCAGCCATTACAGTAATGGCGTTTGATTAATAAGGGGACACAACTAAAGCTGGACTGTAAATTATGTTAATCAAATGCCAATTACTTCCTGTCATGGCCGCTCTCTTTACAGTGCAGGATTTTAAATTGATTTTGGACTTGTGTGGGTTATTTAATTCAGCGAGGTTTACATGTCAAAGATATGTGTGTGAATTTTAGTTTATTTATACTAACCACAGGTTGCCCATGTCACAGTTATGATATGAATTTGAGATTTTGGAAACAATTTGATGCATGACTGACGGACAGGTAAAACAACAAAGAGCGGATAAACACTTACCTGGGCATGTTTTTCACACCTTTGGCGCTCATAAATGTCCTAATAACAATTGTTTATTATACTTGACTGTCAAATTGAACAAGCGTATAGCGCTCTATGACTAGATCTACTTAAAAAAAAATTTTCGGAGGGAATTTTTTTTTTATATTTTTTTTTGGGGAGCCAAGATCTATGAGCACTATACTGAGATTAGCGTTTTAATGAAGAGCGAGATATTGAGGCTTCAGTGTATATGTATGGGTCTTTCAGCTGTTGTTAATGCGACTGTTACTTTATTTTGACAGAGATATGTAAGGAATGGTCAGCACTGTCTAAACGAGAATTCTGCCTACATTTTGTTCTACATCAAAGAAACCGGAGGTACACCGCAAATTTGTCCTGCTGTTAAAGTTCAAAAGACAGTTACCAGCGTTAAGGTATGTTTTCATTCTGACCTAAGTTCATTACTTAAAAGTTTATTCTTTTACCTTTAAACTAAAGGCATTACTAAAGATAAGAAAATGTTTTACATATCTGGCATTGAGATGTGACATAGCATTTATTAGAAATATAGAATAGATCACTTGATATGTCAAATAATATTAATAATATTTATTGTTGTGTTTGATAGGATAACTATGAGAGGAAGGACAAAACTCAGACAAATGGATTTGGTCATTCATCAACCATTGTAAAGACCCCATCATCACATAACCAACAAGTAAAATCAGGACTTCAGCCAAAGATTGCCACTCCTACAAATGAAGCCAGGAATCAAAAGATGAATGGACAACAGAGCCATAGAATGAATTGTAAGTTGATTTATTGTTCAATTTAGTTTATTTCTATATACTTATAAAACATATAGAAAAATCATGGGAATACTTTTTACACCAAATTAATATTGTTAATACATTTGTACTTGTTATTATGTATCATTGAACCAAGAAATCATATCAAATGTTACAAATAGGAACGTACATAAGGCTTTTGTATCTGTTACAGACCTGTAATATATATTTCAGCTGTGCCAAGCAATGAGATTGGCAAGACCATCAAGTCACCATTTGTGCCTCTTTCTGCTCAGCGTGAAAAAGTTAAGTTCAATATTGGTGGTGATAAGAAGATGGGAGAACATAAGACCCCTGAAAGGCCAAAAATGAATGGACAGAAACAGGGATCTCCTTTGAAGACCACCACACCAATCAAGTCTGAGGTGCCTTCTTCTGGAAGATTGGTGATGAAAATACTTGTAAATGATGGGAAATCTTATACATGGGAGACATCTCCAGATGGTGAAAAGAGAATCATCTCTGACGATGATGAAGTTGTTGCTAAGATGAGCAAGGGACAACGTAAAAGATTGAGGAAGAAACGGAGTATAGTGCCATATGGAAACGATTCAGATAGTGATTGGAGTTCCAGCAATTCATCTCAAGACCAAAGTGCCAGCAGCTCTAAGAAGAGCCGTAAAGATTATAACCAGGAACAAAAGGGGTTGGTGTTTGATGGAGCCTTAAATACAACCACCTCTGTACCTGGAAATGCTCATTTATACAGCACTGTCACCATGAAAGATAAGGTTAGTCACTCTACTCCTCATGTAGAAAGGTCAAAGGACATTAAGATGTTTTCACCAAAGAGTAGCCATCAGTCTCCATCATTAAAGAGACAGTTTAATGAAACCTTAGTGTGTGATATTTCATCAACATCTGCAAAGCACTCTGGCAATGGTGAGTGGCGCACTAGTATGGAATCAATGCAGTCTCCTTCAATAGGTTCAAACCACAGTCACAGCTCTGTACATAGCAATGGCTCTACAAGTGATTGGTCAATACAGAATAAGGACAAAACAACCAATGGCCATTCTGAAAGGAAACCTGAAGGCTGGACTATCACACCAGGAAAGAAAGATAAGGGTTTCAAGAATGAATCAGAAGAAAACGTTCGAAATAGCAGTGCTTCAAGAGTTGATACCAATTGTGCCTCCAGTCCATTTGAAGATGTTAGTGATAAAGTATGCTTGATAAGACAAGAAAAATCTAGTGATGAAAATACAGAAGAATACAGGAAGTCAAAGAAGCATAAAAAGCACAAGAAAAGAAAACACCATGAAAGAGAGCACAACTATGCAGAGGTTACTGAAGAGTCTTCCAGCAGGTCACATAAAAAGAAGAAAAAGAAGAAGCACAAGCATAAAGATCGTGATGAGCACAGAGAGGAAAGAAAACATAAAAAGAATGAGAGAGAGAACAGCAACATTGATACTGAGAGAGAAGAGAAACCATGCAAGAAAGTTGACAGTGAGCTAGATGAGGGACACAAGCAAAAATACAGGGAAGACGAGAGAAATGAAAAGCACCACAGGCACAAACATGGCTGTGAGGTGTCCCGTAAGAAGAATCGTAAGGATTCAGAGTCCTCAACTGAGTTTGAGTGGGTAGAAAAACAAGTTCCTGTACGTGACTCAGTGTCAGAACCAGGTGAGTTTACTTATTTTATTGTTTCATTTGCTATCTTTATAGAGAATACTAGTCAATTATTACCATGGTAACATAATTATACTGTGATATATTTTAAACTTCAAATTGATAAATTCTTTTGTCCTAAATGGCCTTAATTTAATTTGTGAAGAAATTATTTATTTGTATGTTAGTAAAATGATTTATATATTCTGGTTATCTGAAATTAAATGTGATTAAATATTTACGTTTTAGTAACACCTAGTCATAGATGGGATTATCATGTAAAGGATGGCTATAAGAGGGTATCCTCCAGTGGCACATCAACGCCAACAATATCCAACAGTTGGGATGGTTTAAAGGCTTCCAAGGTTGCCCAGGAACTTGAGAAAGTCTCCTCATACAGCTATGGTGCACCTGGTTAGTTCATCTTGTGTTTTCTTTAATAAAAAGTATATGTTCTGTGCTTGTTTTTATTATTGGGGAAAAAAATAACTGTTGAAACTTTTACTGAGATAAAATGTAAGGTTTTGTACATAAAACCATCTTAAGTTTCAATGGTTTAATGTAATGATATTGTTTCAACAAAAGCAAGATGGTTTTATATTAGTTTGATATGGCTGTCATATTTTTTTATTGGATAGTTTTGAATACAAGTTTAATGTAAGTTAATATCGAGGGTGAATTTATTTTTTCAGTTACTGGCTGGGATGGTAATAAATCACAGATGGATGTTGAGAAAGATAGAGATTATATCAGTCATAAAAGAAAAGATTCAGATGAGGAATATGACGAAGATTATGACAGGGGAAAGGTAGAATATTATTCACACAATTAAGTATGTTGTAGTATGTTGTAATTCATTTGCTGTGGTTTTTCTCAATTGGTTTCGGGAAAATTCTCACTAAGATTTATCACAAAAAAAGTTAAAAAGCAGGTGTAAGTTCAGATTTTTTGGTAAAACTGCATGAATTTAAAGAAATTTTTAATTGGGGGAAAAGTCTTTTACAGACCTCTGTTATATAAGGTGAAAAACCTTGTTAATAACCAATAGTCATCATATTCTTTAATGTTTGGAATCTGTGCAGGTAGCTTTCAGAAGATTGAAGGTTCTACTGTGTCAAATATAATGCATATAGACACTCTTTATATGAATATCAATTTATAGTCACAATAAGACCTTTTAGTGGAATTAGATAATTGGATTTAAAAGACAACGAAAGAAGACATTTGTTGCAGCTAATTACTGTTAAGGTATTAGGACCCTAATGGGCACTATAAGGAACTAAAAAATTGACATCATAGGTCAGATGTATACCTTAAAGTACACCTGTATGCAAAATTTAAACAAAGTTTACCGTACGGAAATCAAGTTATGGCCACTTTTCTGAACTCAAGCTAGGATGTTATGAGGGCCCTTTTTTAGAAATAAGGAACCTTTAAATAATCTGCAATAACTTTCTAATGAAAAATGTTTTCCCATCAATTTTTGGTAAGAAACAAATAGTACCATTCAGCTAACAATCCACATAAGCAAAATTATGGTTTCTACTTAAAATTTATGAAATCTGTATAAAAATGTTACCCTACCCCACCCATTTTTACCACGTGTCTGACCATTTTTCTACTTAGGGAGCCTAATTTAAAAAAATCTTAAAATTTACCCAAATGAGTGCCTGTTTTCAAAGTTTCCCTAAATTTTTAAAAAAGTATATTGGTTGATCTTGTGAAATATGAAATACTTTTACCGTCTAGTTTTGATTATATTACACTTTGAAAATATCAGGTACCATATTTATTACTAGATTTAGCATAATTTAGCCAATAAATACCTATATAAATTAAAAAATCAAAATTAAACACTTTTTTCTTTCCAAATGTGACATGAGAGATACATAAATAATGTAACAAGAAAAAAAGAAAGAAAAAAAAAGTTGACCCATCTGGGGATTGAACCCATGGCCCTCATTTTCAATGTAGTTAACAGTAGTTCTAGCCTATTTGAATACTCTTCAACGCGGAGGTAATGCATTAGGGTGCTAATACCTTAAGTTGCATAGAGATCAGCATCAAGTTTGAACTTTATTTATTTTACAGCTTGTTTTGAGAACTTGATTATATTTATGATTAGTTTTTACTTTAGTGAGGTTTAGAATTACGGATATTAATAGGTTAGTCATTGTCTTTATTTTTATACTCTACGCATATTCACAATATTTACACTTGGTTAAGACATGAATCAGTATAAAAATTTGTATATATAGGTGAAGAAAGTAAAGCACAAGCACCATACAGAACATCGAAGTAATGGTAACATGTTCCAGCAGAAACAAGATCAGATTAGCAGGTCAAAAATCAATGTAAGTTCTATGTAACTCTCTGTTCTCATCTCAGTTGACTGTTTGCTGGCATTTAACTGAATATACACTAACTGAAGAGTCTGAAGTAAATAGTTTTTGTATATAACAGATAGTGAGTTCTTGTAAAAAAAAATATTATTTAATTGTTGGTGCAATATAAGCAATAATATAGTTGTACAAAATGTTTTCTTGTATTCAGCATATTACAAAATAAAGTTTCCTTTTCATATCACAGCATAGCATTACTAAATATTATTGCATGATAATTTACAAAAAAAGAAGAAGAAGAAAATGGTTGTTGTATTTCCTTCAAATGACAACGCTCACTAGTTCTTGTCAGCAATAGAAAACGTGTTACACTTGACTTATAATGATAAAAATGTGAAATGTCTATATATATATATATTTTCAGTGGTCAACTATAAAGATTGGAGACAACAACCCATTTAAAAAACAGCAACCAGATAGACCTCATCATCATCAAAACTTGACATAAATACAACAAACTCTAACCATTTATTTATGCACTTTTTATATAAATATTTATATTTTATAAAGCGATCATGTTTAAAAAAAAATATGAGAAAAAAGTGTGAACAAACATTTTTTATACAGACTGAAATATTTTTATGATTTTAAAATTGTTAAAGATATAAGCTGCTCATTATTAAAATAGTATTACTGTTGAGTGAATGTTTTTGTTTCTCTTTTTGACTTTTATGTGGAAGTTTTGTGACTGCAAATATTAATGTTTTAGGAAACTTGTGTTAATTGTTGGTCAGGTCTTGTATCAACAAAGTCAGTTAGTTATATTGTACATGTATGTATTGTTTGATGCTTTCTCCAGTGCTTTGTTAAGTTTTTATGTTGACTAAAACACTTATTTGTTTGTTACGTAAGATTTTGTTTTAATAATATTATAACTGAGGTGTAGATATATGCAAAAACAGAAAATAGCTGTAAGCCCTAGGGACTGTGAGGATTTAATTATTTGAAGTGTTAAAATTAACAAGTTACTAAAATGTCCCTGAGAAAGAAAAAGAAATGCAAATATATTAAAATTTTATTGATGTAAAAAATATAACCAATATATTCGATCTAGGGTAACTATGAAAAAAAAAGTTTATATTTTTAGTAGGGAAAAAGCACAACTTAGTCTTTCCAACTAACCTATTGTTTCACACTAGTCCAGTGATATGGTAATATGTTTCATTAAACCTACTGTTCTTTAATGTAAACTTTTCTCTGACTTTTGCAAAACAACAACCCAATCCTTAAATTGTTTATATGTATTCCTTGGCTTTATCAGAGATCATTATCTTTAACAGTAAACTGTAGTAATATATATTTTTATGTGTTCATTTATATACATATTTGCTTCCATTGAACAGTTTCTTTTGATTAATTTATGATACATATATGCAATACTTTGCTTAAAAATTTATATTTCATCTGTTGGTTTACAAAAGATGTAAGTCTATTCTACTAAACGCTTGCACTATTTTTAAACACCTGAAAAATGACAAAAAAGTTTTATAATGAGGATAATGTTAATGTTTTTGATGTGTGTTTAATGTTGCTGGATATTTTTTGGTAAAATTTTAAGGTTTCTGAAATTGTATATATCTTGCTGGCAAGTAAATAATTATGAATATTTGATTGTTACAATAATTTGTTAAGATAAGTGTGGCAGTGTTATGTGTTTAAATTATATAAATAAATATTTCCTTTCAACAAAGTTTATGGTGAATGAAGGCAAGTTTCAGTTAGCTTTCTTGAAATTATGACATAAAACAATACTGTCACATTCAAACCTTAAAGAAAATATGACCAGAAATCAGTATATTTCAAGTAAGCTGTTATCTTTGTTTTGTGAAACCAAAGTAAGGCAAGGAATGTAGGTTAAATTATTGCCTTTGTTAGTGAAGGTCTTGCATTTGATGTTTTTTTGTATATTTTGAGTTAATATTTACCATGTACATTAGCTTTATATAAATTATTATGGTCATCTTGATATTTGTAAAGTGACAGAGGGACAACTGTATGACTTGTAAGAGAATAAAAGTTCATTGTATGACTGTAGTTATGTCTATAGTTGTATGCAGATTATTTGATTTATTTATATTGATTCACAGCTGTAGATTTGAATCCACGCAGATTATTTGATTAATGGATATTGATTCACAGCTGTAGATTTGAATCCACACATTTTTTTTGTCCCCCGCCTTTTCGAAGAAAAAAGGGGTATATAGAAATAGGCTCTGTCCGTCCGTCTGTCCGTCACACTTTCGTGTCCGGTCCATAACTTTGTCATAAATGAAAGGAATTTGAAATAACTTGGCACAAATGTTTATTATAATAAGACGATGTGTCATGCGCAACAACCAGACCCCTACCTCCAGGGTCAAGGTCACACTTGCTCATTTAAGGTCAACATTGCCTATTTGAGGGTATATGTCGTGTCCGGTCCATAACTTTCTTATCTATGAAGGGATTTTGTAAATACTTGCCATAATTGTTCACAATAATCAGATGATGTGTCATGCGCAAAAACCAGTCACCTACCTTTAAGGTCAAGGTCACACTTGGAGGTCAAATATTAACATAGTCTGTTACAGGGTATATTTCGTGTCCGGTCCATAACTTTGTCATTTATCAAAGGAATTTAAAATTACTTGGCACAAATGTTTGTTATAATAAGAGGATGTGTCATGCGCAACAACCAGACCCGTACCTTCAGGGTCAAGGTCGTACTTGCTCATTCAAGGTTAACATTGTCTATTTGAGGGTAAATGTCGTGTCCAGTCCATAACTTTCTTATCTATGAAAGACTTTTGTAAATAATTGCTATAATTGCTCAAAATAATCAGACGATGTGTCATGCGCAAAAACTAGTCACCTACCTTCAAGGTCAAGGTCACACTTGGAGGTCTAATATTAACATAGTCTGTTACAGGGTATATTTCGTGTCCGGTCCATAACTTTGTCATTTATCAAAGGAAATGAGATAACTTGGCACAAATGTTTGTTATAATAAGACAATGTGTCATGCGCAAAACCAGACCCGTACCTTCAGGGTCAAGGTCGTACTTGCTCATTCAAGGTCAACATTGTCTATTTGAGGGTATATGTCGTGTCCAGTCCATAACTTTCTTATCTATGAAGGACTTTTGTAAATACTTGCTATAATTGTTCACAATAATCAGATGATGTGTCAAGCGCAAAAACCAGTCACCTACCTCCAAGGTCAAGGTCACACTTGGAGGTCAAATACTTACATAGTCTGTTACAGGGTATATTTTGTGTCAGGTCTATAACTTTTTCATAGATCAAAGGATTTTGAAAATACTTCGCACAAATAGTCACTATAATAAGAGGATGTGTCATGCGCAACACCTGCATCCCTACCTTCAAGGTCAAGGTCACACTTAGAGGTAAAAAATTAACATAGTCTGTTATAGGATATATTTTGTGTCGAATCTAGAACTTCTTCATAGTTCAAGGGATTTTGGAATAACTTGGCACAAATAGTCACAATAATAAGCCGATATGTCAGGTACAACACCTGCACCCCTACCTCTTAAGGTCAAGGTCACACTTAGAGGTCAAAGGTAAACAGTGTCTGTTATTTGGTAAAGCTTAACATGATAAATTTTTAAATTCCATGTTTCATTTTTTTTCTTTAACAAATTTATTGTTACATTTGCAGATCTAGCATTGATCATAATTTTTGACTGAATGTCCTGAGATCCATACCTCAATCTTTTGAAATAGCACAATTTTATGCTTCATAGAAAACTCCCGAGGCGGGGGACGTTGGTAACTCTGTTACAAATTCTTGTTTGATTAATTGTTATTGATTCACAGCTGTAGATTTGAATCCCTACATGGATTTAAATTAAAACTGTTTGACTGGCATATTAAAGTTATTTGTTTGAATTAATCAGATGTATTCCCAAGCCTTAACATATTTAAGAGTGGCATCAGAGATCTTGTCACCATATTACAAAAAAGTTGATGTAATTTAAAATACCACATCAAAAAAAAAATCTGTTTATGTAGGAAAAGACATTTTAAACATAAGAGTTTTAAATTATTACACGCTTTTCAGTAGTTTTGTTAATTTCCAGTGAAAATTAACATAAAGTTATTTCTCAGTACCCAAACTGTATCTGAATGTGGTTGTAATGATTGAAAATTTGCTTAATTAAGGGCAGCACAATTATGTTTGCATGTATCATGTTCTAATTGTAACAAAATTTGAGAAATGTTACAGATTTTTTTGTTGTTGACATATCACGGACATCAAGATTTGATCATGTTGTGAAGGAATGCACAAGACTTTTCGCATTAGAATCTTAAACGATGACTTTTTCTGCTAGAAAAGCATGAAATGAATTTGAAATAAAAATTTGTCATTTTGCATATCAGATTAAATTATATTTCACTGGTGAAAATCGGCTTTAATAGTTTCACTAGTGGCCAAGTCACTCATGAAAATATTGTATCTGATGTTTACTCAATGAAATTTGTTTTCTATCTTGCATGCAAAACAAACAAAATAAATATCCCTTTATATGAGATAGTATCTTGTATATGATAGATATACAGAAATAAAATGAAATGAGCCGTTTCATGACAAAACCAACATAGTGGGTTTGCAACCAGCATGAATCCAGACCAGCCTGCGCATGTGCAGTCTGATCAGGATCCATGCTGTTTGCTATCAGTTTCTCTACTTGTAATAGAGTTGGAAAGCGAACAGCATGGATCCTGATCAGACTGCACCAATGCGCAGGCTGGTCTGGATCTATGCTGGTCGCAAACACACTATGTTGGTTTTGTCGTGACACAGCTCAAATGCAGAGGATATTGATTAATTTTATGGACAAAAAACATTGTGTTTGTGGTAAAAATCATATTATTTCAACTACCGGATATTTCACATAAAAATCATAATTGAGATTCATAAAATATTTAAAGAAACAAAATCCTACATTACAGTTAAAATATACCTCTGATATCTGATTAATTAACTTTGATTTCTTCTTGAATTTCTGAAATAGAAAAAGAGCGAACATTGTCACTGCATTTATTAAACTGTGTTTCTTTATTTGTTTATGACTGCAACATTATATATGATGTTATGTTGTAATTATCATATTAAATGTGTGAAAATATTTGTTATTTATAACAAAATGCAATAATGAGTTTATATAAAACATGATGAAATTTATGTATGTTCTTATTTCTTTATTCCTTGGTGAAAGTTAAATTTAAGAAAATTCGAATCAAAGATATACATGGGAGTCAGGGGTGACAACCCAAGATATTACTTATAATATGTTTACAGTTACACATGTATGTGTTATACATGCCAAGGGTTGTTTAGGAACTTTTGAATTGCATATAACAAAATTTAATCCTTCCATTCCAGTAACAGCATCTGTCATTTTTTCCAAAATAAGTTGGCTGCTTTTAAAAACGTTTTCAGGATCTGGAATAGAGATCAAATGCTGATAATGTCACTCTATTCCTTGCTAATAAGGTTCTGGCATCTAGCATGCTAAGACAAGAGCTCAATTGTTTAACATGCAATGTATTTGGTAGTGAGGTGTACAGTATGGTTGAGCGTTGTCCTGCATTAGAATAACATTCGGACTGCAATTGCTTATGGTCGTACATGCTGCCAAGGTGCAAATTATCAAAAATGGGTTCATTTTGCCATCGACCTTCCTACCTATAGCATAAAAGACCCTCTACCATATCATGTTTTGAGATGCATACAGTACTGGTGCAAAACATTCATTGCTCTGATGTGTCTATATGTCAAGTCTTGGTGAAATCTAGACTCATTAGCAAACAAGAGTTTTATTGCAGGGTCTCCATTGAAAGTGGTCACATTCTCTGATGTGGTTATTTGTCAAAGGAACAGGAATGGCAGGACGTCTGGCATTCATGTATCATTTGTTGTATTTTGCAAGTTGAAGTAGCAGTCTGGAAATGATTACACCGGGTCTGAACAACAATAATATCTGGGTCTTGTGCATGTGTTGTACACCTAGATAGACCACCACGGTGTAAGTGTGATACATTTCCTTTGTGTTGGAAACAATTCCACATTCATTGAACAACTTTGTTGGAAACATTCAAGGTGTGGGCAACATGCCTATCTGCAACATATGCCTGATGGCAATTTAATAAGAAGGTATCATGGACAAAAATATGCCTGCAAGATATTAAATAAATAGCGAATTTAGTCTTGTAAATTAAGCACAAATGATGATTTTTTCCATTGGATGTGAAAGATTAATTATACAGTCTATTTTTTTAGGTAAAACTGGTAGCATATTTGTAATAGATTGTTCGCATTTGAAGGGGCATAACTTTGTTAATAATAATTTTTAACAAGAGCGATCAGTGATCGCATGTGTCGCCTCATGATGGCCAATTTCATGTTGGGACAAGTTTTTTGACAAACAGACAGACAGATGGACAGTGCACAACTAGACTTGGTACTGATCATTCCTGTAAAGTTTGGATGAAATTGCACTAGTAGTTTATGAGGAGTAGTCCAGACAAGCTTTTGTGTATCTGGCAACACACAGAAAAAAAACACCTTTTTATCAAAGGGCCATAACTCGGCCAAAAATCATTCAACTGGAAAACCCGTGCAATATGTGCAAGGACTTCAGCTACAGATCAATCCTGTAAAGTTTCATTGAAATTGCATTAGTGGTATAAGAGAAGTAGTCCGGACAAACTTAAAAAATAAAAATTATTAAAGGGCCATAACTCTGACAAAAATCATTTAACCAGAAAATGCTGACAATATGCACAACTAGACTTGGTACTGATCATTCATGTAAAGTTTGGATGAAATTGCACCAGTAGTTTATGAGAAGTAGTCCGGACAAGCTTTTGTGTATCTGGCAACACACAGAAAAAACACCTTTTTATCAAAAAGGGCCATAACTCGGCCAAAAATCATTCAACCGGAAAACCCGTGCAATATGCGCAAGGACTTGAGCTACAGATCAATCCTGTAAAGTTTCATTGAAATTGCATTAGTGGTATAAGAGAAGTAGTCCTGACAAACTTTAAAATAAAAATTATTAAAGGGCCATCACTCTGACAAAAATCATTGAACCGGAAAATGCTGACAATATGCACAACTAGACTTGGTACTGATCATTCCTGTATAGTTTGAATGAAATTGCACCAGTAGTTTATGAGAAGTCCGGACAAGTTTTGTGACGGACGGACAGACAGACGACGGAGAAGTGATCCCTTTATGTCGCCACTACTCCGTAGAGGCGACATAATAAATTACTTGAAAAATCAAACTTACCTTGTGTTTTTATATGATATACTTACATGCCAAATATAAACATAGAAACTGAAATCCTTAATTGAAAAGTTGTCCTGCAGAACAGAAAAATTGGTTGAAAAAGGGCATAACTCTATGATAATTGCAGCAGAAATCGAACTTGACCCATGTTTTGATATAACATACTTACATGCCAAATATAAACACAGACACTGAAATCCTTATAAAGCTATCCTATGGAAACCAATAATTTCACCCAAAATTTGAGTGAAAGGGGGCATAACTCTATCAATTATAATTTGATAACAGCGAAAATATAACTTGACCTCTGTTTTCAAAATAACATGCATACCTACATGCTAAACATAAACACTATCATTGAAATTCTTCAAAATGAATGCTGTGGAAACTAAATGTCAAGGGACAAAGGATTGAAATGGGATAATTTTAATTGGCCATTTTCATTTTCTTTTGTTTAATGGAGGATCATTGGCCTTTAATCAATTGTTACAGAATAAACACTATGATATTATTCGCTTTTGTTCTGTTTAATGGTCCTCTGTCTATTTCTGATTGTACAGATGGCTGGTAGGATGGACGAGAGGCTAGCAAACAATATTTTGAAGTCCATTAACAGGACTGATTGCTATCAGAGGCACAGTTATCTCTTGTTAAAGTTTATTCATTCCAAGTTTAATTGGACCAATTGAATGACTTGATTACTGGAGTTACTGGTAATTTACTTGAGTCCTATAATTGTGATTCTTAGTAACCTCAATAAAAGATTAAATGACATTAAACAATAATACAGCAGGTGGTTTATATGAACCTCTTAGAAGGGAAAGTATATGGCCTAGGCCTAAGCCACTGGTATATAGAACCAGGCCAGTCTGTACATCCACGCAATATGACCAGGCTCTATATTGTTGGTAGCTCAAAATAGAATGCTCATATAATCAATTCAATGAAAACAAACGCTTTTCTTTAGCTTTTGACGTTTAGTCTCCTGACGTTTTTAAGAAAATAAATAAAATCCTCCGAATTCCATGCAGTGCAAATCTATTACATAAACACTGGTTAAAGGCTGATGAAGGCAAATTTCACAGTAAACCATTACTGTTTTGTGATAGACTTGGGCAAATAATGTTATGTTTTTTTTCCAATTAAAGTATAACAACAAAGTCTGTGAATGAATAAATTTATTACCTTTCTGATACATAGTATGCAAATTAGCTAGTTTTTGTAAGTTTATTGTATAATTCTATCATCTATACATATAGAAGACTAGTAGAGACTTGAGCAGATATCCTACAACATAGTACATCATGTAAATTATACACAAACTTCAGTCATAAGTTTGTTTACAAAATATCCACTTAATATCTCCATATAAATTCATATCAATATTAAATTGTTTAAATGGCATTTCATAAATACATAGATTAACTTTTAACACTTAATTTGTAAATATTTTACTTATCAAAATGTAAATTAAAAGACATGCATGTTATTTTGGTGATTTTTTAAATTCATTTTATGTGCATATAAGCTAAAAATTGTGTATTTCTTAAACTCTTACATTTAAAGTCACTGTGATAAATTCCTGCAGCACTACAGATAAAATCTTCATCTTATTTAAAAAGCCCGAAAGATTTTAATAACGTTTCAAGGGACATAACACAATTAAACTTGAATATAATACACCTTGAAAAAGAGCATCATGTATTTATGCCATTTTGAAAATTAATTTAGATAGGTTGAATGTTTCAACAATATTTTTCAAAATAAATTCTACTGATGGTAGAAAGGACATTGTACTACAAGAAAATCTATCTCGGGATAGAAAATTATAAACATAAAAAGTGTGCCTATTAGTCTAAATTATTAGATGAAGTACAGTAAAGCAGATACTGATAAAACAAGGTTGCCAGCAACCTAGCTTCATTACTAAAATGAAAACTACATATTCTAAATAATGTCTACTGGCTGATAAACATGTCAAATAAATTCACAGAAAGCCATGCAGAGTTATATTTTAGCAACACATTGTCAATGTATTTTTCCAATCCTATGATCTAGTATAAGTGTATACAGATCAAAGAATTGGTGTACACATAACGGTCATATTTATCCAGCAAGATACATGCCAACATTGTATATACAACTAAAACATGTTAAATTATAGTTAACTGGCCAAGCCATCTTGGATACTGTGAACATTCTTACAAAAAAAGATTGTTTAAATGTAATAAATTAGACAAATCATGCCAAAGGAGCCCTTATTTTTAAGTCTGTTTACTTTTCTGTTACTATAAAGTACAAAACATTACTTACTTATTTTGATTTAAAACAAGAGCGATCAGTAATCACATGTGTCGCCTCATGATGGCCAATTTCATGTTGGGACAAATTTTGTGACAGACTGACAGACAGACGGACAGTGCACAACTAGACTAACCACTTTGTACTGATCATTCCTGTAAAATTTGGATAAAATTGCACCAGTAGTTTATGAGGAGTAGTCCGGACAAGCTTTTGCGTATCTGGCAACACACAGAAAAAAACACCTTTTTATCAAAGGGCCATAACTAGGCCAAAAATCATTCAACCAGAAAACCCGTGCAATATGCGCAAGGACTTGAGCTACAGATCAATCCTGTAAAGTTTCATTGAAATTGCATAAGTGGTATAAGAGAAGTAGTCTGGACAAACTTTAAAAATAAAAATTATTAAAGGGCCATAACTCAAACAAAAATCATTGAACCGGAAAATGCTGACAATATGCACAACTAAACTTGGTACTGATCATTCCTGTAAAGTTTGGATGAAATTGCACCAGCAGTTTATGTTGAGTAGTCCGGACAAGCTTTTGTGTATCTGGCAACACACAGAAAAAGAAACCTTTTTATCAAAGGGCCATAACTCGGCCAAAAATCATTCAACCGGAAAACCCGTGCAATATGCGCAAGGACTTGAGCTACAGATCAATCCTGTAAAGTTTCATTGAAATTGCATTAGTGGTATAAGAGAAGTAGTCCGGACAAACTTTAAAATTAAAAATTATTAAAGGGCCATAACTCTGACAAAAATCATTGAACCGGAAAATCTTGACAATATGCACAACTAGACTTAGTACTGATCATTCCTGTAAAGTTTGGATGAAATTGCACCAGTAGTTTATGAGGAGTAGTCCGGACAAGTTTTGTGACGGACGGACAGACGGACAGACAGACAGACAGACAGACGGACAGACAGACGACGGAGAAGTGATCCCTATATGTCGCCACTACTCTGTAGAGGCGACACAAAAAGGTATCATTTCACATTTTCCACTACAGAATGCTTACAGTTTAGTTACGTATTATGTAAGAAATAATTGCTGTACATATATCGTACAGGAAACCACATAATGAGCTGATAACTTGTTTAGCTTTCAGCTATGTTAACTTATTTACTCATATTGAGTAAGGTATTATACAATGGCATGATCAGAAGCATTTTAACTTTACAAACAAAAGCTACACATGCAATACTAAAATAGTCTTTTCAACATTAAAACAGAAGCTTGAATCATGGTATCTTATAACTTATCTCAGTTTAGTAATAATTCAAGAATAAATAATAACACAATTTATACCAGTACTATCTTCTTTAAGTTAGGAAGACTTTGTTTTTTCATTCAATTCATTAGTTTTATTTGAGACAAGAAAAGAAAATGTGCTACCAGTATACCATGCAGTGAGTTAATGCATACTGCAAATAGTCTCCCTTTAATCCATCAAAATTCACACACAAAAATCTTAAGAAACACAATCAAGAAGGAAGTTTAGATGAATTTTGAATGCAACCTTAATAAATTCACCATGTAAATTTTTGGTGATTTTATTTTTGAATAATACCTCAGTCCTTATAAATTTGATTTTTTTTTCAACCTGCACTAATGTTGTACATAAAAATCAAGTTGTTTTTTATTACATCAAATATTTTAACATATGATTACTTAAGTTAGAGACATGCTTATATTTTTTTATTCTAATATGGTTTGCACTATTTCATAATCAATTCAAGACTGAACTCTTGTGCGAGTAAATTTATACTATCATTATGACTTCATTAAAGACATCACAATTAGATTAATAATGTCACTGTTGAATGTAGTTCAACATATCTTCATTGATTCTCCTTTATCATAAGCATTGTACAATGTAGATTTTATAATCATTTTTTTATACTATCTTAAAATTATAAACTTTATTATTAGGATGCTTTTAATTTATAATTTAATTAATCAGATTATTTTTACTATTTTACTGCACATCTGAAATAAAACCATGCCTCATTGAAAGCAAAATTAGCATCAGTTTTTCTTATTGAATAATTTTCATTTTTCAGAATGCATGTTCATCATTATTTAACACAAAAAATCATAATTATCTAAATTCAAAGCTCATCCATACATTTTTTTGTACTAAACAGACTTGTTTGAAACCATATTTACTACTTCAATTTACACCCAAAGGTTTTGTTCTCTATAATGTGAACTAGATTCGTTGCTGCGTAAATCCATGCATTATATTTCATCTTATGACTTGAAAATTATCATTTGAACACAGAACAGAAAAAGAAGTTTAAGGAGAATACCTGAGTCAACGCAAAATTAATTTAATCTCAAGAGAGAAAAAAATCTGTCACCAGAAGGAGAAAAAAGATGCAAGCATAATATGGGGTAAAATGATTGTTTAAAAAGATGATCACAATACACAAATGAACATTATGTACAAATGACTGGTTTTAACTTTATTATTATGACTTATTTACAAAAATATACAATATTTATATTCCTCCTTTATAACATATAACTTTCTGTGAAGGACTCATGATAAAATAATGAATGTAAGTGTTCATGATGAAGGAAAATAACAAAAATTGATGAATATAAAATGAAAAATTCAGAATCTTTTAACAAGATAACAAGCAAAATTTACTATAACTTGCTTTATGAGAAAAAAACCCCAACAAACAAACATCATATAAGGTTTTGAACCGTTATCAAGTCAATGAATATTACAATGTCTATATTCGAATTTTGAACCAACAAAGTTGACTGCTAACTTGTCAACATTAATCTCTGGTAAAGGAGAAATTATTTAAGCAAACTGCCCAGGTAAAATATACTGCCCTTGAATAATGTACAGAATTTCCGACTTCACTTGTTATAGTTTTCTTAAAACAAACTAAGATTTATATAGTAGTAGCTTTTTTGCTTTTACCAATCACATACACAGTGGAATTGTTTGTAACTAAAAACGATATTGTTTTCTTCTAATTTCATATATCAACCCTAAAGTGAAGTTATTTCAAAAGTCTTTAATAATGGAAAAACTAAAAATAATAATATCTTACTATAAATGGATGGTAACTAATTCTTGCCCAACAAAAAATTAATATTACTTTCTCCCTGAATTTTTTTTACAATATACACAATTAATATTCCTTGCAAAATATCATAATCTTGTGGCTTGCACTCATTTTTCTATTAATAGTAACAATATCATGAATTTTTTAATTATTTCTGACATGTTGTATAACAAAGTATATGACTAAACATCATACTCATTCCAATTGTTGTGCTATGATATCATATACAGAAAAACATAGCACTCGTTTGTCATGACATAAAAATATACTGACATTTACAACCTGATACTTATACAATCACATTTTGTTATATTGAATTTCAAAATGAAAATATAAGTAATGAAAAGAAAACCAGTTCATTTAAATTATGAAAAATCAAAGTAATTAGGTAATTCTGTAAAAGTAATTGTATGACTCAAACATTAAAAGCATTCATAATCATAAAATAATTGTTATAAATACATGTAGATTCTTTAAAATAAAAAAATCTTTTCCAAACAGAAGCTTTTATAACTCATACTAAGACCCTTAACTCAAATCTAAATTCCAGCAAAACATAATAAAATATATATGTTAAGAAAAATTGAAAATAGTTTCCGTTACAAATGAAATCAGTACAGTCATTTACACTATATACAGCAAATCTTCCTACACAGGGGAGACAACTCACACCATCAAATCATGATTACACTTACATATCACAGTATTAAAAATTTCAAATACCCACACTAGTTTTTACTGGCATACAAGTAAATATTACACATTTTATCATTACCCTAATATAATAAGGTTATCAAGTCACTTTGCAACGTTGTAATGTAAAATCTCACAAGGAAACAATTTAAAACGTTTATCTTTTACTGACACATAAGTTATCACTTTTACATCAGTAGAGAGCCACATTCACCAGATAAATATAATTTCATGATGCATGATGCACATTTCACAGAAACGTGTTTTGATATTGTTTATATAGACACAGTAGTATGACATGTGTTATTAAATGAACATAAGTAATGCAACACGCAATTCTTACTCTCAATACTGTTTTGGTGGTAATTCTGATTCAGTTCAAAAGTGTCGCTAAACCAAAATAATTTCATTCTCATTTTGTGACCACACCAATGAAGTTGTGAAAAGTCAAGTCTATAAATGTATTGGTACACAAGTCTAAAATTTATGGTCTGGTGTTGGATAGAAGCTTGGTTTACAAGCTTCTTGCAGACTCTTGATCAAATCTGGATCTCTAGAAGCTTATTTAGCTTGAGCAGCTTTCTTCCTCCTGGCATTCAGCATGTCATAGAATGGGTTCTCACTAATACAAGACCTATAAATAAACAAAAATAAACAAATAACTTTTTTTTGACGATAATAATACAAAATTAGAGATAATTGATAAAGAAAAGTACAAGAAATAACAGAATTCTAAAATGTCATATCTAATACAGCAAGGCTTTTCAAGCTAGTTAGGGAAAAGGCATCTGGTTTAAATTTAAAAAAAAATCAGCATTTTGAAAGATTTTAGAAATTTCATGAACTTGAAAACCTACTATATACATGATCATACAACCTATCACTTCTTTTAAGATACAAGTCAAAACAGTTTAATTTTTTCCATATAGCTAAAACTGCTTTAATTTTTGCTGCTGTTGGGAATTTAATATTTAAATTGGGGAAAAGACGGTATTTTTCATTAGGAATTGGGCCTTATATGGTGATATGACAGAAATACTGTGTACAGAAGTCTAAATCACAATATCATTCTTTAATTAAAAGCAGTCATATGTAATTAAGCACTGTTTAACTGCTAATTCTGCTTTCGGGCAGCTGTGGTGATGATATAGAAGGATCAATGGCATCTCCTAAAGTCATACCTGCCTTAATTGTTGGTCAGGCCTGCCTTAATTGTTGGTCAGGCCTGCCTTAATTGTTGGTCAGGCCTGCCTAAATTATTAGTCAGTCTCAACCAGCCTAATTCCAGTTGACAACCTAATTATTTGTATTTACAATGAAATCCATTCAACTACAAATGAGCAGTAAAAAGTTCAGGTAGGAAAACACCCATTTCATAAAATTAATTAAAAAAAGTAAAGTTTCTTACTTTATACACTTGATCCATTCATCTTTCTCATCTGCTGTAGCTGCTGACATCTTGTACACATTGTGCTTGCCTGAAATTATCGAGATTTTCTTACTACAACCATTAGCCTTTGAATTTCTAAAATTTGAAGTTAGCCAACAGTATAGAGCTTGGTCAGATTGCACATATAGAGGCTTGCCTGGCTCTATACTGGTGGCAAAGGAAATTCATTTTCAATCTAGCAGGGTCAGAGCTAATAAATCAGTTTGAAAACTCTAAATAAATGCTTGTTGAAATTGTTCTGTAACATTATACCATTATACTACTTGTGATAATGAATTATATGAACAACAGAAACCCAACAGATGCTCATCCATAAAACCCATGCACACTATAATAACAGGATTAATTTTCCTTTCCATTCTCACACTTTCAATTAACTGACCTTGAATGCTTAAACAAACATGATATCAATTCAACGACTTATAGGTAATCGACACAAGCATTTTAAGCTATAATTTCTTCAAAAGCAGTATACCTGCAAACACCTCTTAACCATGAACATCACTTTCTCACTCAGTTCAAATTGTCATTGAAACACTCTTTTAATTAAGTAGATTACAAACCATATACAATGTACAGAATGCTGGGAGTATTTACCTTCTACAACTTTGCCTTCTTTATCCACCTTACATGCCTTGATTATTTCGTTAGTGGTGGCATACAGCTCAAAACAATGTGGTTTGTTTGATTTCTCGTTGGACATTCGTACCTGAATATTTTCCAAAGGTATAATACCCTTTGGTTCCTTGTCCTGAAACATAAACAAATGTACTTTGACATAAAAACAAACTTTCAAATCTTCTCTCATCTACACTTCCTATGAGTGTATTAAATTGTTACCACTCAATTTATGTCATATTTGTTTTAGATATTTCAGACATCTATTCATGTTAAATTATTTTGTATTTTAGTCCAATTGTAATAGTTCAGGCACATAAACAAGACAACAAGGGCACGTCTATTTCTCAAACGTAAGTAAGAAAACAGGGATGTTTGTATAAATACTGAGTGATATGCAACAAACAATACAATGACTGCCATTTGAATATGCTACAACTTACAGTTGGGACAAAACACCTTCCAAAATTCACCATTTTCTTTTGGTGGCTAACAGTAGAAACAAATGGTAATTTTTCTGATGAATTTTATGAAATGATGCAATGATAACATTTATTTGTTGATGGTAGATTTAACTTTCAATAAAGGAACTCCAAAAATATAGAGTGGTATGGTTGCTATAATATTTTCAGGAATATTTTTGATTTGATTAACTAAGACTCTGGGCATTAAATTTGATATCAAAATCCACCTTGACATTGATTGACATATAAAAAAAACAACAACAAAAAACCCAAACATATTCAGACATTTCTTATTGACTTCTAGTTTTAATACAAACAGGTTTCTGCCACTTACTTTCTAAGTTCACACTGACTTTTAAAGCCATAAAAAGTAATTTTTTCATTAAATGTCTAGGAATTCTATTTCCAACTGTTTGTCTGAAATTTGCCCCACTTTTTACCACATTAGGAAAATGTCTGTTTCCTTCAAAGAAAATTATCTAGAAACTGATAACTTCCAAGAAAAACGTCTCTGTTTAAAGTAAATGTGTACTGCCAAGTTGAAGTACAACAGACATTAACAATGACCTTATAAGATGATTTAATGATGAATATCCATTGCTGAATCATCCCTACACTTGCCAAAGACATCACACAAATGAATTGTTATTGCAATTAAAATACTTTCAGTACAAAACATATCAATGCCATTTTGGGTTGGGTGAAGGAAGGTAGGATGGCAATGGGGGGATTTCAAGATACACAGATACTAACAACATAATATTATGGTGGTTCTCATTAGTTGAGGAAAATATGTCATCTCCCCTATACAATCTTTAAGGCAATAGCTGATACTTTAGTAGAACTACAAATCTTTTTGTGCTAGCTGGAGACCATTCTAAACTGGAAGTGTCAAGCCCCAAGCCAGATTCTAACATACAAATGTGAGTGGCAAATGAATCAAAGACCACTAAGCCAGAGGACATATCAAATGCTTATATAGCTTCTACCAATTTTGTCCCTTGCTGGGCATCTGAACTTTTGAATTATGCCAAATTTCCACAAGCTGAAGATTGATGATTTACCTTAAATTACATGTAAATGTATATGAAAATATTTAACTGTACTTACAGTTGTGAACTGGAAGTAATATAGACAGTTGTCATTCAGTATAAACCACCTCCTCTTCCAGTTCTTGTAACGACCACCTGAAACAAACAAAATACCACAATAATATATGTTCATGACTACACTTAATACACTTTTCAATATGAAGTTCAAACTATATTAAGAAAAAATCACTATGATTATTGTGGAAACAAAAAATACAATGTGTTCATCATTGTTCCTTTTTAGACATTTCAAGATCACATAAAACTTTATTTCCTTATTATTATTTTTTTCAAATAATTTTAATGCAATAATTTTTGGGAAAAACATGTTCCTGACGTTTTTTGTCACCAAAAATAAATTAGTATTCTGAAAGTTCAGAACATTTCTAGTTAATTAATTGATTATCAATAAAAAACAACAGATATACAATACATTGAAATTAAAATCATTACAACCGTTTCACTCTCAATACATATATAGATCATTTACAAACATAACCAGATGCCTTGTGTGTTAAAATGTTGTTATTTCTTCTTGCTTTTTGTTGTTGTTAAAAAAGTTAACAAACCATTTTAGAAAATCAAATCTTATAAATGGAGGATAATAACGGCATTAAAGTCGACATTAATTATCTGTGTAACCCTTGCCATGCTAAATAATGTAGTAACAATGCTGACCATGATCAGACAGACATCACAGATGTACAGATCAATCTTGGTCTGTACTGGTTACATGGGTAGATTCAGTCAGTCCCATGAAGAAACACAACATATATACATTGTATGTTACAAAGAGTTCAAGACTAAAAGAAAAATCTCTGAACGTAGGAATATCTGCAGTGCTTCAAACAGTTTTCAAAATCAAATGTGGTTAACTGATGTGCAAAACCAAAAATGTTCCTTCTTGAAAAATACAAAAACTAACGTTAAAACATCCTCATAACTTATAGAAATAAAAATTATCCTGTTGATTGGTTAATTTATCTGTTGGTGAGAGCATTGAGAAACTATGCAGTTTCATGGTTCTATTTTCATTTCTTTCCCCATACTTCACAACCATAAACAGCAAAGTCATTACCAGTGTTGAAAACAATATATCTTAAGGCATTTATCTTTCCAGACTTCTACACTTATATTACATTTCTTTTTTTCATTTTAAACTTTGCAAATTTCTAAATGAAAACCTTTACCAGGTACATGTATATTCAATTTTCTCCTCAGTTAAAATGTGGAATAATATAAACAAGTATATTTTATACATATATAAAACATGATTATGTTGCTAGGTAATTACTATAACCCTGCTATGTGTATCCACAGTGCTAGGAACATTCCAAAAATAACCTGTTTCTCGCACAAACAGTGTTTCCAATACAAAAACAAAACAAACAAAAACAAAATAATTAGGATATCCATGCTTGGCTAGCCAACGTTTTACATCAATAGATGATCATGCCTTGTTAAAACAGCATGCAGAAAATATCATATGAAAAAATGTAGATTACAAAACTAATTTCAATAATCACATATAGATATACCATTGACATTATATGCAAATATATTTATCATATGTAAAGCCAATGTTTGTTAGGAAAAGTAAAGGCATGTTCACAAGCAGATTATAATGTTTGTAATGTAGTGACGATATGGCTATATATGTTCTCTAATGAAGCAACTTTTTATACACCGATGATATTTTGCCTACATGCAGTTACAAAATCACACTTGTAATATTTTCAATGTCAAAATTGCTCAAGACATTTCCAAAGTGTCCGACAGAACAGTCATAACATTTCTATTAAGTTATACGTGATGACACAATTTGATAAAAGTGATGAATATAACAAGAGCTGTCAGTAGGACAGCACGCTCGACTATTCTAAGTGCTTGATAGTAAAAGAGCCTTGATATTGTTAAATTTTTTAAGTTCATAAAAGGGCTATTTTTTTTTTTACAAATTCATGCTATAGGCCTTAGAGAGAGTCTAATTATACAGAATTGGCTTGACTATTCGGAAGGTAATGTCACAAGGGTTTTTTATTGAGTATAATAATACTAATTACCTATGAATACATAAATTTGACAGAAAAGGTACAAAGGCTTGTTATTAAGATGTTTTATCAAGTAAATCACTACTTTATTATTATGAATGCATAAAATTGTCCCAAAAAAGGCACAAACCCTTCAGTAGTTATTGAGATAACAGCTTACAAGCAAAACTTTACCATGAATTTCTAAGTTGAAAAAGGGGAGAAAAATCAGCCTAAAATGCAAGATAGAATTATGGATCTTTGTCAGTGACCTACAATTATGACACTAAATGCATATGTGAAGTTTTAAAACAAATATCTTTAATAGTTATTGAGATATGTAAAACTTGCATGTAAACATTAACCAAGAGACTAAGTAGAAAAGGGATATGAATCAGCCTTAATGCAAGATAGAGTTATGGAACTTGGTCAGTGACATACAATTATGACCCTCCAATTATGACCATTAGTGCATGTGTAAAGTTTCAAGTAAATATCTTTGAAGACCGTTAACCTTTAACCAAAATTTCTAAGTTTCAAAGGGGCAAATTATTCTGCAAATATTGCAGACAGAGTTATGCAATTTTGCAAACTTATGTACATTGTTACTATAAATAAGTATTTTAAATTTCAATTGATTATCTCAAGCAATAATTGAGATATTTGACTTTACAAAAAACTTTAACCAAAATTTCTAAGTTCCAAAGGGGCATAATTCTGTCAATATGGTAGGCAGAGTTATCCAACTTGTCAATCTGATGTACATTGTTACTATAAATAAGTATTGTAAGTTTCAATTGAATATCTCAAGCAATAATTGAGATATTTGACTTTACAAAAAACTTTAACCAAAATTTCTAAGTTCCAAAGGGGCATAATTCTGTCAATATGGTAGGCAGAGTTATCCAACTTGTCAATCTGATGTACATTGTTACTATAAATAAGTATTGTAAGTTTCAATTGAATATCTCAAGCAATAATTGAGATATTTGACTTTACAAAAAACTTTAACCAAAATTTCTAAGTTAAAAAGGGGCATAATTCTGTCAATATTGTAGGCAGAGTTATCCAACTTGTCCATCTGATGTACCTTGTTACTATAAATAAGTATTGTAAGTTTCAATTGAATATCTCAAGTAATAATTGAGATATTTGACTTTACAAAAAACTTTAACCAACGCAGACGCCGACGCGGACGCTGACGCCGACGCCGACACGACTACAATAGCTCTCATATTCTTCGAATAGTCGAGCTAAAAACAAAGTCAACTACTGATTGATATTTCTGTGTGCCATTTCTTTTTTTTTAAATACTTCCAATCCAATGGAATGAAAAATGACAAGCTTTTTAAAATGTTAAATCTATCTAGATCATGATTAGTTTTACAAAAAAAAAGTTTTGATGTCTCAAAGCCAGTTAATACAGTCATGTGTAAGGAATGAATTATTTTCAATTGTTCCTCAAGTGTTGATATAAAATAATAAAATAAAGTCATGATTCATCAATGTGACACTATGGTATACAGTGAAGTTTTAAAGTGCAATTTCAATGCCCAATAAAGGATTTCAATCAACGATACAATGAAGTCAACGCATGACATAATTTCAAAGGGAAACTTCTTGACATTAGGCATATGATATAATGTATATAAAGCCTGATAATACTTCTTAAACAAATATGAAAACATTACTGTTTCAAAAATAGAGCCTGTTTAGCTATTTTTAATATGATGAAATGAAAAAAGAGCTATGATAAAGGCAGAGTGTGCAGATGAAAAAATAAACAGTCAAACTAAGCGAATTCAGCCAACCAAGCAAGGAAATCGTAACTGCCGTAAAAAAGACACCTACCAAACTTAGTAACCCCTGTTGATATAAATTATTACCAGTATTATAATAGTAATCTAGTAAAGTTTGTTATTATTATATATAGATATGATGAATATAGTTAGAGATTTATAGTGGACATGTCAGCTCACCTCAAACATAATATATGTATAATATTTATATAATATGTATATTGTTTTACTTTTTCTTCTAAACATGAAAGCTACTATTAACACGTCCCCTACTAAATATCTTAAATGGACATGTCTTTATTTTAATGTGGACAAAACCATTCATCATTTTTAGAAAATTTTCAAAATATATACAGACTGAATAGCAAACAATGCAGACCATGACCAGACACACATGTGCAGGCTGAACTTGGTCTGCTCTGGTCACAGAGGTAAAATCTGTTGCCAACAGCAGGTTAAAGGTTAATACTTGTCCTGCTGAATTTTATGCAATGAACTTGTCTTGACTTTAATTTATGGGTTCGAATTCCGACAGGGACTTTGAATTCTTTCATGTGAGGAAGCTATCCAGCTAGCTTACGGAACATTGGTGGTTCTACACAGGTGCCCGTTCATGCCTGAAATAATGCACGGAAGGGCACCTGAGGTCTTCCTCTACCAGTTAAGCTGTAACGTAGCCATATGACCTATACTGTGCCAGTGTGACGTAAAACCCAATCAAACAAACAAACTTAAATTTGACTATCTGTAGTAAATTTGAGTGATTTCATTATCAAAATAATAAAATGGAGCAGTTAACCATATAGAACCTGTCTGATTATACAGCACTGTTAAGATTAATGTTACTTATTTCTATAATGATCATCATTTTAATGAATAAAAGACAAGAAAAAAATCTATTTTTTTATAAATTTCGAGATGAAAAAATTAATTGTGGTAATCAGTTTTGATATTTAATAGAACAATGCTAATTTAGAGTTAAGATAAGATAATAAGTATATTATTTGATTTGATGATTAAGAACTCTGAACCAGCTGTATTTATGTGATGGTTTTGTCCTTCTTTGTAGGTGAAACAGTCCATTTAAAGTTTAAAGGATTTACAAGAAGTGAGCTACCAACAGTAAAGAGCCTGGTCAGATTGCTAGTCAGGCTGGTCAGACACAGGTTGATCAACTTTGGTTCCAGCAGGAGTTTGGTTGAATGATTACATACACTTAAAGCTGCATGCCTCCAGCTGAGCCAAAATATTTCAAGAAAATCAAACTTGAGATAAATGAATAAAGATTTTAAGAAAAGTAAAAAGATTTAAGGTTGAAGTAATAGTTTACATAGTAACAGTGATTAATGCCTGATTTTGCATCATTTATTAACCCTATTTCTACTACATGACTGTCACTACCACAGTAAGAACTATTTTTGCATATTTTGACCTCTTCTATGGTAATATATATGTGGATTGTAAGTACCCTTTAAAATGTGTAAATAACTTTCTTTGTTCCCTTCACAATAAGTTACTTGTAAATACATTTTCAAAATCTTCACGAAAAAATAGCATGAATATGGAGGCATGCTGCCTAATGAAATGCTTTGTTAAATAAAGCAGAACTGTGGAAATAATTTCTGAATATCATGAAAAGTATTATAGTGTAAAAAAAATTAGGTGAGCTGAACAGGTCTTTTTATAATTGAACAAGGCTTTAAAGTAAGCCAGAAAATAATTATTTGATAAAATTGCAAAGAAGTACAGTATGATTCCATGAAAAACATGTAAGTTATTTACAATGTTAAAATGATAAGTTATAAATAATAAGAAGAGAAAGTAAGAAAAATACGTCATAGAGTAAAAGTCAATGTTTAGATCTTCATACCAGAACAAAAGGAAGACCAAGAAAATTTAAGCAGCCTGAATCATTGTCCAAGATATAGATAATTTCAAAATAAATAAAAGAGAAAGACAGTGGGCTAGACATAAAAGCAAAAACAACTTATCTAGCTAAAATTAAACTAAAATTAACAATCATCTTCAATATTTCCTTGAATTTTTACCAAAAAAAAACAAACAAACAATGAACAACAATTTTTTTGAATACCTAGACAATCTATTTACTGGCACGATTGTTTCACTATTGTAATTAATTAAGCATTTTAACAAACACAAATAAATTAACATTGAATTGAAAAATAAACAATTGCAGACATTTTTTTTCTTTTCAGTAATTCAATTCATGTAACAGTAAAAAAATGTTAAGTATAAGAAATCAGTCCTATTTTACATCCCTAACTTCATTTGACATTTCATATAAAAAAACAATAACTTAATCTCACATAACTAAAAGAGAAGCTAAACATATAAGACATGCTAGACTCAGAACCTAATCATGCTGGTGAATTAACCATCAATCAGGAAGTGACCTTTTCCAAGCTTCATTTTCTGTCTCATGCAAGAGTTATTTGTGAACCATTCCTTAATTATCACAGAATTAGCTTCATGCTTCTTATATTTTCATGACAGACATTGTGTTTGTGCAAACATGACAGAATATAACTCCTCTAATTTTATTATCAGTTTTGCATATAGTTTTCTACATCAAGAAACATTGCACTTGAGCTTTCTCTCTCTCTATATATATATATGCATGTATATACATGTATTTCTATGTGTACAGTGTAAAAGATATCAATCACAGATAGTACATATACTGAGAACATTGTTTCATATAACTACATAGCTGTTAAAATTTAAAACACTAATGCAACAAACAGAAAGCAGGGAAACTTAGGGTGGGGTAAAAGAAGGGCTAATAAAACCAAGAGTTTACTTTCTTGCTTCAATGGATACAAATGTGTATTAAAATGCAATCTTACATAATATTATTGCACTTTTTTTATAGCCATTCCAAAATAACACTTTCTCGCATCAAAGAAAAGCCAGTGAGTTTGAAAAAAGCGCAACTGGGAAACAAAGCTTATGAAAGCAATAATTTACCAACAGTTGACAGTTTGAAGATTTTTATAGTTAAGAATTACTTCTTTGTTTCCTCCATTCAATGAAACAATGATTATTTTTTTAAAGAAAGAAGAAAATCAAATGAGCATGATTAAATGAATGAATTCAAAGAGATGACTGATGTGTTTATATGGAGATATAACATACCTTGTTTCCAGAGCCAGCCCTCCTTGTCTGGGTTAAAGAACGTATGCATCAGATCATTGCCATCATCCTCCGGGATCTTAAATGGCTCTTTCTTTATACTCTCATACAGGCTCTATATAATATACAATTTATCTTTACCTTGTCAATGTCTCCATATTTTTTATGTTTTTTATATTTTCTATATTCAATTGACAGTCTTACGAACTAAAATATTTTCAATTTAATCTTAATAACGATTTTTGTGAGTCTGTCTTTCATGTTTTCATATACCATTACATTACACTGAAACAATTAATTAATTTATTAATGGTTATAAATATTTCTATAGAAAATTGTCAATGATCTGCAATTGTATACATTCTATGATAATACGTGACAAAACATTAATTTAATGTAAGATGAAAATACATGAATCCAGTTCTTGGTACATTAATATTCATGTTGTCTGTATTCAATACCATAAGAGACCAATTACCATCATCTCATATAAAGTGTGTATTCCAGTAACTTGTCAGTAACGTATCAATTACCAATGTCAGCTTAGATACAATCACTTGTGTCTTAATCCCTCACTTATTTTTTATGTGACATACTACATTAATGCTTGTCACATAAAAATCTTGTATGCCATAATTTCAGCTAATAAGAAAGCACTGTGCCACATACCATATTGGGTTTTGGTGTTGTTGGGTTTTAAGGCGCACTAACATAGTGTAGGTCATATGGCGATTTTCCAGCTTTACTGGTGGAGGAAGACTTCATGTGCCCTTCCGTGCATTATTTCAGGCATGAGTGGGCACCTGAGTAGAACCACCAATGTTTCATAACTTAAGCTAGCTGGATAGATTCCTCACATGAAAGAATCAAAATTCCCTGTCAGGATTCAAACCCACAGCAGTGAAGGGCAAGTGGTTTAAAGTCAACGACCATAACCACTCGACCATGGACGCCACTTAATATGAAAGTAAAAGAGTTTTTCATTTTCATTACATACTGTAAGAAGATCTGGAGGCAGATCTCCGCCATCATTGATCCCACGATTCATTGTGATAAATCTCTCCACTGTTGGTTTGTCCTTCACACTCGGGTTGTGCAAACTTGTGTTCAACATAATTATGGCAAAGGAGAGCACATAGCATGTATCTGTAATAATAGAAAGTAAATCTTTAGAACAAGTAACTCAAGTCGATTTTCTAGGGGGGGAAATATGGTTTATTTTAGGTTGGAATATGCTCCACATTGTATGAAAACATGTACTTGATTTGAGAATATGAGGAGGATTTTTTTTGTTGATAATCATCATAAATTATACATTGTATTTCCAAACATTATTTTAACAAATGCTTTGAAAGAAAAGTAGATTTGTCAATATACTCTTAAAATATACTTGAAACCTGTTTTATATATTTAACTATATATTTTGGTAAACTATCAATATCACCATTATGATATAAGTAAAACACACAAAATGATACCTGAGCTAGTGAAGACTCCTGGATTGAGGACACAGTATCTCTCAGCGAAGCACTCCATCATTCTGTCAATCTTCTGAGCCTCTCCTGGTAGTCTAAAACTCCACAGAAACTGCCTGTATTGTAAATCATAAAATAACATTTATATTTATCATTTTAAAAATGCTTCAAATTTTTAGTAAATTAGTTTTAAATGTGAAATGTGAACCCACATTGTCAGTATTGTTTCTCTTAGTGCGTGTTAAAATAGTGGGTGGGGGTAGGAACAAAGTGAAATGAAGTTTTATTTCTCTGATCCGTTTCTGATTTAAAATACAGTGTATATCATATAATACATATGATGGACAACTAAACAAAGGTTGTATGACTTAATAATTATAACAAAACATTATTGCAGATTTAAATTCATCAAAGAAACAATCTGAATTGGACTTAAATGATTTATAAATGAAGTAGAGAGATGTACACAACATAAGTATATTTTCAGGCACAATTTACATCATGCAACATTTATACTAAGTCAACTTCAATCTTTACCTACTCTTGTTTAAATTACTTCTATCATAATTATCTCAAACCAAATGATGCCTATTTCAACACATCAAAGCTACTGTATAATTAACTTTTTTCCTTCATCACAAACATAAGCAGAAATAATTACTTACATGCTCAAAAGAGTTATTTCAAAAAAATATGAAATATCCTTCATGATAATATGAAACAGCAATTTATGAATTAACTTGTGAAAATACAAAATCTAGAATTTATCTGTATGCAACAATTTTGTCAGTTTCTGAACAAAGAGGTGCTAAAATTTAAGTACCGTAACACCCAGTCTACAGTTATCAAATACAGTATGTATATATGATGTATATACCAGAAAATTCATATTGATAACTATCTGACCAAAATTAATGGGCATTTATGATTTTCAGTGTATCATCTAAATTTGACTAAATAATTATAAAATGGACTTTTCCTCCCTGTAAGTTTGGAACAGGATAATTTATTATTTAAAGATTGTTATTTATCAAATACAGTCTAACTTGCCCATGCGACCACGTGTATTAAGCGACTTTTGTCTTAAACGACCACTTTAAATTCCCCCCGATCATTTTCTCTCTATATTTTTAATGTATTAAGCGACTTTTGCTCAACGCGACCAGCGACCGCTAATTAGTCACATAATTGAGAACAATCTTTTCATTAAACGACCACTTTTACCTGTCAAGTAATTGTGTTTTTAGAGAACGCCGCATCGTAATTTCACAAGTGTCAACAATCAAAACACAACAAATAAATGTGTGAAAAACTCTATTTCCCAAACCGTTTTAGCGTAAGCAGTATACGCGTGACGTGTATTATCCAATAATATCGATTAAACAATGCAACGCTCCGCCTCTACTGATGTGGTAAAACATTCCCACCGCATAAGAAAGATGTCATTTTTAAATTTTGACTTTTATGTCATGCTTTGTGTTAAGAGACCGTTTCATTAAGCGACCATTTTGGGTGTTTCCCTTGCGCGGTCGCTTAATACAAGTTTGACTGTATCTTTAAAGGGTGCAGTGGTCTAGTGGTTATTTGACTTCAAAGGTCAGCATTGCCAGTTTGATCTCCCGCTGCTCCAACTAAAGTAACTAACAAAACTTTCATTTGAGATTTTAATAACTGACGTTATATGAAATAGTGCTTAACTCATGCATGTATAAGAACCAGTTCCTAGAATAAAGTAATTTCTATACCAGTTTGCTACAAAAAGTAAAATAAATGACAGTCTTCCGAAGTGACACGCTTATATGGCTATCAAGTGATGACTATAAATATATTTCACACACTTTTTATATTTTGAAGGGAAACAGTACAGAGTCTCGGCAGCCTATGCAGAAGTGAATTATTACCACTGTTTAATGATATAGAAACAAACCTGAGAGCTTGAACAAGTATCATGTCCGAGAATTCATGTAGATTCACAAATGCCTTCAGTACAGCAATGTTGAAGTCAGACCTGAAATACATTACATAATAATAGTTCAATATGGCTAACAAAATCTTTGCTGTATAAATAATTATAAATTAAGGTTTGATACCATAAGGAAATATATGTATTAACCCCAAACTGCTGATATTCAAAGTGAATACCCCACTGCCACCAATATAGAGCAAGGCCAGCCTCCACTTCTGTCAAGAATGACCAGCTCTATATTGCTGGCTTATTAACTAAACTTTAAACTTTCATCATGATTTTCACAAATTGTTAGTGGACAGTTCCAATAATGAAAGGTAGACAGTCCATTTAACAAATTCAACAAGTTAATGATTAACTTTTCTTCTTGAAAAAAGGAAATTGTCAGTAAACAGCTTACAAAATGAAACTAATAAAATGCAAAAATGCCAAAATCTTGACATAGAGTAACTTACTTTTTATAATTTTCAAACTAAAATCCATGTAAAATCAGATACCAAAGAAAACCCTATACTTACTTTTCCCCAAGATAGTCACCAATGGCTGTTTTGTTGAGTCCTTCACCAGCATATAGGAACTGGGCAACATCTTCTGGTGTATTCTGGAGTAACTGATGCTCTATCAGGTATTCAATACCCTAAAAATACAAAATATACAACAACTTAATATTGTTATCAAAATAGCATGAATATTTCCTTTGTTCCACTTTTGACTTTATTACATGCTAAAATCCAGTGTCGGTATTCAATGACAATTTCATGGGGTTTTCAATGACAAACAGGTATGTAGGGATAAACAATTTTCATCAAGATAAATAAGATTACTAGTATTTGATTTATCGAAACACTGTCTTTATTGGATTGTAGGAGAAACAGTTGTTACAATGTCTTTATTTTCTAAACATGGTTTCTCTTGGGAACTCTGGATAAATCTGAGACAGAAAACATAACCTGTAAACAAGTATTTGATGTCAAAACTATGGTCATATAGAACAATGACACTAGAAAAAAACAAGAGGGCCATGATGGCCCTGAGGTCGCTCACCTGTATATAAGCCCCCCCCACCCCCGGGCCAATTTTTACCCAAGGGCTTTTATTTGTTTATTTGAACAGACTTGGTAGACACCCATAAGAAGATGTTTCATGCTAAACATCCAAGTTCTAGCTCATTGGGTTTTTTAAAAGAAGATTTTTAAAGTTTTTACTTTGCACATATAGTTAAAAACAATGACACCCCTGGGGCAGGGCCAGTTTTGACCCCCGGGCTTTTATTTGAACAAACTTTGTAGATATTTACTTAAAGATGTTTCGTGCTTAATATCTAAACTCTAGCTATTTGGGTTTTTCAAAGAAGATTTTTAAGTTTTTTCTATACATATATAAGGAAAATCAAATGACCCCCCCCCCCCCCGGCGGGGCCAGTTTTGACCCCAGGGCTTTTATTTGAACATACTTGGTAGACACCCATTAGAACATGTTTCATGCTAAATATCTTAGCTCTAGCTCTTTGAGTTCTTTAAAAGAAGATTTTTTAAGTTTATATAATATGCATATACTATATGCATATAGGGAAAATCAATGACCCCCTGGGGCGGGGCCAATTTTGATCCCAGGGCTTTTATTTGAACAAACTTGGTAGACACTCACTAGAAGATGTTTCATGCTAAATATCTTAGCTCTAACTCTTTGGGTTCTTTAAAGTTTTTACTATATGCATATAGGGAAAATCAATGACCCCCTGGGGCGGGGCCAATTTTGACCCCAGGGCTTTTATTTGAACAAACTTGGTAGACATTCACTAGAAGATGTTTCATGCCAAATATCTAAGCTCTAGCTCTTACGGTTCTTTAAAAGAAGATTTTTTAAGTTTTAACTATATGCATATAGGGAAAATCAATGACCCCCCCGGGGCGGGGCCAATTTTGACCCCAGGGCTTTTATTTGAACAAACTTGGTAAACACTCACTAGAAGATGTTTCATGCCAAATATCTTAGCTCTAGCTCTTTGGGTTCTTTAAAAGAAGATTTTTTAAGTTTTTACTATATGCATATAGGGAAAATCAATGACCCCCTGGGGCGGGGCCAATTTTGACCCCAGGGCTTTCATTTGAACAAACTTGGTAGACACTCACTAGAAGATGTTTCATGCCAAATATCTAAGCTCTAGCTCTTAGGGTTGTTTAAAAGAAGATATTTAAAGATTTTTCTTTCGGTTGCCATGGCAACCAGAGTTCTGCATGGAATTAAATTCTTTGAACAATTTTTAAAGGTGACCACCAAAGGAACATTCCTGTGAAGTTTGGATGAAATTGGCTCAGTGGTTAATGAGGAGATGTCATTTAAAGCAAAAGTTTACGGACGGACGACGGACGGACGACGGACGGACGGACGGACGCCGGACGAAAAGCGATCACAAAAGCTCACCCTGTCACTTTGTGACAGGTGAGCTAACAATAAAAACTGTTTCTCTGGAAAACATTTTTGGAAATAAAGTTGGCCATTTTATTACCAGTTTATTCCCATCTTCCCATTGTTAATGGTATCGGTGACATTTGTTCAAAGAGGTAATCATTCTATCCAATATCAAGAAACAAAAGGCATACAGAAACTTTATAGCTCAATCTGACAAAACTCTTACACTTAAAACTGAAACATGCATTTGTACTTACAAATTCTTGCATTATTTATACAAAATGTTTTCAATAAAAGTTTCTTCATCCATTTAAAGGCATTTTACACACACAAACTTGTATCATTGTGTGGTATCTACTTAAATGACAGAAACCTTAACATGACTGAAATAAGGAAACTACCTCTGCAGAGCAATACCCATTGGGAGGCAAAGATTGGGTGGTGCAAAGATGTGTTGCTTTAGAGAGATAATATTTAATGTGATGTGTAACTTAGGAATAACTGTTACTGTTGTTGTAATGAGGTAGTCCACAATAGAGGGCCAGCACTCTGTAGAGGGTATACTGTTTTTGTGTTTCAAGGGACAAAACCCATGCGTACCTTGAAAAAATATCCCTAGTACTTGGAGTTGCCTAACGTGATAAAAGAGATAATTGTGTATCTTTTCAATAAGTGGTGAATAATTGGACAATGATTGAACCACATGCCGACTTTGATCATCTCTGACCAGACCAACCACAAGAATTCAGTGAAATTACTGTTTGGGAAAACTAATTTTCTATGATATTAACATTATCTGGTACAACAATTTATCTCACATTATAAGATGATTCAATCCACAATTATCCAACAAGATTGGTTTCACAGGCCTCTGGTCCTTCTCAAACATATATACATTAACCAGGTATCTCAGGAAAGTAAAATATATATTTATATCAAACAAAACTTCCCAATATACATACACATAAAATCTGTAACCATAAGTAATACCTTTTTATCAGAATTATTAATTTGTAAACTTTTGATATCTGATTGGTCTACTTCTTATGAATTAACTTCAATTAAGACAACTTTTAATAACAAATAGCGATTAATCATTAATTACATATATTTATGAAACATTACACATCTTAAAGTTGCTTTTAACTTATTTTATGAATATAGTAGTCATATGTATATTAATTAATGAGCTATGATTTTATTTATCTATGTCTGTAGACTCATTTTCACCATGAAACAAATCTTGCACTGGTACAGTGATTAACCACTGCTTACGTCAAAAAAATAGATGGGGAAATAATGACAGCCATTAGCACTAAAGTCCATTTCTACATTATGATCCAACTAAAACCTCCAGTAAATGAGAAGTGAAGTATTCATTCTTCTTGAAAAAAAGCAGACATAAAAAGTCCAGACCTGTTATTTATGAACCATTTCCCAACAGATTTGCCTTAGGTTTTGTGTTGAATTTAAACCAGTCAAATGTTATATTAAGAAATTTCTCAATCTAGATACTGAATTTGACAGTTTATACATGTACCATAGTGCTGACAAACTCATTTCATTCTAAGTTCATAATTTTATTACTTTTCGGATTTGCAAAAGTAAGTAACTTAGGCCTTTCAATATCAAAGTTTTAAAACTGACAAGCCCACACTATTAAATCTGACCGTACAGATAACAGGCAGACTGGCTTAGTTCTATGCCAATGACATAGGCAAATCCTTATAGATGACATTGGCAAATCTCTAACGATGACATAGGCAAATCTGTATCGATTACATAGGCAAATCTGTACCGATTACATAGGCAAATCTGTATCTATGACATAGGCAAATCTGTATCGATGACATAGGCAAATCTGTATCGATGACATAGGCAAATCTGTATCGATAACATAGGCAAATCTCTATCGATTACATAGGCAAATCTGTATCTATGACATAGACAAAACTGTATCGATGACTCAGGCAAATCTGTATCGATGACATAGGCAAATCTCTATGGATGACATCTATAGGCAAATCTGTATCTATGACATAGGCAAATCTGTATCTATGACATAGGCAAATCTGTATTGATGACATTGGCAAATCTGTATCGATGACATAGGCAAATCTGTATCAATGACATTGGCAAATCTGTATCTATGACATAGGCAAATCTCTATCAATGACATAGGCAAATCTGTATCAATGGCATAAGCAAATCTCTATCTATGACATAGGCAAATCTGTATCGATGACATAGGCAAATCTGTATCGATGACATTGGCAAATCTGTATTGATGTCATAGGCAAATCTGTATCAATGACATTGGCAAATCTGTATCGATGTCATTGGCAAATCTGTATCGATGACATAGGCAAATCTTTATCGATGACATAAGCAAATCTCTATCGATAATAAGCAAATCGCTATCACAGCATAGGCAAATTGCTAGCACCACTAACATTCAAGTAGTTTACCTAATACCTCCTTACTTTGTTGGACCTGGCCAGTTTCCTTATTTAATGAAGCTATTAACAGATATCAAATGAAAATGAAAGTCAGTCAGCAAGCAGTCTAGAGTTTGGCCAGACTGCAAGGATGTATTGGCTGGCCTAGCTTTAAGATTGTGGCTAAAGTTAATTACTTCCAGTAGTAACAGACTAAGAATGAAGTAAATTTTGTGTTAAGGACCCTTTGATATACTCATTGTTCCCACAGTGTAATAATATAGTGCTTACATTACAGCTAATTAAACACCAAATATTGACCAAGTTCCTCAATTATCAAGTACAACATGCACAGCCTATAATTAGGTTTTGTGAAGTATGCATTTTGTATTTTTATACTTTTGTTCACACATATAACACATGCTCATTTTATTACGATTTAATGCAGTTTATGATTTCTGTGGCACTATACTGTTTCCAGCCAACAATTAATATAAAATCTCTCTGTTAACATTTACTTTTCCTATGCATAAAATAGGTGGCAGAGCAACAGATAAGCTTTAAAAGTGAATTGGGTATTACTCCATCATTTCCTTTGGAATTGGGTATTGGCTCCATTTAATTGGGTATTCCAAAACTCGATACCCTATGATTTCAAGATTAATTGGGTATTCAATTATGAAGATATGAATTTTATGATTTCAATATCAATAAAATTTAAACTTTTTTAAAAAGAAAATAGGATTAACAATTTACTAGAACTTTTCACAATTGTTTTATTTTTTAT